AAGGTGGACACACTGTAGAAAATTCAACAGGAAGTTGAGTTTTTCATATTTAGTGAACAAGTATACCAGATGAAAATCAATAGTCAATCCAAATACGAGATGTCTTGATGTCAAATGTCAACAGATTGCTTTTCGAATGACATTACACACACCATTATTTTAAATAATGTTATTTCTTCTTTTCACTGAATATATGGATAAATCACAAGAAAATCATATTTCTAGTTGTCTCATATAATAGAAAAAAAATGTGTCGTACATTATGATATATATAAATTGTCCAATGATGAAAAAATAAGGGAAAATTGTTCTAAATGCGATTCAAAAGACAGGCGGAAAAGCAGGTGAAATTTGTAACTTCATAGTCAAATTTCTCAATAAATAATGGTCAGTTCACATTTTCATTATCAAATTAGTTTTCTAGACAAAATTATACGTAAGTACCAAAAAATTTTCGAAAAAAAACCATCGCATTATAAATGCAGTTTTACCGAAACATCATCTCGCGGTGAAAACAGGGCCGGTTTTTGAGAATGAAAATAAATCGATCATTTTTGTTTGTATTTTCTTCATATCTCAAGAACCGGCAGTGATATTTTCAAATAGTTTTTACTGCTATAGATGATGCTTCCTGATACGGAACTCTTTCTCCATTTAACCGGTAAATGGTTTGGAAGTTACCAATACAATCCCATTAAAAAAGTGGCCACCCTGTATACACAGTGGCGGATCTAGGCAGTTTTTCAGGGGGGGGCCATGGGCCGTGAGTTAATGGAATTTTGAAACCAAAGTAATCGAAACCACATGAATAATGAATGATATGTATATGAATATATACACAAAGCACAAAGCCCATGGTTTTAACTTCATCACTTTCGTTTAGGGTGAAACTTTGCACAGGGAATGGTTTTGGTATGAAAATGTTCAGGGACAGCAGAGTAGAAAAAACATCTGAAAATACCAAAGTAATGTGTTTCAAATCTCCAGAAAAGAGATGCGGGTAGAGGATGGATATTACTTTTATTTGCCGTGGCGCTCCGTGGCCACTCACTGATTTTTGGTGGAGTATTCACTTTTCAGCTGCAGGAAAATCCGGAAAAACCTACAGCACCACCTCGGGTGGTCGGAGCTCACTCCAGGATAACATAAATGTGATGGATCACTTACTTCTTCTTTCTTTTTAAATGAAAAAATCTGTGAACTGAATCTTACTGTTCTGAAGAACTAATGTGAAATGACCCTTTTCACCCTTTTCTTTCAAAACCAATTGGTGTTTTTTGCGGTTTCGGATAAAAAACAACTACTTATTTCAGTTATTCCCTTTGTTTCTGATTCTTGCCGCTCACCGCCACCGGTCACCGCTTACCGCTAATTTGCATTTTACTGAAGCCCCGGCCTTGAAAATAATTATTTTTCCTCTATCGTTATCTGTTTTGCCGCCCTTTGATCTGACCGCCTGTGTCGTTTTCCCATATTCCCACTGCATACAAGAATATTTCTATATAATATAATTTGTATATGATAATGAATGAAATTCAAAAAAGAGTTGATTTGGCATGTTCGAGTGTTTGAGGAACCATTCAATACGAAAACTACGAATACGAATAATTTTGGTTTGTATAACGTAGCTTTGGTTGCATATCCAGACTGATTGTTGAACCAATATCAACTACTTATTCAGAGCTCTGGGGGGGGGCCATGGCCCCCATGGCCCCCCCCTCAGATCCGCCAGTGTGTATACACCTATATCAAATGCGTTAAATCTCCCTATTTTTTTTTTTTTCATTGAGATAAACATTCTGGTGAGTTTTCTGTTATGTGAATCATGAACTATGATATCACATTCCGCAGAGTCGTTTTATGACAGCCTGAAGCGGTCAGTCTATTCTTCAGTTTGAAATAGTGGCTTTTTATGATAGTCTTAGAGTGAGTTTCCATACAAAATGTGTTAATGAACGTGGACATGTGGTAAATGGAGAAGAAAGACTCTAATATACATCAGGTGAGCTTTGTTCGAAAATTATTATGCCAAATCGGTTACGAAGAGGTGATTTCTTAGGTTATTTTTGGACTAAAAGTTTCCATAATAGTTATTTTTCCAATAAAGTTGTAAAGTTGAAGGATATTCCGTGCGGTAATAATAATTTTGGTAAAACTGCATTTATCATACGAAAATTTTGTTCGGGGGTACTTACGTATTTCTGTATGAATAACACAAAGATAATGAAAATAAAATGGAAACAAACCACTATTTATTGAGATATTTCAAGAAAAAGTTCGAAATTTCGCCTTCTTTTTCTCCTTGTGTTGGATGTCATTTACAGCTACCTGCTATTCTTAGTAGAATAGTTATATAGTTGAAGTTTTACCGAAACATCATCTCGCGGTTCTTGAGAATGAAGAAAAATTCGATCATTTTTGTTTGTTTTTTTCCTCATACCTCAAGAACCGGCAGTGATATTCTCAAATATTTTTTACTGCTATAGATGATAATTCCTCTGATACGCAACTTTTTCTCCATTTAACCGGCCTTCTAACTATAGTAGGGTTTGGAAGGTACCAATAGGTACAATCCCATTGAAAAAGTGGCCAACCCGTATATACCTTCATCAAATTCGTTAAATCTCCCTATATAATCGTTTTTATTGAGATAAACATTCTGGTGAGTATTTTGTTACATGAATCATCAACTGTCTATGATATAAAATTCACCAGTGTCGTTTTATAACAGCCTGAAGCGGTCAGTCTATTCTTCAGATTGAAATAGTATGGCTTTTTATGACAGTTTTATGTTCGAGATTAAACTCAAACGAGTGAATCTCCATACAAAGTGTGTTAATGAACGTGCAAATGTGGTGAATGAAGAAGAGACACACTAACAGGTGAGCTTTGTTTGAAAAATATTATGCCATACCATTTTTTCTTAAAGCTTGATGCTAATCCCTACGACTACATAGAATACAGTCTATTTACTATTCAATCACTTATGTTATGTGTTATTCCTAATTATCATGTATGTACATATTGAAAGAGGTGATTTCTTAGCTTATTTTTGGACTAACAGTTTCCATAATAGTTATAGTTTTTAACCAAGGTTGTAAAGTAAACGAATATTCTGTGCTCTAATAATATTAATTCTTTTAAACCAGTGACTATAATATGGTTATTCACCGCTATTATACACAGGTGTGGAAAATGGCTATCGTTTTGCTTGAGAAAGTACAACAGTCGTGACCAAATAACTAATGTGACAGGTATCTTCAATTTTCAGTTTTCTTAATTTCTTATAATGTCAAACGAGTTATGATAAAACAGTTGTTATGAATTAAATCATATATCGAAAACATTAGTAGTCGTGGACAAAGTATTGTATTCTATTCGCATATAATGAGCTATTATTCACTCAGGTTAATTATATATGTAAACTTAACCTTCGTGAATAATAGACCTCATTATATATGCTTGTTTAATCTACTATTCTATGGGCGCTACTCATATACGTATATTAATGAACAATACGGATCATAACGCGGGTGCCAGGATGAAGCCAAAAATATGAAACAAATGAATATCCATATGGATTTGGTGGCATGATACGCATATGCGCCATGACCTATTATAGTAGTCATCAAAGACATGCGTTTCGGTGGACAATGACGTTTACTAGCCTTTCAATCAAAGCAGTATGTGTCTGATCGTATCTCACTTTTCCTTATGGATAGTCATTTGTCTTCAAAAATCGACTTCATGTTTCGCTATGGAAACAGATAGAGATTATCCGTATTAGGTAAATTGAAAAAAGAGCACAAAATATGTGTTAGTATTTACTCAAACCATTGTTATATAGAAAATAGGAAAAATCAGAAGTTCAGCTGTTTCCAGGATAAACAGAAGATACCGAACTCTTATCACTAATACCATATATCTACTACTCATATATGAAGTAAAGCCACAGAATTATTGTTGAGTATTCTGTGGTATAGCTGTTCTCAAAGCGGGACCAACTTCTGTCTCTATAGGTAACGAAATTGACCAATAGGCGTTGATGCCGAAGTAGGGAAGAAATATAGTACGAAACTTGTCAACCCAATACCCCATCCTTCAATTTCCGTCCTTATAGATTCAAAAAGTACCTCTCATTTTGGTCCCATTTTTGTTGAGATATCGTATAGGCGATGGGCCATATATAGAAATAGTAGGTACATACTGGTATATAACGGTGGTGGGAACAGAATGACGTTTACAAATAAAACAAGAAACTTCATTTCATGACCTTGCATGGGAGAACTTGCATATTAGAGATGAAAGAGGTTATTGGGGCTACGGATAATTTCAAAATCATAATACTAGAGTTAAAAATCGATAGAATAAATCAACGCATGTTTGGAGAAGTTATTCCGGTGATTGAAGAAATTTGTCCGAGATCGAAAGAACCAATTTTATCTGGGAATGAAGATATGGAACTTATCCTACTGAAAAAATCATAAACTTGTGAACCTCACGATAACGTTGTCTTCCAAGGTGTCTTTCACTTTCAAAAAGTCTTGTTTTTTTGTCAATCTGATCTCATTTTTTGACAACTGTCAACAGTCAGCCCACGTCATTCCTTGTAGCGAGACGGAATGAAAAGTAGCAACCGGAATCAGAATAAATGCACATAAAACGAAATATTGAAGTGATTCCGGTGGCGGAATCGGATAAATAAATAGCAAGTAAGTGACTCTAGATGAAACGAGCAAAGTAATTTTTACCCCCTCATAGTTATTGTGTACCTGTCTCGGCGATTTTTCGAGAAAACGAGATATTGCGGGTAGGAATAATTTTTCAAATGGTATGTGTAGGTATGGGAAGGCCGAATTTTCAATCCATTCCTTGAATTGAAGTTCAATCAGACCACAAGTGAATAATTGATAAAACTTTATTTTCATATATATCTTCAACAAAATAACTATTACAATTTAATTACATACTTACAAAACTGTACATCTTTATTTACACATTATCGCAACTGACAACCCTTTTTGGTGACTAGAGGAATGCTATATAAATTCGAAGCCCTCGTACTTAACATTAGCTATCTCCAAATCGTCCAACAGTATCGTTCCTTCAACCGTGAAAGCTGTGACGTAGGTGGAAGTATTGCCTTCGAGTTCTTCCGTTCTCAAGGCTACTATGACGTGGTCGTTTGAGGTTGGTATAAATTTGAAGCTAGAGAAACCTCTGGTAGATCGTGAATTAGGAATCTAAAACAATAGTTATTTATTATACAAGGGAAAAAAGTAGTAGATTTCAGCTCCAGGTTGTGTTGTCTCCCGACGCATAGCGGAGGGAGACAAAAAACCGTGAGCTAAAATCTAATATTTTTCCCGTGTATAATACACTATTTTTTTCTGTGACAGAAGAAAGTACGAATCAATATTGAGAAGATATCACATTATTTTGATATCTTAAAATCATCGACGTGAAATTTCAAATTTTCAACAGTAGGGACCCCTGCGTTGTAGGCATCTTCATCATTCCTTTGAAGTAATTAAATATCTGATGCTTCTGTCAGTCTTATTCTGTGGTTTGATTTCAAAAAATTGCGAATTTAGTAGTTGTTCAGTAATATACGTAACCGCGAAGTCGAAAGGAAGATAAAAGGACTTGCAGTTCTTTCTCGGAGACGGTATTATTGACTCATGATTCGGAATAGCACAACAAAAGCAATCAACAGTGTATGTGATATATATCCGGGAAAAAAGTACTCACTTTCTTTCCCACGGGAAAAAAGTAATTTATGAAAAGTGACATTTTATAACCTGCCAACAGAGATGAAATGCCAAACTTTTTGCCCGTCACAAAAAAAAATGTTTTTTTCAGATACGACACACTTCCAATTTTAGCATGATGAATTCCATCACAATCCAATTTATTAAAACTCTTCTCAAATGATATGGTTAACCTAGAATTCTGTTGACGTTTTTTCAATTTATCTGGATTGCAATTGGATAACAGTCGGTCCAGACAATTCATTATTTATAGCAGCTGAATAAGCCCAGAGCTCATTTTTCATGATGAAATGAAACATAACATACAGCTTAAGAGCTTAACCGATTTATCCCACAATGTGTTTTGAGTGCATTTCGTGAGTCTATTTATGTTATCATTGAGTATTTTTATTTTCATGTATGCTTCAACGTAGACACTGCAAAACCCTGTTTGAAGCATTTTGATGAAGAAATCTTCGAAAGGAACAAATCCATTGATTTTTCGAATTATACAAAAACAAGTGAACTTTTTGTTATACACACATATAAAAATCACGCGACAGTTCGATTTAGATCCGAACATCAGCCGCTGGAAGCGATATTGACCTTAAACGGAAGACAAACTGCACACGAAATGTCGAGCGGACGTTTGACAAATAGAATTTATTGGACGGATCACTCCGTTATAACCACCGACTTATTACTCTTTCAAGACTGCTAGTAATCATATCGCAGCAGCCCAAAAACGTAGGGTTAGTTGCTCGCCTGAAAACGCTTCTGCTCAACACGCAAGAGCCCCCAAGCTATCGTTCATGACTTTGACGTGGTATCGAAATCAACATAGTATCCATTTTTTTCATAGGCAGCGGCAAGGTGGATGGCGTAGTCTCAAGTGTTTTATTTATGTCGGTGGTCGGCTTACAACGACAATGACTTCTGTCATTATTGACATCTAGTTTCTGATGCAGAAACAGATTTTCAAAGTTTAGTAAGTTAGAAACTGGTTGGAAATCAAAATTTGATGTTCTGATATCAGTCTACTAATTTATATCCCTACCCACATTCATTATATTTCCACATTATTTCCGAAGTAAACAGCTCGGTAACCAGTGTAACCACTATTCCTTACATAACAGAAACTGGCTCACTCCTTGGATCTTTTGGCAAATATGGAGGCAACAGAGTTAAGGTGACATTCTAGTGTATTTTTGAAGAACGGTTCAGTTTCCATATTTTTTTTTATCAGAAGAAAAACAAATATTCAGGAATAACAAATCAAGATATTTTGAATAATTTTAGAATGGCGGGAAATTGAAATGTCACTTTTGAGTGCGCACTCCATATTCCATTTATGATCATTCATCAGCACTTCCTAAGTTGGAGGTTGGTCAACTTCTTAACCCTTTATTGGCCCGCTTCTGATAAAACCATGGGCTATTTTATAGACCATGTGACCATGTGGTCACATTATATTCAAATGCGTTTATTCTTACTTCCCCGTAGTTCTTCGATTCACAGGCAACGAAACCATTCGGTTACAAACAAGCTTAGGAGGGGGTACCAACAAACAAATCGATTTTGCGCTATCTTCGGCTGGCAGTTCAACTTATAATTTGTGTTCGTCCATTTTTTAGGTTAAGTTGCATACAGGTTCAAATGTTGTTTAGAAGTGTTAAGTTCGATTGTTTTCATTGGAAATTTCGTGTTGGTTCCTTTCATACATCCGTTATGGTATATTGTTTTTTGTTCACCTGATGAACGTAGCTATATGGTTACTTCGTCCATCATTTCGCATTTCGTTTAGTGGATTTTTCAGAAAATTCTATGGATGAATTTGTTGCTCATTCTATGGTAAGAAGAAATTTAAGCTACCACCTCTTCCTCAGGTCTCAAATGGATCACACAATCCCGATATGATGAGGAAAATACGACTCTTATAAATATTTGTTCTAAATGGTTTCGTTTTTGAATGCTTGATTGTTATAAAGAAGGAGGGTAGGTACTGCTTAGCAAACAGACTTCAGGTTAGATATCATCGCAGGTTGATACCGATGTGGTGATTAATCCAGATGAGGGCATCCAATTTATTATACTGTAGAATCACCAATCATTCAAAGTCAAGTCGCCTGGAGTGAGAAATATGAAAGTAGGATATTTCTCACTGACACGAAAAATTGTTTCAGGAAATACTGCCTTTCGAAATTTTTGAAAAAATGTATTTTTCTTTCTCCCATTTATGTAAATTTTCTGCTTTAAAGTATCTTATTGGGATATGTAACCATATGGTAACAATATGTTAAATCGTGGTAGATATAATTATCAACATAGAACTACTGCAATTTGTGCAGCCATATGGTCACTACAACCAATAAAGGGTTAAATCTTAAATGTAAAGTCACAAAACTTAAATAGTTTTGACCGACCCTGGAGGTAACATATTAAAATACAACCTCACTTTTCTGTAAAACATTGAAACACAACCTCAATTTTTTTATTTGTTTACGGAGGAATCAAAGTAATGAAATAGTTTTTCACAATATTTTGGCATAGGAATCGTGTTTTTTGCGCTCTTCATTAATTATTCAAGAATGCCTGTTCATTGTTCTGTTGTACAATACACAAAAAATGCAGCGAGAGACAAAGGAATATGATTTTTCAGGTAAATAGTAATCTCACATAGTATTAATTATAAAATTTTGTAATTTCTTATTGAAATTCCTTCTGCCACTTCTGCAATAGAAGCTGATACTGCTAATAGATTGAAAATGTATACAACACACATGATCATTTTTCGTCAGCATGTCAGACCAGTCCTCCCGTTTGATTGCATGAATCCAATCTTGCATTATTTTAGAAATTTCACGAGTATATCCATTAGCTGCATTGTGCTGTTGTACAATGCACAAAAAATGCAGCGAGAGACGAAGGAATTCGGTTGGTACATTATGATCTAAAAGTACGTACCGACTAGTCACTCACATATAGTTTTCATTTGAAAATTTGAAAATTTTCTGATTTCTCATCGGAATGCCTTCTGCAATAGGAGCTAATAGAAATGCTCGTGAAATTTCTAAAATAATGCAAAAAGATTGGATTTATGCAATCAAACGTGTGTGTTGAAGATATTTTCAATTTTCAATATTTATTAACAGTATTAGCTTCTATTGCAGAAATGGCAGAAGGAATTTCAATGAGAAATGACAAAATTTCATAATGGAAACTATGTGAGATTACTATTTACCTGAAAAATCATATTCCTTCGTCTCTCGCTGCATTTTTGTGCATGGTACAACAGCACAATGAAAAGGCATGCTTGAATTAATGAATAGTGCAAAAAACACGATTCGTATGCCAAAATATTGTGAAAAACTATTTCAAACCTTTGAATCCTCTGTAAACAAATAAAAAAGTGAGGTTGTGTTTCAATGTTTCACAGATAAGTGTGGTTGTGTTTCAACATTTTACCTCCAGGGTCGGTCATCGTGCACGCGACCTATTTCAATCATTTGTAAACAAATAAGAAAAGTGAGGTTCTGTTTCAATGTTTCACCAATTGTTTCACCTGCAGAATCGGACATCTGACAGTTCTTGCACGAAAACCATGTTCCATCTGTCATGAGTGATAAGCCTCAAATCTCAAATGTTAGGTGATAAATCTTGAGTAAAGTTTTTTATAAAATAGCCCTTACTGACATCATTTTGACAATATTCGTCACTTACAATAGTAGTCCTAGGAAAAATGAATAAAACTCATCCACAATGAAAAAACGAAAACCTTGTGACTTTACCTGCACCACTTTGAGATCATACATCTGATGGTCGGCCGATATCAGCACAGAACAGCCCATGTGCTCGTCCGCGGATTCGTTGTAGGGCTCCTTGCTGCAGCGCCTCGGCAGGAAGAACCACCGCTGATGGACACCAGACCACACCCCGCTCTCGTGGATCATGTACCCTGGCCACTTGATGCCGATTGCCTCCCTTATCCTGTTGTATTCAGATACCCAGTTCACGTGGTTTACCTGGAGATCGTCGAAGAAGAAGAAGAACTTGAATGTTTTGTGGAAGACAAACAGATGTATATTCGACTTCCGACCTCAGTGGAAGACAAGCGGCGTTTTCAGGTTGGAAGTCAGGTTGATGTGTTTGTGATTGTGAATTGGAAACACTAAAAGAGCACAATACCTGGTAGCACTATGAGTGAGACACCCAGAGTGATCGAAAAACAAAACCCTCCTTATTTACACCAGTATCCAGGCCAGATGGGGACGGATTCTCCGTAATAAGGTCTCTGGCTCTATGTCGTAATACAAGAAGCCATATATTCAGAGAGATAGAGAGAGAGAGACAAACAGATGTGACCGCGAAACATGTGATGCCTTTCTGAAGATTTTTTTTCATCTCAGATTCGAATTGGTCGGGTTAGAGGCTTCAGATATTCTTGAATATTATTATAATGCCCTGATAGTATATGGAACTCATTCCATTTCGTGTTTTGATCGCTGGCAGTTCAATTTGAGGATGATTACCCATGTTATATGCTCCGAACAGTTGTATGATCGAAGGTTATACAGGGTGTCCGGAGATAAAACCGACAAAACTTTTTGGGTTATAGGGACTGCCAATATAATTGTACAAAACGGCTTCGTAATTGACATACAAAGTAATTCATGGATTTTGACATACAATTCAATCCGTCATATTAAATACACGGATTACGTGATTGGGTTCAAATTTGGTACTCAAAGGCTTCAACAAGTAGCACCTTGAACGAAACTAATATCAGGACCGGAATATTATTTTTCTCCTATCTTGAGTTATTGTAAGAATATAATATGTTACATTTTAAACTAGTATTTTCATGCAAATAATAATAGGTAGAAATCAGGAATCTCTTATTAGTGCTGAAACTGCCGCCCAAACTAAATTGATTCATGAACCTGTATGCAAATCAAATTAATTCAAAAATTATTCAATTTCCAAACACAATCTGGTGTGAAATTATCTTACAGAATACCACACGAGGTCAAATTACTTTCCGGGAATTTTTTCTAGCTCATGAATATTTCGAAAATTTCGGAAATAATTTGACCTCTAGTGGTATTTCAATTGAAAATTTCACACCAACATTATTTAACCTGTAAAAATAAGCTTTGTTGCAGCTTGTTACTACAGCAACCACAATAATACTTTGCCATAGTTTTTTCCTCCTAGGTACCACAGTGATAGCACAGGGATAGTATTTCTGTCAACTGCACAAACATTGTAAAAATAAAGCTTCCATTCACTTCAGTCACACAGATTTGTTGATAGCTAAGCATACATTATTTTTAAGGACAAAAATTCCTTTCATGCAACTGAAATCCTAGGAAGGTGTTTCTTGGATTCAGAAACCCAATATATTTACAAAATGTCATGTCATAATTTCATGTGATGTCCTCGGTGATGTCATATTTTTTTATATAACTGGTTTGGAATTTTCTTGCCCAATCTCCCATGTTCTTGACTAGACTGGGAATGATTTTTAAAAAATCATGCTCTTGGAAATATATCCATATCCAATAGTAATCCAAGTACTAGGGGAATCACTAGTGAGGACTTCTACACATTAATGAATTGTTAAATATAAATTATATATATATATATATATATTTTAGTGCTAATTTATTGGAACTAGAGCTCAATTACTTACTTGACCTTTTGTTGTGACAGTTTTGATATACTGTGGGTTGTGATTCTGAAACTCTCCAGATGCTGTTGTCCATTCTTTGCCCATGGACCCAACAAAGAGAATTTCATCTTTCACTGTGGCCCATTCAGATTTAAAGCCTTTTTGGTTCCTAAAATTCAGAAAGGTTCTAGCTTTTTCTCTTTTTTTTAACCAAGAAAATCTTGCCTGCCATCTCCATCCATGAGTATCAACCAAGGAATGAGATTGTAGTTGATTATTTCAAAAACTAGACCAGTTCTATCATCAAATGTTAATAACTTTCCATTGAAAGTGACCAGCTCTGAGAGTTCTAGGCCTCTTCCTTTCAGAGCATAGTTAGTTTTCAATAGCTCAGGCTCTTTTTGATCCCATGTAATGATGACAGTGTGTTTCTGAGGATTATAGCTCAGATGCCCCAGTTTTAAATAGGAGTACCATGTGTTTTTTTCGTTTTCGCTTTTTGAGTTTGTATCTAAGTCTGCAATGATACCTGAAAAATTCGTTTTTTTTTTCAATTCAGGATAACATTCTTACTTGATGAATCTAGCATGCTTAGTTTGAATATTTAACTCAAAATAGAAGAATTCTCATTTGAAAAAAGGTAGTCTGGCTGGTACTGTACAGTGGATGTAATAATTAGTCAGCTGATGGAATTCATAAATTGGGAAGATTTTAGAACATCATCCTGATAAAAGATAGGTATATATATATAATAAGATAAATATTGAAGATGCATGAGAAGAATAGTTCAAGAAGGAGGGAGAAATGTAGATGAATCTAGAGCTGAAGAAAATGAGAGGAATAGAAACTTCAATTAACCTGAAAAAAATCACTAGATCATAATATAGTGAAATATTAGTAAACCTCCCCAGCAGGACCAAGACTTGAGCCTTGCATAAGTTTATTTCAATGAGGAGCAATAAAAAATAGGTGTCAATCTGTTGAGTACTGTGATCTATACTCTAGAGGAAGTCTAGGCTGAAGTATCAAGGTTTATTTAAAAATATTGTCTGAAAATGATTACAGACTTTCTGGAAAAAATCTAAAGCTGCACCAACATAATATGCTGATGATATGTATTACAAAACAAGAATCTCTAAAACATCAACATATGCCTGAAAACTGGGTTGTTGAAAATTGTAATACTTACCTCAATGTATTAGAAAGTCTCATGGAGCTGTTTTATTGTGTAATAGAAACACTAGTGCACCTTCAGGTTCATAAAAATATCAACTATCTATTCTTTTATATAATATATTATTTCAAATTATCTTTTCCAATAGAACTCAGAAATCTGAATTTGGGGTCTTGGGTATTTTTGATTTGAAAAAAATCCATTTTGGACCATAAAGAGTGGAGACTGCTATAAATTGCAGCATAGCATGCTGATTCATATACAGTGTGGTTCAATGAAAGTATAAGTCAATCACATGCTGAATTGCTCAACAAAATACAATCCATAAACTATAATATGACTAGCCATCTCATGATCTTATATCTCAAGACATTGAAATCATTTACTTACCTATTCTAAAAGTATGCATACTTGAAGTCTTAATTGGCCTTGTCAGAGGATATGTATGGTTATAATCACTACTTCTAAGAATACTATTGGTTGATCTTTTGGAGGAATTTGTGTACAAAAAAATTAAAAGAAACACTCCTGTGAGACCTACAACGTAAACGAAAAGAGTCTGCCCTCTAATGGTTCTATTGACTATCCGGTATGCTGGCTGGGCCTTCAATGCCTTTCTCCAGTCTCGTGTTGTTCCCATGTCTTCGTCCAGTAAATTCATACGAAAGGAATTTGATTCCATCAACTTGATTTTCACTAAAATGGAAATGGCACCAGAAAATCGATGCAGTAGAGCAGGAATGATGATTTTGATTCAAGACAAGGGTTCAGTAAGCGTGATAGCATTTTCTTAGGATTATTGAGCGAGAAAATACAAGAAACATGGTAATGAATAATGATTTTAACAACCAGATTTTTCTCTGATCGCCAAGTTGTCAAAGTTGAACTACTTATAACCAAAAATTGTCTTCTTCTGGGTTCTTACTTTTTGCAGGTCGAACTTTCTTCTCTTTTTATTTATTTGCATATGTCATTTAACTTGCTATATTCTTATATTCAGCTTCCTATGAATGAATCCTGACATCGGTACCACAGGTACCACGACCAAACAAAACAAAGAAAACATGATAAATCGAAAAAATAAGGAGAAACTTTTCTTACGAATTTGTTCTAGAATTTTACGAAAAAAACGCAGAAGCAAGAGCGGTTGCTTTCATATTTTTCAAGGTCTTCTTGATCTTGTATAAGGCGAATACTTATACTTTTTCCTCCGATTGGCAGCAAATATTAATTTTGCTGACAGATATCAATCAGCAAAGTATTACTTTTCCTGCCTAGGCAGCAAAGTGGGTACTTTGCTGCCTAGGCAGCAAAGTGGTTACTTTGCTGATTGATATGTATCAGCAAAATTGAAAATCCATAAATCGTTTATAATTTCCTTCATATTTCATCCGAGACTTCTCCGGCAACAAATTCAACTCTATATTTTTTGCCACCTCCCTTATTAATGGAGGTGTAAGCGTGTAAGTATACTTCCAGGTCGCTATCACTGTCAGAAATTTCATGACTTGTCAAACCAACAACTGCGATTTCTATCAAATTTTATTTTAATTGAACACTATACAGGAAGAATAAAGAGATTGTGGGAATTGTATTAATTCGCAAACACAATTTTCTCCCATATCATTATGAACAATCGGAGAAAAAATCATATGTTCAACTCGGCAGCACAGTAGATTGACTGCCTCTGCTGGATTCCTAGCCTCGCTACGCTCGGCTATGAATTCAGCCACGGCAGTCACTCTACTACTTTGCTGCCTAGTTAAACAAATAACTATTACCCCTTTCTTTTACCTGAGATGTTTACTAGGCATCTTACTTATACCAATGATTAAGGCCATGAAGGACATATACAACAGTCTACAAAAATCATCAGAGGTTCAACATCCTGATGTGATGGTATTCATCATATTACTTATCTGTAAGTAATATGAGTTCTCTGTGTATTCATCACGAGTATTTATGTAATTCGCGGACTTCATCAGATGACGTTGCGATGACATTTAAAACTATTTTACTGTCATCAAGGATAATGACCTTGACTACCGCGAATAAACTTCGAATCTTAGACCATTGGCTCCGGACCCCGTACCGTCCGAAATGACGGGCTTTATCCAACTTTTTCCTTGAGTTCGAAAATTGGATTAGTAGTTTCTTGGACTCCCCCCCCCCCCCGAATAAAATTCTGGGCCCGGCCATGATATCTATAATACATAAGTCGATTGAAGTAGCAAGAAGAAATTAGAGGAATTGAACACCTGCTGTTGGATGGAATGTTATATTACCAGAAAAAAAGCTAACAACAACAAAGAATAAGGCACTTTCTGCTATAGAAATCATATGATATATACACAACACCGGCAAAAATTACCTAATTATTGAAAATAATAAGTGGATCTATTCATTTACTTCGTCAGTAAATGCACTGAATGAAATATTTCAGCGTTGCCGGCATGTTTTGCCGTTAAGTGGATATGGGTAGAACAAGATCAGGTGGGAAATGAAATGATTTTTCTTTTTTAAAATCGATATATTTATTGTTACATATAATATAACAGTTAGATAATATAATTTTTACATAGGTCTTACATCAAAACAGTATGTAAGAAGTATGAAAATATTTATAACAGTTCTTAAACAAAAAATCACTATGAAACAATACTGTAGTTTCCCCAAGATACAATAGTTGCGTTTTATTAATCCGATTCCGCCACCGGAATCAGTTTGATGTGTCGTTTTATTTGTAACTTTTCCGATTCCGGTTGCTACTTTCCATTCCGTCTCACTACAAGGAATGATGTGGAATGACTGTTGACAGGTGTCAAAAAATCAAATCAGATTGACGAAAAACGAACCTTTTTGAAAGTAAAAGACATTTAGAAGACATTTTCAGCGTGAGTTTCACTAGTTCATGATTCTTTCAAGTAAGACAGGTTTCATATGTTCATTCCCAGATAAAATAAACTCTGTCGATCTCAGGAAAGTGTCTTCAATCACCACAATCACTGCTCCAAATATTAGTTGATTCATTTTCTAGATTCTCAACTCTAGTATTATGCTTTTGAAATTATTTGGATCTCCCATATACAAATATAACCCCTTATGTAAATTCTCTCAAGCAAGGTTATGAAGTTTCTCGTTTTATTTGTAAACGTCATTCTGTTCCCACCACCGCTACCAGAATGGAACAAATAAAACGCAACTAGTATTCCTTCATATCTTGAAAAACATATAATCTCTGTATTCAATTTGATTCAAAACAAAGGTATTACATAACAATTCATCCGTAAAATCGGATAATTTTCATACTGGCTACTCACAGCACCAAAACCATCACAAACAACCGGCAACCGTGAAAAACCAATGCCACTTGGAACAAAAACCACAAATAGGCGGCCAGGCCTACCTGGTACGGGACAGGGGCTGCCGCCTATTTGAGCCCCATCGCCTGAGTCAGCTGCTCGTACATGGTCCAAGACATGGCGGCCATCAGCGTGCGCCGCAGCATCCTCGGCACCATGCCTTTGAAGTACCCCCTGGGGCCGTACTCCCCATGGACGTAAACCACCACCGACCACAGCCCGCGGAACTTGTTCGGGTACAGCTGCATCTTGGTTTTGAGGACGTCAGCGGGTTGGGTCGCGATGGACGCGAGGATGCCTGCCGTGACGCCGCAGGTGAAGTGGATGGGCGATGAGTAGTTTGAGTTCATCAAATCTGCAAGTAAAAATCTCAGAGTGAATAATGATAGATAGACACCGCGATTCGTACATAAATCATTGAAAAGTGTCCCAGCAAACATTGAACTAGCGGGAGGAGTCCGGCCTAGTGCAGGCTAGTCTGGGAAAGTGACGGTGCAGGGGTATTGGTAATGGCCCGATGATTTTCCTATGCCAAGTAACCATCACTTAAAAATGCGATGATGGCCTTGTGATGGTAAAATATGTCTGGAACTAATTGAATACTAACTCGTCCCCCTGGTGGATGTTCTGGGAACGTCTACATCAACAATCAGCTGATCAATATTATATGTGACTGAGATGGCTGACTCTTGTGAGTGGTGATCGCGTTAGTTTATGTCGCATTAATGTGGTACTCTCTTTCCCTGGTGGTTATTTATGATGGCAGCAGTATTCTCAATTGATAATAATAGAAGACGGATTCTTCAATTATGATAATAATATTGAGTAAGTATCAATCTACATAGTGTTTCGAATTTCATTATTAAATGCATGTGTTTGGTATCTCATAACCTCATATACCTACCTGATGATCATAATTATTGGAGTTGGCAATTAGGCATTCCAGAACACGTGACTTTTGACATATTTCTAATGGCCGCCTGTAGGCACACAATTTTTTTTTGTCGATTTACGTAGCAGCGGTATAATCTTGGGTAGATATATCAAATAATGATAATAGCTGTTTTGAATAAAAGTGGATATTTATAATCCTTGGATCACTATAACAAAGATATTGCGACACGAAAGTATGTGTGCCTACAGTCGGCCATATTGATTTAGATGGTTTGACAGCATCTTGGATAGGTCAATACTTCTCCAAAAGCAACTATCATTTTTAACTCGTTTGTTGCTATCAAAAGCAATCTTAGGTTATGTGAACCTGTCTCTATATTAAAGAACTAAATAACAATAAGGTTTCAGCTACAGAAATACCTGTGCCAAAAAAATAATGAGAATTATTGGAAAGCTCCATGTTATCACGTCATCAGACTATATATTATCAAGTTATAAACTCATGCAACTCATAGGCCACTAATATATAACTAATGATGCATTTCAGAAGTATCTCACAACGAAGAATCAACTTTGAAGGAATGCTACCCAATAAGATGTAGATACCACATACCAATCAGTAAGCAGTCACTCCGAGAAGTTTCATCGTCAAAGAACAGTGAGGTTAAGAAGATATCATTGTGTCATTCATAAAATTGTTTTCTTGGAATCTAGTATGTGTCTGATTTATGATGAGAGGGGTTATGTTGTGAAATAAAGAGGTACTAGAACTTTCAGATCCATTGGACCCTTAAAACCCCCACCCCTCCCCTACCTCGATAGTATGTAACTAATGTCGTTAATAGGCCATTACAGTTCCATCATTTATGTATATGCTGGGCTTGCTATGGGAAACTCAATGTGTCGAGAATGTTGTTCTGGCCTTTTGCCGGGGAACTGAATATGATTACTGGGTACCCAGTACCAGCTGCCGGCCGCAGTGTACAGATATATAGAGTCCCGCATATGGGACCATTTACTGAGCCGCTGATGTCAGGTATGGGGAAAATATAGTAGGCCATTGATGCCCCATATCATCAAAAAAAAATGTTCGGATTTTTTTTTCGAGTTTTCAATTTCAATTTATTTCCAATAGTCAGCTATTACTTACTTACAGGTATGCAGTGACGATGACTTGACAGTCGAAAGCGCTCTGCTACGAATATAAATTTGAATAAATTATCTTGCACGAAATAAAACACTTCCCTTCTTTGGTCTTTTGCCATATCAAAATGTTTGCTGGGGTACGCCAACAAGCGAATGGGGAGTCGTTAATAGATATATTTTATACAGGGGTGTCCCTGAAGCATATTTACAGACCCTCACAATTCACATACGACGACACCAGCGTGCTGAAATCTGTGAACCTGTGTAGCCAACAGTGACGCTACAAAAGCTCACTGACATGGGCACACAAGGCTACAGTACCATCGATGTATCGTGTGTGTTGCGACTATCGATAGTTTTTCACCCCTAGCGTACCTTACAGTAACTGAGCTTATAATTATTATTAGTTCTGAATTTTCGACAATTATGATTAAGCTATTATTTATTACTTCAGGCAATGAACGCCCAACAAGGGGGTGTCGAGAACATGAAAGAGGACAGAATTTTTGATATTAGGGATGTGTCTGGAGTAGATAGGAAATAAATATTCCAAAAGTCTACAATTTTACGAGGTAACCCAAGTGTAGAGGGCGACGTAGAAGGTTCCTCTTATAGATTCGTTAATATCTCAAAAATATCTCAAAAACGGCACGTCACAGCAAAAAAGTCAATATAATTCAAAATCATAGATGATAAAATTGTTTACAAAATCGTATTAGTAGGTTTTTTATGTATCTTTGATTGTTTTCCAAATACTCGCTAGCAAATCATGTGCATTTTTTGAATTCGCTTTTCTTATCTATCGTATTTTGACGGCTCATCAACCTTCAGCTTAGCACCAAAGTTTTGGACGAAGAAGTCAAAAAGGATTCAATCAACTTCAAAATGTTATGTCACATGGAACACCTGTATTTCATTCTTCCTGAGGAGCAGATATTCAGAATAATTCTTGAAAAACTGCATTCATTTCAATAAAATATATTTCATCTTACCTATAGGAACAGCCGATTTCGTTTGGGTATAGAACATCAAGTAGAGACCAGAAAAGGGCGCGTCTCTGAATAGAGTTGGCAACAGGCCGCACGTCATGCCCTTGATGCCTTCAGTACGATAAATTTCCTTCAAGGCATTCAACACGCCATCATAACCGTAAACTCCACTTTCAAACCTGAAACACAATAGATGATTAACATTTCATGGCAATTTTAATGGTCATATCATGAGCTATTTCACATTTCATGTCAATTTCAGTGGTCATATCATGAGCTATCAAAAAGCTTCTCCAAAAGGAATAACAGTTGTTTGATATGGCAATCAATTCAATGTTTTCTTTTGCCAAGTTTACAATATGAACACACATTGTGGAAAACTAAAAAAATCGCGTACTTAGTACTTGGACAATCACCTTGTTTTGACTACGGTTATTGGAATTAGTGCTGCTCCACTCATGCATCTTGCAATAATTCCTATTGCCATGGATTCCATGGCGTTGGGAGTTTTGTCGGAGAAGTAAGTCGACTTTATGAAGTCCAAAGAGCAGAAATATAGACCCACTCCAGGAACACATCGGGTCAAGGACTGAAAAAAAAAACATAAAATTCGAGTAACTTCACTTCATAATTCTTCATCGTGAATGCCTTCTCAGATAGATGAATTAAATTTTGTTCTAAATTTGTTCGTTCGTAACGCCTCTCTACAAAGAAGGGTGTCGCCTTCAAGAGCTAGGTAGGAACAATGGTTTCATACTAGTTATTTTCCAAATTATTGATGCATTGAAGGAGAGCAACAGTCGTTGTTTTAATGGAGACATGCTCTCAGAAAGGTGGATCCATGTTCACGCAGAATCATAATCTTGGAAAAATTCCTTATGAGTTTGTTGGACACTTCACTTCAGAATTCTTCATCAGTGAGACAGATAAGTGAGATGAATATTATATGGAGCCATCAGCAAAGCATGACGCTAATTCAAGTATTTTTTTAGGACATTCCAGGAACAACACAAACTATCTCAGATGTCTCGGAATCTCAGAGCCAGTATTTGCATAAACTCCTTATTCGTCTGTAAGACACTTCATCTCGGAAATCTACATCTGTGAAGGCCATTTCAGATAGATTAATGAAATAATATGGAGAATATCAAGATAAGTCTTCATAAGCATTAAATTTGTAATTTCTCAAATACAGTTCATATTTCTATTTTCTTCGAACATTTCTTCGTGAAAAAAACGACTTTGACCGATTTACTAAATGTTTCATCAACCAGTCGAAAAATCATTCGACATTCATTTATGTGAGTGCATGGAATCACGTCAGGTACCCTTACGAGGGGAGAGTATCAACTTTGGCGTTCGTAATGCCTCTCTACAAAGGAGGGTGTCGCCTTCAAGAGTTAGGTATGAACAGTGGTTTTATACCAGTTATTTTCCAAATTATTCATGCAATATATGAAAACAACAGTCGTTGTTTTAGCGGAGACATGCTCTCAGAAGGGTGGACCCATGTTCTCTTCATGATGAATAATATATTACGCAATTAAAAAAACAATACTAATCCAAGTTTTTTTTTTGGATATTCCAGAAACAATGCAAGATATTCCAGAATTATCAGAATCTTGGAAGAATTCCTTATTCGTTTGTTGGACACTAGTGAATGCATACCCAGACAGATAAGTGAAATGAATATTATATGAAGCCACCAACAAAACATAATACTAATTCACGTATTTTTTAGGACATTCTTGGAACAATACAAACTATCTCAGATGTCTCGGAATCTCAGAGCCAGTATTTGCATAAACTCCTTATTCGTCTGTAAGACACTTCATCTCGGAAATCTACATCTGTGAATGCCATTTCAGATAGATTAATGAAATAATATGGAGAATTTCAAGATAAGTCTTCATGAACAATAAATTTGTAATTTCTCAAATACAGTTCATATTTCAATTTTCTTCGAACATTTCTTCGGGAAAAAAACGACTTTGACCGATTTACTAAATGTTTCATCAACCAGTCGAAAAATCATTCGACATTCATTTATGTGAGTGTATGGAATCACGTCAGGTACCCTTACGAGGGGAGAGTATCAACTTTGGCGTTCGTAATGCCTCTCTACAAAGGAGGGTGTCGCCTTCAAGAGTTAGGTATGAACAGTGGTTCTATACCAGTTATTTTCCAAATTATTCATGCAATATATGAAAACAACAGTCGTTGTTTTAGCGGAGACATGCTCTCAGAAGGGTGGACCCATGTTCTCTTCATGATGAATAATATATTACGCAATTAAAAAAACAATACTAATCCAAGTTTTTTTTTAGGATATTCCAGAAAGAATGCAAGATATTCCAGAATTATCAGAATCTTGGAAGAATTCCTTATTCGTTTGTTGGACACTAGTGAATGCATACCCAGACAGATAAGTGAAATGAATATTATATGAAGCCACCAACAAAACATAATACTAATTCACGTATTTTTTTAGGACATTCTTGGAACAATACAAACTATTCCAGATGTCTCAGAATCTCAGAGCCAGTATTTGCATCAACTCCTTATTCGTCTATAAGACCCTTCATCTCGGAACTCTTCATCAAATAGTCGAAGAATTATTCGACATTCATTCATGTGAGTGTATGGAATCACGGCAAGTACATACATACATAACATACAGGTGAAGCTAATAAAATATACTTGACAATAATTGCCAAATATCATTCAATCATTTTCATCATAAGTTGAATGAGATTGTCCTCTTTTTTTACAGTTGTAGGAAAAATATTGTATGTAACACGCGCGAGCACGCCCATAGTGTTTTTTTACTCATAGGAACTGCCACACGACGCCTACTTGTAAAAAAAGTATCACTTTATGCACTTGTTGCATAAATACCAACCCGACTATTACCAATGGTAATAGTCGGGTTGCAAAAAATTTGCAAAAAGCGTTGGTGATGAAAGTTGATTAGGATTCATCTGGTTATTAGGTATACTGAATAGACAAATTTCAAACATTAATTTTCAACCTGGTATTTTAAATGATCATTAAAATTCGAAATTTTGATCTGTGTGAACGAGACTGTTGTCTCTATCTGGATAAAATAGCTATTACACTTGAAAAACAATATTTTGCAGCTTCTTTTTCAAATCCAACCTTTAAAACATTCATCAATAACTTTGAAATTGCTACCCATGTTTTAGTCATTATGCTTGGTGGAATTTAGCGTGCCCACTTTCCCACTTGAGGAGACATCATACACACTCTTTCAAAAATGAAAGACTAAAATAGGTAGTTAAATTTTTAGAAGTATCATTCATGATTATGATATCAATGAGGATTCAAATTAATGTTAGTATAATCAGATACATGCACAATAAACGTGCTTATTTGCTGACCAAAGTTCCAGTTCCTGATAATATTTGCTATCTATTTATGAAATATCAATCAATTTAATTCATGCTTTTAGGTCCCTCATGAAATTCCATCATATTCCTGAATCTATAAATTGTAGCTTGTATCTTCTTTCAAACCATAATTTTCTACATACCTCAGCTCTTACTCAAACAATAAGAAGTTAATAATTTTGTAATTCATGATGTGCTGGAGAATGATAAATGCCTAATGGCTCTTCAAAAATTCAACCCCTTCTTGTTGAATCAATAAAAACTCACCCAATCAGGAAAACTGATCCTTCTTGGAGTTACATTGATCTTTTGGTTGAAATGACAGATTCACAGTACTAATTGAGACAGATGAAGATAGTGGATATTCAATTTGTTTGAGAAAGCTGATTATTATTATTTTTTTGAATAAGTATCTATTATTTTCAAGTTGTATTATTATGTGTAACTGTGAAAATATGCCAATTTAATAGTACTCACAGGTGTCATTCCTCTCCACAGTCCACTGATGTGATCCTTTTGCAGTATGTTGGTGAAAACAGATGCCATACTGATGGTTCCATTCTGGCCACTGAAAAATCATTATCATATTAGGAATTGAACAAATCAATGATGCAAAGCAAATCAAATGGTGAGAAATAAGATTCAAGAAATGTAAGACATAGATGGTTGTCATATATCCTGTGTCCCAAATTAGATCCTCTCCATTGGGATCTCCATAACTGTGTAATTTTCCAGATATTGGAGAAAAAAGAAAATACAGAATTTCAGTGTTTCATGAATAACTAGAAAATGACTGAAGCTAAGCTATATTTCTTAATGGATTCTAAATCAAGTTTGAATTTGCTGAAATAAAAAATAATAATTTAACCAACTAATGAGAGATATATCATAATTATGGAGATTCCAATGGTGGGGATGGAATTTGAGACACACTCTATAATAATAATACCTACTTGGAATATGTTGGAATATGTGAAACAAATGAGGTACTTACTTGATGAGGGCTGGTGTGGGGTTTTGCAAACGAGTTTTAACCAAGTCCAAAGGCTGGAACAGGACTGTGGAGAATGTTCCAGAGAATGAACCAGCAAGGAATGCTTTGAGAAGGGGATGCTGGAAAAAAAATCAATATTTCAGGAATAATTTTTCACAGTGAATATGAATAAAATTTAAAAAAAGATTGAAATATACTCCATGAATAATATATTTCTTTTTCGAATTCTATTATTATTTATAGAAAAACTTCTATAACTTACAACTGTGACAATATCCATTTTGAGTAAAGAATAACTTCAATATGATATATATGTTGATTCAGATTCAGGAATGCTGCTATCTATATCACAGAATTTTATTTGAACAAAGTACCTAGTTAGGTATTAATATATTTAAGTACATAGAGTACTAAAATGAAAATTTAGAGTGTATCTGAATAGTCTGAGTAGTAGATGGGGTTAACTCTGAACTTATTCACAATGGTCATCATTTCTGCTCTCAGGAACTGCATTGATATTGAAAACAAACTATTGCACACAAAAAACCACACTAGATAATCAAAATGATTCAATAATACCAGTTTCCACTTAGCAACCTCATTTATAGGAACACCAACTTCAAAATGTAAGTTTGCAGAGCTATCACATTGAATATTAAAATGATAAGATTGATTTGGAAATTTATTGTGACCTCAAGTCTATATATAATCTGAAATCTAGTCTTGTGGGGGGTCACACAGGATAACATTTGACCTTTGATGGCATTGATATTCAGACCCCCAATGGTTTTATTGTGAGAAGGATTGTGAGTGATATATTGTGAGCATAGGTTAATAAACAAATGAAAAATCATTATGTTAATTGATGGTATCAACTACTCATTAGTACATTAGTAACTTATGTACTAAGTAGAATAATATACAGTGTTTTGAGCTTGCAAATGTGGAAGATGATATGGTCAGTTAGAAATAACCAGATGAAATCTTGCAGTTATCAGAATATTGGTGTAATTGCGATTGTATCGACGATATCAGTGATACTTACATTTGCTAATAAATTGTGTTTACAAGATTCTTTATCAGTCTGACCAGTGGTCTGACCCCAGCAAGGATCTATGACCATTACCTTCGTCCAGAATGATTGTCTAAATCACATTGGATAATTTAAATCCTCATTCCTAGTAATTCCTACCTTAATCCCGAATTTGGAGCTGATAGTATATTAATTTCTGGAATCATTTAAAATTCAAATAATGTCATAAAAAATTAATTATAAGGTTATGTCGCCTTTGCCTTTTAGATCCTGTCCTGTCATTCCCTGGCAGTGTCAAATGAAGGTCAAATAAAAGCAAATACGATACGCTCCCTGGCGGGGTTTTTGAAAATTGTGAAAGCGGCAAAGTGCCCTTGGCAAAGTGCAAAATGCAATGGCGTTCACAATATTTGATTTTTGACCATCTCAAATGAGTGTGCATTTGTCCATTTGTTGTCATATGATAGGCCTTCCTATAGGATTGAAGACATTTTATCTTCAAACTTTCTAATAACATGTAGGTTTCTTTCACAAAAATGCTTTTATCTGTGACGGGAAAAAAATTGACGTTTCCTCTCTGTTGACAGGTTATAAAATGTCACTTTCCATGAATTACTTTTTTTTCACAGGAAAGAAGGAAGTACTCCCCTTTTCCCGGATATATATATACAAACACTGTTGATGGCTTTTGTTGTGCCATTTCCGAAAAATAAGCCAATAACACCGTCTCCGAGAAAGAAGTCATTTTATCTTCCATTCCACTCCTCCGTTATACGTAAATTACTAAACAACCACACTATATAAGTTCGCAATTTCTTCAAATCCAATCACAGAATTGTGTAAGTGAAATTTTTGTTGAAAACTTCAAATTTCATGTCGGTAATTTCCTGATTATATAATACACGGGATATAAATTAGATTTTAGCTCACGGTCTGGAGGCAACACAACTTCGAGAGTTCGAGCTGAAATCTAATACATTATTCCCTTGTGTAATAAATGACTATTTTTCTGACGAGAAAAAAGTGTGGCATTTCATCTCTGTTGGCAGGTTATAAAATGTTACTTTTCATAAATTAATTTTTCCCGGATATGTATCTCATATATATACACTGTTGATGGCTTTGTTGTGCTAAAGTTCCGAAAAATGAGTCAATAATTCCGTCTCCAAGAAAGAACTGCAAGTCCTTTTATCTTCCATTCGACTTCGCGGTTACGTATATTACTGAACAACCACTAAATTCGAAATTTGTTGTAATCAAATTAGAATTAGACATCAAATGACATCAAATATTTGATTACTTCAAAAGAATGATAAAGATGCCTACAACGCAGGTGCCCCTACTGTTAAAAACTTAAAATTTTACGTCGATAATTTTCAGATTTCAAAATAATGTAATATCTTCTCAATATTGATTCGTCCTTTCTTCTGCCACAGAAAAAAATAGTGTATTATACACGGGAAAAATATTAGACAACCAGGTTGTGTTGAAATCTACTACTTTCCCTTGTATAATAAATAACTATTTTCTCCAAGTGGCATAGAAAGTGGCTTGTCTATCACACTTGAAAGGCAGGAAAGGTGTACTATCTCCTAGGCAGGAAATGTTTGTTGCTATGCGACTTTCCAAATAATTTGAATGAAATTGGTAATCAAGATTGACACTGACCATGGGTAGAGACAGAGTGGTAGAATTTTCATAAGTAATATCTGAATGTTCGAGATAATTCTGTTGCTTTATTGTTGACGAAATTGTGTTGCCGAGCAACACCACGTCACCACCGTCAGGACGAGTGGGATTGTTGTACAGAAACACAATTGAGTTGACAATGAAAGACAGAATTATGAGAAGATAGTCAAAACAGAGTGGTATTTTGCTAGGATATTTCACGTTCACGAAACATAAAGAGCATTTATTATAATTAGATTAATTCTGACAAGTACAGCCATAATCATTTTATGTCAAACTGACAGACTTTGCTTCGCTATCTATGGTTACATCCAGACTTCGATTTGCTAAAACATGAACGCTCTGTCAGACCAATCAGAATTTAAGGTCAGCTCATGTTTTAGCGGTACCTTAGATCATACAGTATGATCTAAGGTAAGCACACATTGTCTCTGGCTGGTCTCTGATTGGTCAGATTATGTGATGGGTGAAATAGTCAATAAAAAAATCACACAAAATTGGTTTTATAACATTCGGAGAAAAGGATATATGTTTCACACGGCAGCAAAATAGATGTAGATTGACTGCCTGCTTATTGGCTGAATTCCTATAGACTCGCTACGCTCGGCTACAGATTAACAAACCTTAATATGTGGCTCGGTGCTCGGCTATGAACTATCAGCTGCAGCAGCCAATATACTAATTTGCTTGATCAAGTATTTTAGCCCGTGAGACTTTATTTATGTATATTGTTCATGAAAACTGAATTCCACCAGAAACCAGAAATCGAAATAAATCAAAATGATTGAAAGTAAATGAAAATTATTGACGATAAATCAAATCATTGGAAATTATAAAGTAGGTATACGATTTGAAATTGCAGTTACTTATTGTTGTATGAATAATTCGTGATTTTGAACCCTGCATCTTGGAAACATATCATATTGGGAACATTTTCATTTTCATATAAAAAAAAGGCTAATTTCCTGTACTCAAAAGTTTATACTCACACTGCCTCGATCCATTTTGTGATATATTTATCAGTAGATGTATATATGATGAAACACAATAAGTTGAATCAGAAATAACAGAAAAAATCACTGAATACTTGGATATTTCGGTTCGATATATTATTGTAACCTTTACAAATTCTTCGTGGAAACTGAAAATAGTATGGATATTTGTATATTTTAAAAACACATTAGCCAATATGATATATCGCTGTTATCATTTGCAGGGGGTATAGCAACAGGAAAAGGTCAATACAGAGGTCAGAAGAAATATATTTCATTTTCAATAACATTTAATGAGCTAAAAAACATGTTATGGAATATGCAATCACATATATTATTATTTCTGTACTTTCTTCATACCAAAACCAGTTACCAAAACACTTTCATTTACATGCGAAAGTCTAAAGCGAATAAGTGGGGTTACGTAGGTATTTCTAGTGTGGTGCTAACTATCGTCTATATAGAGACTTGACGCAATTCGACGCAACAAATAAATCCGGTCTGTGAATATTTCCGGCCGATCCTGAAAAGAAAACATCACAGAAATAGCGAGTCGCTAGCGAGTCGCAATCGGCCTCGACAGGTACGGCCAGTTTTAGAATACTGTTCTCACATATGGTGTTCGCGGTACCCAAACATACGCTGATGCTCTTGGATTCCAGAGAAGAGCCATTCGCCTGATAAGAGATGAGAGATGCCACACTCACTATAGTTATTCGTTCTCATTGAAACACCGTACCCAGATAGCACGGGACGTCCCGAAGACGTCCATTTTAGGTCCATTTTTGGTCTGAACGTCCAGGACCTTCTATGGACGTTTTTAAGACGTCCATTATTGGACATACTCGGGACGTCCAGAAAAAGACGTCTTTAAAACGTCCAATTTACAGACCCTCACGGTATATCAGTTTAAATTGATATAAGTAGGTAGGTATATATAAATTTTGAAATTAGAATTATTGAATTGAATATGGACATGAATAATGTCAAAAAATATATTATATATCAGCTGTATCAATATATTGAATTTCATTTCATTATTAATATTATGAATTTGAAATATTTATGATTTAAACTGATTTGTACCAACTTATATTGTTATGTTGAATCATATTCCTTCAATCACATAATACCTATACAGTTTGACCATTCTTAAACCCACACTGAAGTATTCATACAAGCCGCGCTTTTATAATAAGATTTGATTGAATCACTGAATATGTAAAGCAACCGTAGAACGCATGCGTGCTCAGCGTTGCCAGACTTACTATTTTAGCAGTAGATCTACTGTTTTTGTCTCCGTTCTACTGTTCAACTATTCAAGGCAATGGTCTGATTGGTCAAGTTTTGATATGACGTAACTACCCAATATGCAACAATGAAAAATTAATGGGACATCACAGTAAGAAGATGTATGATAAAAATATACTGCAACTATCATATTCAGTCTGATTAGTGAAAATTAGCTTTTATTTCCAATCTGGTTGCGGTTTTCACAAATTTTATTTTTTATTTCATTATTTTTGTTATTCTTCATTCGATTTTTATAGGTATAGAGACCGAACATGATTTTTTTTTTCGTTTATTATATAGGTGAGTATGTTTTTTCATTTATGATAGCAATTGTGATGATTATCAAAATCTTCTGTTCAGTTTTGATGATCTACTGTTTTTTCCCCACCCATCTACTGCTCCGACAAATTTTCATCCGGCAACACTGTGCGTGTTACGTGTGAAACTGTGAAACGAAAACGTAGGAAGATGGCGTCCGTCAGTTGACCACTGCCGAGTGCCGATTAAACTGTGATTCAGGTCCAAGGACATTCTGAACTTTTCGGGTGATTAGACTGTAAAAGCAGTGAATAAGTGAAATCTTTGCGGATATCATCTATCAACTGGTGAACTTCGATCTCGAGTTCCATCGAGATGTTTATTTGAAGGCAAGTATGGCTATCGACGCTATCGTTTTATTTTCATTCGCATGAAGATGCTTGAGTAAGAAACATCAAATCTGTAGTTGAAAACATTAGATACCTTTCTAAATAATTTGATCTCATGCAAAGCTCTACCTAATCCTATTTGCATCATCTACCAAAGTTTATATTTTTGTATATAGTTAAAACATAATATAATTCGTGCAAGGTTCATAGAGGTTATATAGGTACCTACCTAAGAATCAGTTTATGTATGGAATAAGTTCTCAATGAAATAAAAATAATGAAGTATTCCGCTATACTGACTACTACACGTTGAAAGTGGGTGTGTGTTTATGGTTTATGGTTTTCACAGAAAATGTTATTGAATATTATTATTATTTACAGATCCAGTGAAGAAGACAACAGAAGGCTGCCAATCAGAAAAAGACATCATCGCGCCTGCGTACCTGGATGAATCACGCGACGTTTTTAGTGGTGCAGCTGCTGATATACGATATGGGCGAGTGAAATTGAAACAACTACCTGAATCTCTGTTCATATTATTGTTTGCGAATAAATGTTAACTAATATTCAAGTATTTCACTCTTCAGATGGGTCAGAAAATCAATAATCAATATTGTCTGAATGTCCTCAATACGTCCATTTTTCATCCCAAAAAGGTCCTAGTCTGGACCTTAACTGGACGTCCCCAAAACATCCTGATTATTAACAATGGACGTCCTCAAAACGTCCATAAGACGTCCGTCGTCCGGAAATGGACGTCCCCAAAACGTCCTGAATGTCCAGAGTGGACGTTTTTAAAACGTCCATAAGACGTACTTGTGCTGATTGGGTAGAGATGTAGGAGACCTTCACTTTTCTATAGATACTTTTTTCTCAGAAATATTTGCTCCATCATTCTATCACTAGCAAGTAGGCAATACCAATCAGACGAACTCGACAAACCCAGTCAGCACATATTTTTGTTGTCAACGTTGGGATATGTCGAACAACAATTCACCCTCAAAATCCTCAGATTCCTAAAGAAATTGAAGTTTGAGTGGCTGCTATGAACAAGAAAACCTTGAGATAGCGAAGCTTTGGAATTCTTTGTCAATGGAAGTACCTATTCCCAAGATCTTCATAACCTCCAATATTTCGAAAAAATTCCGATAAAAACCTCCTCTTCCTATTCTCCCTTGGTACGCACGATGTTCTTGGAATATTATATGAATTTATTTCGTGCGGTCCAAGAGATAAAAAACAGTGAATGCCTCCACAGTATTTTTTTTTCAAGTATTCACTTCGATAAAGAGCAGTAGATGGAGAAGGATTCGAATCCGGGAGCTTTCAATCCACATACGTTGTTGAGTGTATTTTTCAGTGTATACAGGGTGATAATCAATCGATTGCTGATTATACATGGTGTGAATCGTCGGATGATTTTAAGATGAGAAGTTATTAATATGATTATATGGGTCCTAAACCTCTTAGTTTTTGAGTTGAAGGGTGTTGACATTTTAACACGTTGTCGGACACCTATGTAAATGTCTGGACAAACTGAGGCACTTTGGTTCTTTGCCGAATTTGAACTAATATTAGTCCAAAAAATGATGTGAAATAGAAAGAAAATATGTCTGCATTTTTACACAAAAAACAGAACGATGAAAATCGACGGACAAACCCGTTACAAATACTGCGAGGACGGCATAGGCTGTCGAAAATATTGAGTGTCCCAGCCAAGGGCACAGACAACGAGTGCGATTTTTATATCATAATTTTTTATCACTTTTAATATTTTGCTACATTTTGTACACACCTTTCTATTATTGAGGAGCATTTTTTGACATGAGAGATTTATTAAAATTTTCACCAGTGACGTCCGTAAGAGGTTTGAACTGAAATTTTTTTGATGGGGTGGGTGCCTCTCGATCGGTGCCTCTCCCTCGATCGAACCTACTCGGTCTAGCCCTTCCTTCGGGAGAGACGTCCCCCACCCTGTTGCTGGGCTGAATATGACGGTTTCTTCAGTGGAATATTCCTATTCGTAGCCAAACAGGGTAGGAAACGAATTAAAATTGTAAGAAGGACAGCACTACAATTTGAAACTGTAACCTATCTATATATCTGAAATCACCTTGAAAATCTAACTTATGACTAGATTAATATTATTTCTGGTTCATTTTATATGTTTGGTTAGGTCCTAGAACTGACTACAAATATACTAATTCAAAATAGTACCTGAATGAATCACTCAACACATGTGATATAGCTGCTATTTTTTTTATAGTATAGACAATGTCTGATACCAACATTCCCAGCAAGTCAACCATACCTATGCTCGGTGTCTTCATCAGCAAAACTCTTTCATGGGATAATCATATGTATTAAATCCATCGCGAAAGCTGCTTCTCAAAAACTCGGATTTTATTCCGTGCGAAAAGCTACTTCACACCTCAACAGCTTATATATATATACGACCTGTTCTAGGATACTCTTCTCATATATGGGGTTCAGCACCTAAACATACTTCTGATGCTCTTAGACTCGATCCAGAAAAGAGCCATTCGCTTGGTGGGTGATGCCACATTCACTAACACTTTGGCATCATTGGAACACCGTAGAAAGGATACTTCCACGGGAAATGTTCCTCAGGAATTACTGCTATCATTCCACGCGACTAGCAATACCAGCCAAACGAACTCGACAAGCGCAGTCAGCACATCCTTTCGTTGTCAACCTCGAAATATGTCGAACAGCACTATATCAAAACCCGTTTCTCTAAAAAACGGAGAAGCTTTGGAATTCATTGACAGACGAAGTATTTCCAAGAACTCATAATCTCCAGAAGTTTAAAAAACACTTCCAACACAAGAACTCATAATCTCCAGAAGTTTAAACAACACTTCCAACACCTTTGCCTCCTCTCCTTATTCTCTCTAGGTACGCACGATGTTCTTCGAATATCATTGGGAATTCCTCTCGTGCGCACCAAGCGATAAAAAAATCGAAAAAACAGCTGTTGGTGGAGGTGCGTTCTATCTCCATGAATTCTTCGTATTCCAATATCCTTGTGGGGGGTGGAAGTCAAATAAACAGACCACTCTGAGCCATCGCGGTATTTGAAATTTGTAACTACGAAGAAAGAAGAAATATCGTGTGTTGTCTTGTATACAGGGTGTTTCTTAAGTACGTGTAGAAAATTCAGGAGCATGTTGCTGACGTCTTAATAGGAAGAAAAGTTCTTAAAAACATATGTCCGAAAGTTATCCGTTCCTGAGATACAGAGTGTCAAAGTTGAATTCTAATTGGGAGAGTTCAAAAAAGCAGGTACAAATAAGTAAGAATGATATTTTGCCTACATTCCAATGTTGAATGAAGAAGAATATTGAATGAAAGAAGAAAAATGCACTGGCGTATCATTTCTGATATTCACTAGAGGCGAATCCCAATAGCTCGAAAACAGTTGTTCGCAGTGACCTCTACCAAGAAAATATTTTTTACACAAAAGTGTTCTAGAAATCTATTTTGCTACTATGAAACGTTATACAGGTACGCACAAAAAAGTTATACCTTTTCAAAGACTCGAAAGACATGTAGGTGGTGCCACCCCCACGAAAGAGACAAACTAATATAAAATTTGATATTGACATCGAAAAATACCCCGAGAGACCAAATTTCATTCCGATATCACAATTATTTTGAAATTTATTATCAAAAAACAAAAATAAGTATTCAACTTTGACACTCTGTATCTTAGGAACGAATGACTTTCGGACACGAACTTTTCTTCTTATTTTGACGTCAGCAACATGCTTCTGCTTTTTCTACACGTACTCAAGTTATTGTATATCACAACAAGCAGCATAGCAGCATGCTACAAATTGAATTACTTGCGAGAGACGTAGTCGGATTCGTTAAATTCTCAGTTCGTGTTCCATGTCAAAAATCGTCACTGTCAACAATGTCAACAGTCAATGTTGTTCTATGTACGTATGTTCTTTTTTCCTTCTTTCTTTTTCACTTCTTTATTTTTTCATTCGTCGATGGCCGACAGCGAGTTGAAGGATTGTTTGTGGAAGTTTTAGAAATGTATTCTACTTATTTCTATTCGTAATATTACAGTTTGCTTGCAATTAGTTTGCGTATCCACTGTATATAGTTCATTGAATATTCCAATTTTAGTGAAGTCCGTTTTTCCAAATTTATTTTGTCCACAATGGCTGTGTTAGCTGCTGCCCAACTATTGGATGAGCTAATGGGAAGAAACAGAAATGTTGCACCGAATGAGAAAGTCAGAGAACTTAACTGGGAAGATCCAGAGGTATGTAAGTATTTTTTCCAGTCTGCTAACTTCATTGGAACCTTCTTTCAGTACTGCAAATACTTCTTAGCAAAATTCTGTCCCCATGATCTCTTCATCAACACTCGAGTAGATCTAGGCGTTTGTACTAAAGTACATGATGAAGAAGTGAAAAAACTGTTTGATAATGCCAGATCTACCTACCACCGTAAAGTCCAATATCAAGAAGACTTTCTTAGGTTCTGTTCATCTATGATGAATGATGTAGAGAGGAAGATAGGAAAGGGCAAACAACGTTTAGCACTCAGTGCCAGTGAAAAAAAAGATCCCACTCCAATGATATCTCCAGCTCAGACTCAAAAGAACCAGGAACAAATAAACATCCTCAATGAGAGGATAAATGATTTGGAAGCTGAAGCTGAAAAGGCTGGGACAGATGGTAATGTGGAGCAGGCACAAGGACTCATGAAACTTTGTGATCAGTTGAAGGAAGAGAGGGATGATCTCAGAAGACAGGTTGATAATGGGTGAGAAACTTGAAAATTGTTATCAATTTAAATTTTGTCAAAGAAATTCTAATATGTGAGAATTTGTATTCTCTCTGTTTGAACTGAGCCATAGATACATGGTTCCCAGGAGAATATACAGGGCCCTCTAAGAAGTTGTTCCCAAATGGAAAAATAAATATGAAAAAGATCTAATAAACATTCAGCAAGTCTCAATTTGCATTTTTTTGTTAATCAAGTTGCATGAAACTGAATCCCTATTTTGCTTCTCTATACCAAGAAATATAGAAAATATGTTGTTATAAGATTCACCCAAGTTTCAGGTGCTTTAATTTAATTTTCTTGAATGTTTTGTCAACAACAATTTTTCTCTATAGTACATTTATGTATTTTGCTTATTCTCAATTTCCAAAACTATCTGATAATTTCTTTTCAGCCATTTCAATGCAACTGCTGAATTGGCAGCTGCTCAGGAGAAACAAATGGAGGTAAGGATAATGATAATAATAATACTACTAATAGTGATAAAATGTAGATTTGTAGAACACCCTTCATACTGAAAAAAGTAACTAGATAACTCATGTCTAGCATATAAAATAGTGAATCAAATATTTATTCATAAATTCATACCCATATACTATTCAGGATCTCTCAGATTGAGTGCTGTATCTTGAATGTAGAAACTAGAAAATGTATTTTAATGACAGATTTTGCCATTACAACCACCTGAAAACACAACATGGTGTAGAACTTGTATATTATTCTAACAGATTAGTAATGCAAGCTTCAAGGTTGGAATTAACCTTAAAATTACCCCTAAATGATGATATAAGTAGCAAAACCCCAAATTGCATATTCAAGGTTGTTATATGTTCTGAATATCCCAGAATATTTTGTCCCTTATATTTGCATTTTTCTAGAAAATATCCATTTGTATCAATTTTTTTATTACAACTAGTTTTGTCCACAAGTAAACTTATAAAGCATCACTATATTCCATAGGAAATCTCGATAAATACAGTATATAAAAAAAATGAAGAAACATACTATTTATCAACACACTTACGAAAGTGTGTTTTTGATGTTTTCATATTATTTCAAAGTGCCCAATTTTGAGAAAATAATCATAATCTCCTACCTCCAAAACCTCCAGATACTAATTTTTAGTTGAATCTGATCATGATTACAAAACCCATCCGCCATATTGAATTTTCCAATTTTGACAAAAACAATCTCATATCCCAAAAACCATCCCATTATTTCCGACCCAGAAAACCCCCAGATACCAATTTTCGAATAGAATTGGATCATATAATTACAAAACTCGTGCACCATATTGGATCCGCCATCTTGAATTTTCCAATTTTGACGAAATAATCATAATCTTCACTATCAAAAACCTCCAGATACCTACCAATTTTTAATAGAATCGGACCATAATCACAAAACTCGTCTGCCATTTTGGAGCCGTCATTATGTTGTTTTGTTTTACAAAAATTTCAGGATGCATTGCCACCTGAATTATGTACACCTGCCAAATTTCAAATCAATCGGTCCCTTTAAAGTAGGTCCAAAGGAGTCGGATACATAGATACATACACCCATACATACATACATACACACATACATACATAGACATACATACAGGTGAAGCTAATAAAAGGATGCTGAAAAAATAAGTTGAAAGTCGCTAATGTTTCATTTGAAATTTGAAAAATTAATGATCAGAGTATCTGATGAGTAATTTCATATGCTTTTTTGTTTCGGATAATTAATAGTTGCACTATAGTTCGCGGCGTTTTTCGTCAGTCAGCTTGTATAAATTTCAATATAGGACAACACACGGTCTGTTTGGCGTTCGAAATTGTTAGTGGCTATCTAGTTATTTACTCCCTATATGCCCCCAAACTTGCACAATACTGTTAAGACCCGTTTTTTACAATGTAAAAGTGCCTGTTATCCCCACAATTCGTTATTTAATTCATTTATCCGTGTTCGGTGAGGATAGTTGGCATGAAAGAATCGCGGTGTCTAGCAATTCCGATTTAAAGGACATTAAATATATTTATTGAACAAAATGAATTACCTGACAATCATTCCGCAGAGCTATCCCCACCATTCGTGATTTTATTCATTCATGTTTGTCGTTTGCGTTTTAGGATTGCTGGCGCATACTTTTTGATGAATCAAGAATGAATCGCGGTGTATATCTATCGTTATTTAGTCTGCAAATGTCCAAGTGTCTATTATTATCCCCACCATTCGCGATTTCATTAATCCCTGTTTAGCGCTTAGGATTGTCAGTATGAATGAATCGCGGTGTCTATCTAGTGATTATAGTTATTTAGTCCCTATATGTCTCGATACTTGCATGATAATGTGAAGACCCGTTCTCTACCAGTTTACCCGATGTACCAGGTGAACAACTAAAAACGGCTGTCGGCGTGATCTGGAGTATCAATAGATATCGTGAATTAAAAACTTAATGTATGCATATTATCACACGATCAAATAGAGAAACTAAATCTCAACAGACCAACGAAAACTGCAACTTGATAGCTTTTCGCTAACGGAATATATTGACGATCAAAGTTGGAAAAACAATTGATGACAGCCGTTTTTAGTTGTTCACCCGGTACACTTATCAGGTGTGGGAAGTGTGCGGTGCCTTCCTGATGTTCGCCACGCCCAGCAGCGCATCAACGACCACCTGATGGGCAAGCAGCACATAGGCTTCGCCCGAAGGCGGCTGTGGAAATCGCCTGATATTTTCCTCTCTGTCACAAGGCTTGACATCCTTTTATCAGTTGTACTCGAGACTGAGACCTGATTTATCCATTCATTCGTTTTAATCATTTGGGTTTAAAGATTGTTGGCTCATATTTTTTAATGATTCAAGAATGAATCTCGTTGTTATTTAGTCTCCAAATGTACAAGTTCTGTCTGTCATTATCGCCACCATTCGCGATTTCATTCATTCATTCCTGTTTAGCGTTTTGGATGGTTAGCATGAAAGAAGCGCGGTATCTATCCAGTTATTTTGTTCCTATATGTCTTGAATCTTGCACGATACTGTGAAGACTCGTTTTCTACATTGTATAAGTGTGTGATATTGTCACGACATAATAGATGGTCAGTCCATCCATATCGATTTATAAGGGGTTTGCTTGGCTTGATGGTTTGCGAGAGGTAATGCACTAATAGTTTAGGGGTACCTGAAAGTATGAGACTATATTCAAACATAACAATTTTTATTGAAGCGTGAAACATTATGGGTAGTGATGATAAATATGAATAAACAACAATTAATATGAAGACCTAATAACAGCTTCCATTATAATGACCATTACGACGAGTTCTTGTCAAGTCAAGAGTAACCCCATACCAGACTCACTTCGGAACCCTCACATCCAATATTTATATACATCATTTTATTAGATTTGCATGTTTCTCATGAGAGTTCCTTGGTCAGTTTTCATAGTTCAATGTCAACGGATGATTTGATTAACTTTATATTCATAAAACCCTCATGGTTCCAAATTACTAATATACTGTATGTTCTACTCTTGACATGACCCCCCTTTCCGAGAAAATTGGACACCAGTTTTTAAATTACTACCTACCTAAATATATAGAGGAGAACCTGAACCTAAAATACTCAAATGACAAAAACCAATAAATCTTGGAAATTGAGTTCACACACTCAAAAGTTCAGTGTCTACAATGCATACTCACACCTTCACTCAGTCCGGCACTGGCTATTCAACTGAAGCATTTTAATCAGACTCTTCTCGGTGGGACTTCTGGCAGCTCGGAGGAAGGGGAATGACAATTGGGCATGGCATCCTCCAATCGTCATGAAAATTTCGGCAGGATCCTTTTGGTCTCGAAGGTATCCTTGTCCTAGGCATTTGGATGAAATCCTTTGGGTCTTTGACATATCCTAGACTGTGTTTAGAGGTAGTTGGCAGCTGAACAAAGAAAACTGCTGGCTTCTTGGGGTAGCGAATGACGACTGATGGTCATGGTGTCCTTCAATCGTCGTGGGAATTCTGGCAGGATCCTTTTTGGGCTCGAATGGTATCCTTGTCATGTGCATAAGGATGAAATCTTTTGGGCTCAAAGATTCCTTCAAGATAGTTAGTAGCTGAACGATAGGAACTTTATGTTTATAAAACCCTCATGGTTCCAAATCCACGCAATACGCGATTTTGGTCATTGATCGGTGTTCGGTGTTTAGGATTGCTGGCACGAATCAATCGATACCGATTTATAAGAATTTGATAAGACGAAATGAATTATCTGGCTGTGACTCCGCACTTATCACTACCATCCGTGTTTGTCGTTTCGGTTTTAGACTTGTTGGTGCATACTTTTTAATGATTCAAGAATGCGGTGTATATCTATTGTTATTAAAGTCTGCAAATGTACAGTGTGTCCAGTTTTCGATGCTTTTGCATGATATCTCAGTTATCTTTGGAGATAGAACCTTGCGGTTTTCGCGGTCCTGTGCCACTTTTTTGTGAAACTCAAGATGGCCTAATCAGATTTTGCAGGACTGTTTCCGTTTGTGAGATACAGGGCGATTTTGAAAATTAATACTTTTTGGACCCCCTCTATATCTACGAAGTTTATCAGCGAAATAATCAAATTAAAATCTTAACCCATAGAGAATTTTGTGCAGAATTCAGTGGCGCACAACAATTTTTTTTTCGGGGTGTGGTTTTGAAAATACGACTCAAACTTATGATTTTTTAAATTGAACACCCTGTTTTTTATAGGCTCATTAAATTCCTTATTTTTTCCCTTCGAAATGATATATGATGTATGAATATAACATCTTCAAAAATGTTAAAAAATCACTAAAATATTGAATTTTAATAGTGGGCAATGGGTTTTTCGAGGGATTTTCATAAAAAGAAATTTACAATTGAAGGAATGTTTCCTTTGATTGTTACAATTGAAGGAATGTTTCCTTTGATTGTTCCATGAAGGGGGAAATAAAAATTTCAACACTAATTAACTTGCAATACACAAGACTCAGATACCTGATATCCACAAATATATAGTAATGAAAAGTTTATAATGTAGAATAAGCACCTGATTGAATATTTACTAAAACAATTGAATTTCGGAATTATTCAGTGATTTATTCATTGAATTGTTCAAATTGATGTCCATTCTTCATCACAAACTTTCTCAATACATATTAATCATTGAAAGATGTCTTTGTAATTCCTGGAAAACTGCCTGTGTTGTTGCACAAAGTTCTTCAAGTATGTTGGGCCACTCACTGTATTAAGAAGTATTGAGAAAGTTTGTCAACTGTATGTTGGGGAAAATGGATATCAATTTGAACATGTCAATGAATAAGTTACTGAATAATTCCGGAATTCAATTATTTTAGTAAATATTTAATCAGGTGCTTATTCTACATTATGAACTATTTATTTGTTGCTATCAGGTACCCAAGTTTAGTGTTTTGTTAATTAATAAGTGTTGATATTGGTTTTGACCTCTCCATGACAAAATTTGAAGAAATATTTCTTCAATTGGAACGTTTTTCATAAGAAAAATCCATAACCAACTATCAAAATTCAATATTTTAGTGATTTTGAGAAATTTTGAGAATTTTATATTCATTCGTTATATATCATTTTGAAGACAAAAAAATAAGGAATTTAATGAGCTTATGAAATATAGGGTGTTCCATTTAAAAAATCATAAGTTTGAGTCGTATCTCCAAAACCATACCCCGAAAAAAAAAATTGAGTGCGCCACTGGATTATGCGTGAAATGTTCTATGCGATAAGATTTTGATTTGACATTTTTGTTGAGAAACTTCGTGGATATAGAGGGGGCCCAAAAAGTATAAATTTTCAAAATCGCCCTGTATCTCATAAACGGAAACAGTCTTGCAAAATCTGATTAGGCCATCTTGAGTTTCACAAAAAAGTGGCACAGGACCGCGAAAACCGCAAGGTTCTATCTCCAAAGATAACTGAGATATCAGGCAAAAGCATCGAAAACTGGACACACTGTACAAGTAGTGTCTGTTATTATCCCCACCACTCGCGATTTCATTCATTCATCCCTGTTTAGCGTTTAGGATTGTTAGTGGCCCATCTAGTTATTTAGTCCCTATATCTCTTGATATTTGCACGATACTGTAAAGACCCGTTTTCTACCGGTCTACCCGATGTACACTTACCAGGTGTGCGAAGTGTGCGGTGCCTTCCTGATCGTGGGCGACGCCCAGCAGCGCATCGACGACCACCTGATGGGCAAACAGCACATGGGCTTCGCCCGATTGAAGGCGGCCGTGGAAGAGGTGTCGGCGGCCGTGCGGGCCGCCCGGGAGGAGCGGCAAGGGGGTGGCCGGGTGGGCGGACTCGGATCGGACGACAAGGGGCGCGAGAGGGAGAGAGAGCGGGAAAGGGAGAAGAGGAGAGAGCGAGAAAGGGAGAAAGAGAAGGAGAGAGAAAGAGAGAAGGAGAGGGAAAAGGAGAAGGAGAGAGAGAAGGCGCGATCCGATCACAAGTGAGTAGTTGTGTTGATCATGATGATTGAAGGGGCAAGTGGAAGAAGGAGTTATGTTACCAATATGAGTTTGTAAGTAAAATAGGTTTTAGTAAAATTAGCTGGCATTTTTTATGGAAGCTAGTTTAATAATTTTAATTATGCAATTGTGAGGAATAGTTGAGGAGCTTGTTTGCAAAACCAGATATATCCAAAAACTGTCTGAAAAGACAAATCGATAAATCGAAACTAGCTGAACATATCCTTACTGAAGGCAGAGTGGAATAATATTAAAATCATTGGAAAAGAAGATAACAACCAGAAGGGAAAAATCAAGGAATCTGCTTGCATTCTTCTGAACGGAGACAATTTGTTTGTTTCTTGTTCAGTTGATATAGACAGAACATGGTATTCACTACTAAAATCTGAACATGAAAATGGTAAATTCAAGATTAATTAATGAAAACATCCTGTAACTCATTTGATTGCCAACATCACCAATTGTCAATGAAAACTACAAAGCTTCCAGATAGATACGATTTTGCTATTAAAATAATCATTTCTTATGTTGAAAACGGGAGCAGATTCGGTCCCGAAACGTCCAACGATAAGTGAAAATTTGATATTTTTTTTATATACCTTCATTTCTCTTCTCCAAACTTTTTTCAATACAAATTGTCACTACAAGCTAGTGAAATTTTCTGTTAGGCTCTCTGATAGGAAAATTCTTTAAACGCAGTGACATTTTGGGGCAAATCATCTGATTTGTCCTTACTACATGTATATTGGAATAATATTCATATCTTTATTTTATAGAAACGAGGAGAGAAAATCCCAAAAAAAATGGAAATGAAAATTTTCCAGGAAACGAGAAAAACGTCTGCTTTTTGGTGCCTGATTCAAATAAGCAAAAACTTTTTGATGAATTGAATTGAAAATCCAGATCAATATACAGTGAAAAATGATGGATATATCATGTTTTGCACCAAAATCGGAGAAATTTTCATGAAAAAAGTATTTTTTCACTTGAATTATTACATCAGCATTCCCTTGAATATGCTCCGCATGTTTCGTCATTTCCATCTATTTCATTATCTTTAGTTCCATCAATTCCTTAACATTGGACTAGAGCCCGCACAGTATATGGATATAACCGGTTTTGCTTGCAAATTTGAGGATATATCTGATTTTGCACCAAACCCTAACTTTCAGACACCGATTACAGTTGAATATAGCTCTTTTTGTTCACAAATCAATGCTCCAGGCGATAGAGCTCACAAAACTGATGCCCGAACATGTGTCATACCATTTTTGGTAAAAAGTGGATATAACCGGTTTTGCACGCGATCTCCTCCTTGGTTGATTTCTATGTTTTACAGCATCTGGATTTATGCATACATAACCCCTTCTTCCATTCCAACCTAACCTGACATGTGGGCAATGGGCACGTATAGCTCCTTCTTTCATCGAGTCCTTAATGTTTGATGTAACAGCCTCTTCTACCACTGCTGCTCAGATATGAAGAATAGAAACAAATTCTAAAGGAACAAGTTACATGTATTTAACATCTTCTTCCATGACATAACCGAATATTTTCAGAAAATGTTACTTGAACCCTTCCTCCACTTGCCCCTTCAGTTATAGTTCCATTGAATGTGAAAGATGTAACCGTGTGCATTAGTGCACGAAGAATGGAGACATGTTTAGTATAATCACTTCAAACATAGTCTATAAACATATAGCCGCTTTCCAATTGAAAATGTTCAACCCCCCAAATGAACCGGTATTAACAACACATGTATTTTTAGTTACATTTTTTATGTTCGTATTTTCGTATTTTTATGATGAAAAAACTTGTGGATTATATGATTTTGGTGGGTGTAAGTCTCATCTCGCACATTTTATACCAAATAATCCACAAGAAGTTATGCTGAAGCAAAATGAAACACTATCTAGTAGTGAAAATTGTGATGATGAGGCTGAAGTGGATAATATAAGAAAAAGAAATTAAAGATAGTCCTCCTGGTCCAAATACATTCTATACTGTACTCCGTTTTCGGGATCATCTAAGTCCTTTCCAAAGATACATTCCACTCATTGTTTTGTATTTGATAAGGTTAAACAAATACAACAGTTTTTAATGATGAAGAGAAGGTCGTTAATTCAATTGCTGTTTTCTACTACCATATTCTTTTCATGTTTCCACGAAAAGGGATATCCTGTAATGTTCATAGAACATCGTGAGAACCAAGTGAAATAAGGTAGGAATTGGTGTTCTTCTTGAATTTCTGGAGGTTATATTCCTCGGGGAACGCCTCGCTGTTCGTTGAATGAACGAGTCTTTGGAAAGAGATGTTCTGCAGGTCTCCAAAGTGACCATGATGGGGTGCGAAGCCTCAATTCTACGGGTTAATCTCGAGGGGACTGCCAAGGGAGGAACAATTGTTGACAGACCCTTTTTTCGCTTTACATATACCTGACTATTTTTGAGTTTGTTGCCCTATTGTAAAAGCTGGTACTTGACGGGAAGGGAGTTACTCGCTGTGGCAATTGGAAAGCGGCTCATGACGTTACTACGTTAGGCCCTTGCGATCGAAACGTTTTTCTTGTTACCGTTGATTCAAAAGGAAATTGAAAAAATTTCTCATTGGTATTTTAATTATTGTTATCTTAAGGGAAAAAGAAAAGGAGAAGGAAAAAGAAAAAGAACGGGATAAAGACAAGCACGAGAGGGAGAGGAGGTCGAGAACTGCTGATAGAAGTGACAAAAGAGATAGAGACTCGCATCGTAGCAGAGAATCTCACAAGGAAAAGGAAAGAGAAAGGGACAGGGATAAACCTAGGAAGCATCGAGATTCTAGTAAGTACTCATGTCGGTTAACACTCATGTATTTTTATCTCTAGTAGAAAAAGATTATCTGTTAGGTTGTGTGTGTGTGTTTTGTTTTGATATATGTTTTCATTTGAGTCATAGTAAACTGTGATTTCATGTTTTATGGAATCGATTTCATAGTTTTGCCACTTTTTGAATAGATGTCAATAATATTATCTTTGATTGAAGGTAACTCACAAATTATCGCCTATCACAAAACAAAATGAACACAAAACAATACGTATCCTGACGAAAGAACTGGTAAATATCCGACATACAAATTCAATTTCATGCATAACTAATGAAAATGATCTGGCATAAATGACCGCTATCCGTGAACAATCCTAAACGATCACCTAATCTACATTCCAAATAAGAAGATAGTAGGTGTTGCTGCCTCTGAAGGAATTTTTACACTGGCGAAATAAATATATGGTGCCTTATTCTGATGATTGAATTTCACTTCCAATCTGTGTTTACTCTCAGGATTCATTGTAACATAAAATATGAAAAATACAACTAATAGATGGAATGAGATGATGTGTCGATCTTTCCATAAAGAAAACTTCAACCTTCACCTCACATCATAAAATTAGACAGCAATATTGCCTTGAACATTAACCAATGGGGTAGACGACTGATTTAAAAGGACATCATCATGAGCTATATATCAAAAAATCATTTGGACGATATGAATTGGACATTTTTACAATGTATAGGATGAGTCAGAAAGAATGAAACACTTGAACATAAAATCAGTCACTATACTGGATTTGAATCTAACATTATATGTCTCTGTCCGAGAAGTACTCCTGAATACTCTAATAACATTTTCTCAACAGTAGTTCTTTTACAGATTTTTTTGAAGAGGTTATCATTGTGAAGTTTGTAGCTACTGGCAAGATGGTTATACATCTTGATTCCCATATATGAAATGCAATTTTCAAATTTTTTGGTGTTGTGTTTAGGGATAGATGAAAAGTCAGAATGTCTGGTTTCGTAATTATGTAATGATGACTTTTTAAATTTTCTCTCATATATGGGAGGAAATGAACCTTTGCTTCCAAGATATATAGATATATACAGGGTGCCCGTTTTTCGAACTTCACCATTGGGATCTCAGTTATTATAAGAGATACGAAGTCGGTTAAATTAGGGCAAAGTTGCGAACATTTATCTGCAAGAAAATTCGATATGTCAATTTTAGTTTTTGAATTATTTGAAGAAAATTTGTAATTCTCGTTTTCATTTTTTCAAGCAAAAACCAAAAGACCTAGGACCAAGGAATCTGAATGTAACATTGATATTTCTATGACGTTCTTGATGCCAAAGTTACAACACTCAACTTCGTTTTTTCTTATGGGCGCCATATCGGATTCTTGCATTTAAAAATTTTCCTCTGTTTTCTGATTACAATGATGAATCACACGATATGATCAAAATTGGCAAAAAAACATTTTTGCGAAGAGTGCTTTGGAAGGAACGCCAACAATTTTTTTCAACAAACTGATTTTTGACAGTTCAATTGAATTTGCGAACAGAACTGTTGAATTGTTAAGCTCATCCACTTAACGCAAGAAGGGTTGCCGAGTGTCTGTCAGATATGTTCCGTGACGAGGTAATTTCAAACAACAGAGACATACGTTGGCCGTCATGGTCACCAAGATTGTTTCGATTTTCCACCTTCTGCAGTATTCCCTTCTCGCTGATGAATTTTGAATTTGGTCGGTATAGAAAACGCCATATTATATTATATCACATATCACGTTGCAATTTACTTGAATTCCCCAGTTTTGTTCTCGAATTTTCAATTTCATTACGTAGTTTTACAATTAATTCGGCTTTCTCTATGATAATTTGCATTTCGTCCCATGATTTTATTTTTGAACAGTCTGTTTTGTCAATCAATGGAACAACGGATCTTATGAATCTTCTGTTTGAAAATGGACCTAAAATATACTTTTATTCCAATCTGCTACTAAAAGAAGTGCATTTTAATGTATCTACTTACCTCACACTTTTTGGTCCTGAGCCTTTTTGTGGGATAAGCAAATGTCACCTAAAGAAAGAACTCCGGAAATGGGAAGAAATTGATAAGTCCTCCTACTGGAGAGCAACTCCAGGTCAACGACAAGGGAAAAGGTTCATCAACCATTCCCAGAACCGAGCCAAAGAGCTACTCCGCATCAGCAAACCAGAGCTAAAGCTTATTACAGGCTTTCTCACAGGACCCGGCCCTCTGAGGTACCACCTCAAAAAGATGGGCCTGGTGGAGACTGACACTTGCCGCTTTTGTAACAATGCCACCGAAACCGCGGAACACATACTTTGCTCACGTGAAGTATTAGTCCGCCAAAGGCTGAACTACCTAGAACAGGTCTATCTCACCCCTGCTGAGGTGGAAAATTCAACCGTCAGGAAAATTCTAGGCTTCATCAGAAGTCTAGGGTTAGAGGACCCAAACTAGATAAGGGTAATCACAATAGATCTTCTAGGTCGCAGTGATCGAGAGGTCTCCCAGCCTATACGACCCATCTACAATCTACAATCTACCTCACATATTTCCCTTGTCTTCAAATTAATTTTCCATCCAGGCCGTTTCATACATTCCTTCTATATAAAGGAATGGTTGATATTTCCGTTGGAAAATTGAAGAAATGAAATCGCCATTCCCTTCATAATTCCTGCAATTCATTACACAGCAGGACATTTTCATTTATGCTTTTTTCTCAATTGAAAGACTGAAAATTACATACAATATCATAAATAAAAAATTGAAATCTAATTTTATTTTAACACGAAACAATGAAATTCATAATTACCAAACTAGACAACATGGTTTATTTCATCTTGATATGGCTAATTCTTCTATAGGCCAAAAAAGATTCACCCACGCTGCTCTCTTGGAATATAACAAATTACCAGATAATATAAAAAATTGCAGATATACAATAAAATTCAAATACCAACTTAAAAAAATTATCATTTCTGAACGAAATAGATGATTTTTTTTCTCAACTTTTGATTCATATTCAAATTGATTTTTGCTCACCAATATGAAATGATTTGTCAAAATTTAATACTTAATGTTTTCAAATATTATATTATTTATTAGTTTATCATAATTGTATAGTTTTAGGTATTATTGTTAACTATACTTAAATAAATAAATTCTGAGGATCATACAATTTGTTGTCAAATTCAAACAATTTGAATGAAAAAGCGCGGAAAGACTATGATGCTGTTGTCACAATGCAAGATAGATGTGTAACTAAATAAATCTAAACATTCAAAAACACTAACAGTTGTCATTTCTGTGTCCAAACTCTCATCTAACGAATACCATCCAGTGACTCTAGAAAAGGCTATAGCTTTGCTGACAACAGACTATGATTACGTCAGAAACTTCTCGCCTTATGGTATCTGTGGTAACAGTCCTAATTCAAATGTTCCCTTCCAGGTCGTCACCACCACCACCATCACCACAGACGATGATTTTGACCAGTAAGAGCTCACCCTGCAGGTAGGTGGCTTTCTAATCGTTGATGTATTTGTTTCCTTTCAGGTTTCCCACAGGTTAGTGGTCAACTTAAGCTAACGTACATTTTGTGTGAATATGTCTGGACGCTGAAAAATAATCCATTTTCGAATGTCCGTGCCCAGTACGAAAGTTGTTTCAGTTGTTAGTGTGGCTTGTCCGATAGTTGGTCTTGTTATTTTATGGAATTGCTCAAGTTGCTTATGTTGCTTGAATATGAAATTGAAGCTATTTAAGTTTCAAATAATTAGTTAAAATTATAATTTGCTCATTGAAAAAAATAGGTGGACCGTTGTACTCTAATATATTTTCTTGTGATATGAAAGAAAAAATTCCACTTTCGCTTAGGGTAACCATGTATTATGAATATTTTCGGAAAGGGTACCAAACGTTTTATAAATAAACCTGTGCTTTATAGAATTGAATGAATGTTAGATATGTTTCAGCCCAAGTCATTCTGTACAAAATGTCCAAAGGTCGCAGAAAATTATCTTGTTTTTTTCATTTCAGATAAAAAACGTTCGGAGTTTTCAAAATTAATTTTTTCGGCTGAATAAGCCACTATAAAAAGTATTCATCAATATTGATTTAGTAAGTCAATGATTATACAACGTGTTTGAGGTTTTATGGGTCAATATAGGTAATAATCATATTCAATAATATTGAAACGGTATTTGTGGGTAAAAGTGAACATTGTCACTATTTATACCGGGTGTAACAGAATCATGGTATACCCCCTTTTTCTCCTTTAGTTTAAGAGATAAGTGCCTAACATTTGGTTTGATTCATCGAGTTGGTAAACGTCACTTTTCCACATGAAAAGGACACCAGTACAGGTGACACTGAATGAATTCTTGTAATTGTAGAAATATCCAGCATCAAATTTCCCCAAATACCTACCAATTTTCAATATAATCCGATCATGATCGCCAAATTCATCCGCCATTTTGAAGCAGCTTGAATTCCTCAATTTTGTTAGAAGAATCATAAGTTCCTACCTAGAAAACGCCCAGATACCAATTTTGAAGAGATTCGGATCATAATTACAAAACTCGTTCGCTATATTGGATCCGCCATCTTGAATTTTCAAATTTTGACCCCCAGATACCCATTTTAAATAGAATCGGATCATAACTAGAAAACTGCATTGCATTGTCACCAGAATTGTGTACACCTGCGGAATTTCAAATAAATCAGACGATTTGAAGTGTGAAGTGTGACATATTTAACTTGCAAGATTTGATTACAGAACCGGGACAGGTGATACCAAATAAAAGCTTGTAAAAAGAACACCATTGTACATTTTATTCAAGATGACCTGGAATATCAACATATCAAAAATTCCGTCAATTCGACTATAATACGTGCGATATCATTTGTCAGTTGAATTATAATTATTGGAACTTTCAAATGAACATACATTGTTTTTCTGAATATCCTTGACTATGGATTATAACATATTGATTCTGGGATTGATGCTTTTGATGAATGAGTGCAACTTTCTTTTCAACTCTATTATTCAATAATTCATTCAATTCATATTCAATAACAAAATAGAAAGGTAGGTATACCTACTGTTATATATTTTAGGTATAGAAAGGTATAGAAAGTATGTGATGTTGATTAATGGAATGGATTATTTTTCGTCCACGTGGATCGAGGTTGTCATACTTTTATGGACCAAGTAAACAGCATTTCATGGTATTATTCAATTGGGGAGTAAAATATATCAAAAATATCAATCCAATATACTTTATAACAGGTGACTTAGCAGGTATATCACAAGTTATAACATTGTTTATTTCTCCAGTTTTTTTGTTGTGATTTTCTGACCTCGTCATTATCAATAAAAATATTAGTATTATTTAAATATACCTAAATACTGTGTGTAGGTTAATCCAGGAGGTGGTAAATCCATTATTCCAGATTTTTTGGGATTTTCTCTCCTCGTTTCTTTGAAATAAAAATATGAATATTTTTACAATATACTCGTAGTTAGGACAAATCAGATGATTTGCCCCAAAATGTCACTGTGTTCAAAGAATTTCCTATCAGAGAGCCTAAACGAAAAAGTCACTAGCTTGTCAGTGACAATTTGTATTGAAAAAGGTTTGGAGAATAGAAATAAAGGTATATAGAAAAAATATCATGTTTTCACTTAGCTTTGGACGTTTCGGGAACGAATCTGCTCCCGTTCGCAACATGAAAATCCAGAATATTTTTCTCTGGAAGTTTTGCTCTGCTTATAGTTTGACACTTCTCAGTGTCATACTGATGTTGGCATATGAATTGGTGCTTTTAGTCTACAAATTTGTTACAGGATGTTTTCATTAATTGATCTTGAATCTAACATTTTCATGTTCAGTTTTCAGTAGTGAATACCATGTTCTATCTATATCAACTGAACAGGAAGCACTGCTATTGTCTCCGTTCAGAAGAATGCAAGCGGATTCCTTGATTTTTCTTTTTTGGTTGTTATCTTCCTTTCCTATGATTTTGATATTATTCCACTCTGTCATATGTTGTCCATCTTCAGTAAGGATATGTTCATCCAGCTGACATGAAAATGGTAGATTCAAGATCAATCAATGAAAACATCCTGTAACTCATTTGTAGACTGAAATCACTCATTCATATGTCAACATCAGGCTGACACTGAGGAGTGTCAAAATATAAGCAGAGCAAAACTTCCAAAGTAAAGTGAGAATTTGATAATTTTTCTATATACCTTTATTTCTCTTCCCCAAAAATTTTTTCAATACAAATTGTCACTGACAAGCTAGTGAATTTTTCTTTTAGGCTCTCTGATTGGAAAATTCTTTAAACGCAGTGACATTTTGGGGCAAATCATCAGATTTGTCCTTACTACACGTATATTGAAATAATATTCATATTTTTATTTTATAGAAACGAGGAGAGAAAATTCCAAAGAATCAAGTAACATGAATGTACCACCTCCTCGATTAACCTACAGATAGTATTTAGCGAATCATCTGATTTGTCCTTAGCTACAAAGATATTCAAATAATACTCTAGAAGCGAGAAAGCAAAGAAAATCCCAAAAAAATCTGGAGAAATGATACGAATTAACAAATTCTGAGTGTATTATTCTCCTTACTTTAAGAAGATATCTTATCAAAAATTATTTTGTTACTTGGTTTACGAGGTCTGCCCTATTCAGTTACCTATATAATTTGATGAGCATACTGTTGTTTGTTTCGAAAGCGAATATTTTTTATCAGTAATACTACTGTATATTATTTGGTATATTTCTACCATGCTCCCCCTTCTCTGAAATCTTATTTGCATAGCATTTGTACAATATAATTCAACAGATATTGCCAATTTGTTCTTCAATCAAATATTGCCTACTCATCGAGAGGAATGACCCTGCACTTGGGTCACCTTGTGAGTTCGGGGACTTTTGGAATATTTACTTTCTCTCTACTCCGAACATATCCCTAGTCTCGAAACACTGGCCTCTTTCATGTCATCTACAACCTGTTCATTTTCTGTACATTCTAACAGAACACTAATTGACAAGTTTTCATTCCATATGCAAGTTGGAAAACTGCTAATGTGTGGCCTACTTAAATCACCCTGTATAGTTACTTTTCTCTATAATCAGAGAATTATATTGTGCAAATGCTCCATATTTTTTCCCACATTTATTGATTGATATTAATTTTTGTGTGATGTGCAAAGACTGTTATCGCATTGTTTATGATCTACAAGTAAATATCTATTTTGTCAAACCAGTTTTTTGCAAAATCGACAAAAGTTGGTATATATGTTTGGAGAAACATAAAATGAATATGCGGACTGAGCCTCCCTCATCTGTGGGTGTTTTATTAGTAAATAAATAATACCAATTATGATGATGGTGTGGTTTTATGCTTTGTTATTTGCACAACAACGAATCGGTAGAGGAAAATGGTTTGACGCCATTTTGTTTTTATAAGTTTTCAGCTGCAAAACGGCCGACTGAGCGAGCTGTTAGTGCCTGAACGCTCGCTATTGTAGGTTTTTTGTACAAAATATCAAAAAAGAGGTATTTATATCGAACAAATTTGAATTTTTTTCATCAAATATTTATCCTATTTCTCCACCATACCTGTGTTACTCTAGAGTCAGTCTCTCGTTACTGAAATGCGGGTATCTCCGTTTGACCAAGAGGTATTTATGTATGTTAGTGAAAAAAATGTTTTCGAAAATAATTGTTCTCATCTGATCTTTAACACCAGAAACCAACAGAATGTTTACAAATATTTTTTGATAGTAAAACTCTGTGGGGGTTGTTTCATATACCTAGTACAATAGAGCACTGTCAGTGACGTCATAAGACGTAAAATTGGCAGCCATTGAACAGCTGATGGGGGGACAAGCATAAACATTCTCCGTAAGGGTACATGTAACTTTCTTGCACATTTTCCACTATAATGCAATACCTGGAGCATTTATTGAATGACATGTATGTTAATTCATTCATTATGAATACTGTGAGAAAAGTGAATGATTCCAATGAATAGTTCAGATAGATTCATTTGTCACTTTGAAATTACTGGATCCATTTTAGGTTCAGCTGTAAAATACATGTCATAGGTCGTAATGTACTTCAATCGATACTCAGTTTGCAACAACGTATACATATTTCCTCATATAATATCTACGAGTTCAAGAAAATCACAAATGGGTCAGAAAAAATAAAATCAAAATTCTCACAATGCTTTGTTTATCCCCCGATCAGCTGATAAACACGACGGCTGCGCCATATTGTCACTTCAGGTAACATTACTCTATCACGGCCTAAATACATATTTTGAACTGATTCTATGATTTTGAATTCACCAAATATCGGTTCAATGAAAGTTGTATAATAACGAAGATATCATCAACTGAACACTTCATCCATTTTGAAAAAATAGATATAGAAAATAGAATTTTGTTTATCTACCGCTAGTCATCATTCCACTTTCAATTTTATTTCAATTCGTTTTTTGTGCATCGTCAAACAATGTAGCACGTTTACAAACATAATGAACTCGTTAACATGCCTTTGATTTATGGTGAGTGTTGCCTGGTGTTGCCAAAGTGTAGCAGCAGCATTTGATTTGCACACGGATATATTTCGGTTAGGAAATCTTGCAACACTGCGAATGTTCATTAATTTGCTGCAAAGATGTCGTGACACAGGGTGTTTCCAGGAACAAAGAGGACATGTATCACCCGAAATGGTAAATAAATCAGGATCGTAATAGGGCCAATGGGCGAGTGTACTGATAATGAATTATTGGCATTCAATTACTCCACTGTGCCGTTTGGGACCTAAATTAATTTTTGCACAATTCTCAAGCTCTTTTATGGCCATGTTGCAATGCCTCGAATAAATGATGGCGCCAGTTTTTATACTGTTTCGTTATTGATCAGATAATCTTCCATTCCCACTCATGTAGCAAGGTTGTCAAGTCACCAATTATAATCAACTTATCAAAAAGATGTTTAATAAAAGATGATAGGAGAAAACCATGATAGTTCATTTTTTACGTATTCTAGCAACCAGTATGTCCAAAAATTCTTGATACTCCATGACAAAATATCATGTAAATGTTGAAAACTTGGCAACATGTACTGAATGCTGAAATCTGACAAGACAACGCCCACAATGCGTGCGCTGTGTTGTCACGTTTACCGGTTCAAATGTCCTCTAGTGTGAATTAATATAATTATCATTTACACAAATCAATTATAAGCAATATGCCTCAACACATGAGGGAACATTTTGAGACAATCGATTTTATATTGCCAATACATAAGTGTAAGAATATTTCAATCAAAATATGAAAAATGTTCGTCTCCTCAGAAGGTGCTCTACTGGATTTTCTGGACTGAATACATACTGCATATAACAGAGCAGAACACACGAATGAATAATTAGATAATAAGAGGATTATCCTTGTATATTGGCATCTTGATTAGATGAAACAAGGATTTGAAGATGAAGGTGACAGACGATATTGATGTTAGGAAGTTAGGTGCTTCTTCTCAATTTACTTCTATTTCTGGGAACTCTAGGCAGGTGTTGCCAGGGTAACCACAAAATAATTTGGGTTTGAATAACATCTTGCTCATCATTAGGAATACTAGGATATTCTTATTGGCACTGAAGCATCTGAAGTATTCAATTCAACACACAAATGGAGAATCAGATAATAAGAGGATTATCCTTGTATATTCGCATCTTGACTAGATGAAACAAGAATTTGAAGATGTAGGTGACAGACGATATTGACCTTAGGAAGTCAGGCTGACAATGTAGTAGGTAGTTTGTCTGCTTCTTCTCTATTTACTTGTATTTCTGGGAACTCTAGGCATTACCGTGTTGGCAGGGTAACCACAAAATATTTGGGTTTGAATAAAATCTTGCTCATTATTAGGAATATTAGGATATTTTCATTGGTACTGAAACATCTGAAGTAGGTATTCAGTCAATATGTGATTCTTAGGGACCAGGTCGAATAATTGTCATCTGAAAATGCGAATACTGTTGTCATTGGTCATATTGAGTTTCATAAGGTAATTATACTAGTTACGAATCTGGCAGCGTCGAAATATGTGATCCTACTTTTTATGCGAAAGCCAGAATTCAGATAACGATGATTCCGGTTCGGTACATGACGTCATCGAAGTTGGCGTTTTTCGAAGGTGCCGAATTTCATTATTGAAAAAAATATGTTTGCGATGATTTCAAATAACGAATGATACACGGACTGATCAATATGAAATTGGTATGTGGCGCAAATTCGACTAGTGTGTATTACAACCCCATTGCGTTCCGAGTTCCACTATCTATTCAATATTTGTAGATATTCTGATTAAAGCTACATGATGAAATCATTGCACTTTGGAAACTTTGATGCACAGAGGGTGTCATTTGGATTTAGTTTGAAATCAAGGATAAGTGAACTTGAGAAGAATAAGTATTATTTGTTGAATAAGGTTTCCTCTTGAACAACTTTTTCTACTATATTTTTCGTGAAACATAATCATCATACAACCAAATGCAGAACATGTGATATTATATACCTGATCTTTTGCATTCCAGTTCTTCAAAAATTTCATTTGGCTATGTCCCAAACGTTAATAGTCATTTTTAATGGAATTAAATTCATTAGGCATGGAAAGTAACACGGTACATAGAAGTACGTGCAAAACGGTAAAAAAAAACCGTACAATTGTTTGGTCTGTACATTTTGAAGTTATGACGAAAAAAGAGCCTAGCAGTTTAGGAATGAGAAACAAATGTTACAACTTTTTTTGCTTCCAAATAATCCCAATCCAAAATTCATTGCCAATCTTATTGGAAAGTAACTGTTTGTTTTAACACCTCAACTTATTCCGATCATTTCACAACAAACTATACTTATATTTCATCATTCTCTCGATCCGCTTTTATAACTTAGATAAGACTCTGTAGCTACCAATATCTGGGCAATTATTTCGAAAACATTTTAATGAAAATTCGAAAGAAGTCTTGTGAGAGGTTCCTGTCTCATGCTGTGGTCTGGATCTTTACAGTGTCAAAAACAGGTGGGTGACTGTTAGAAACCGAGAAGTCCATGGAAAGCCATCGTCTCTGGCCGATCATCATCAACAAAAAAATAGAGGTGACAAACTCCGTTTTTTATGTAGAATCATAGGTATTTAATTTCCAATAAAGATTCGTCTTTTTTTCTGTATGTCAAGTGTCACCAGTTGCATCGTTATTTATCAAAGCTGTATTAAGGTAATAAATATTGGCTTGAATTTGTTGGTTTTCATTCTGATGTAGCACACCAAGAATAATTCATATACTGGGTGTTAATTAAATGAGTGCCGATAATACAAAAGGTGTACCAGTGTACCAAGAGAAATCTCTGGAAATTATTTTCAAGTTTCCAGGACAGCCCATAAAGGGCGTAATTGCACTGGCCAGATTAATAAACGGGTTTTTATGAAAATTTAATATATCAAGACTTATCAAAAACACTTTTTCCATCCATTTCCAATCATTTCGATCAAAAAAAATTGCGCTAGCTCTTTAAATGAAAGAGGGAGGGAAGGATGAATAGTACTTTGAAAAAACTCTCATTACTACAGTTTGGTGTAACGGAATTCAACGATCTTGGTCTCATTATGGAGGGTTTTTCGGTTCTTCCAGATGAATCACGAATCAAGTCGATAAAATCCTGTGGTGGCCGCTAGATGGCATCGTTTGAAAAATCAGACAAATTTCCATTTTGTTCGAAAATTTCAAATGGAACCATATATATTCATTCTACTCTAATATGGAGGTGAAGCAAACGAGAAGAAAAATAGTGAAAACCACGAATTCATACCTCTTGAGAAACCGGTGAAATACTCGAAATAATATTATGAAAATATTCACAACAGGAATCTTACTTCAATAATCGTAATCAGAAATATCCTGTATTTATGAATTAATTATGATTTCAATAATTCATTTATTTTGGTTTGACAAACTGCTGTTATATCTCACAATAGTGAAGGAGACTCTTTGTAATGACATAGCTAATTGAAATGTAAGTAGTGAGTATAGGCTCAGGAATGAGAAAAGACAAGTTGGCTTTGAATGAAAGAAACGTCAAAATATAATTGAAGTTCCATTGGAAGTTCTCACTGTGGATTGCTTATTTCTCAAAATGCCGATAACGAATGAGGAGGCATTCGACATGCTAACAGTTTGAATTTTAATATTATTCCGAGTATTTCTCCGGTTCTTCAAGAGGTATCAAATCGCGGTTTTCACTATTTTTCTTCTCGTTTACTTCACTTTCATATCATAGCAGGAAAAATACATGGCTGATGATGCCATCTAGCGGCCACCACGTGGTTTAAATCGACTCGATTCGTGATTTATCGGGAAGATCTGAAAAAAACCTCCATAATGAGACCAAGATCGCTTAATTCCGTTACACCAAACTATAGTAATTATAGTTTCTCCAGAGTACTATTCATCCTTCCCTCTCTCTCTTATTTAAAGAGCTAGCGCAATTTTTTTTGAACGAAATGATTTGAAATCAACTCGAGAACATGGAAAAAGTGTTTCTGATATGTCTTGATGTATCAAATTTTCATAAAAACCCGTTTTTTAAGATGGCCAATGCAAATATGCCTTTAGCGGCTGTCCTGGAAACTTGAAAATAATTTCCAGAAATTTTTTTTGACACTTTTTTAATAAATATTTTTCTCCGAAACCTGTGCGGCAGATGGTTTCCGTTATACAGCTGGCGTCCTTAGTGGTACACCTGGTACATCCTCGGGTGGTTTAAAGTAGAAAAGTTGCTGATGAAGAAAGCAGGTTTTTAAACTTGGATTGAAACCATTTTGTGTGATAAGCACAAGTTTTTGAATACATTTGCCCTTCATAATTATCATATTATGTCAAATAAAATAGACGAATGAGGAAACATCTCTCTAATATCAGTTTTATTGTAATATCAGATATAAGTTGTACATTTTTTCTTATATGCTATGACAGTAGAAATCAAGATGTTCTGCTATCAAGACAGAAAAAGGCACAGGTAGAAGAAATAACTGAATTTTTCAACAACCGAAATAGCTTGAAACATTAAGATTCGTTGAAATCCAGAACAGCTCTTAGCATATCCAATGACATTCAACAAATATTAATTTTCAATCAACAATATAGACAATTCTTTAAAATCAACTATTCTAATGAGACTAAAAATATCACAGATATCTAAATAAATGGATCTTGATGGAAAACATGATTTGAACTCTGAAAGAAAAATAGTCATTTTCATTTTACATCGCTTCTCTAGGATATTGTTCCTGATGAATGAACTTCAGGCAAACGAATTCGTTTGGATTTTCATTAATTTTGGGAAGTTTGTTTCAATTTTTATTTGAAGCGTTCGATCTAATTTATTCATCTTGACCACTAGGGCAAGTTTAAAACTTTTGATTTAATGCTAATGCTATATTAAATAAATACATTGTGACCTAAGACCGGAAAACCCTTGTAAGATACATATTTCACAATCGATTTCAAAAATTCCTTTTTACGCAAAATGTCATCAAAATTTGCCAAAAAATCTGTAAATCATTTTCAGGAGTCTGCTTTGCCTTATATTTCAAAGTGAAATGAACGATCCGAGAACTAATCAAACTCAAGTCATAGACCACCTCATAGGTATTTTCGAGTGGTATATTTTTCAAAAAAGCAGTACACACTGTATGTGCTAGAGGAAACTCCTTGATGCTCTTTCTGCTGAAAAAGAAATATTTGAAATCGGTTTCAAAATGTGGATTTCATGTGGTTAATAAATGCATACAAGATACAAAGTTAATGCTGTGATGGTAGTAAGGTATCTTTTAATTTGACTTATTTTGAAATCCTATATCACAATTTTTTCGAATTGGAGTTGTGTTACAGGATTTGCTTGTTTATTTTTGTTTTTTATTATTCGAAAATAGCATGTAGAAGGCGAAGAGAGATTGTCTATTTCCATTGTTTCCCTCAGAAAGATATAACCAGTAAAACAAATGATTATTCTAAGCAGCTACATATCAGGACCCTGTAAGTTCCAGATTGTTTCTAAGAATTTAAGTTGAATCAATAAGAGAATATTGGATTATCAATCCCTTATAGCATTTATTTCAGTAGTGAAGTACATTTTTCATTTATTTGCAAAAAGTTTATACTCATTGGACATCACCGTATTTGACAAAAATGAAAATGTTGAGTTATACGTAACTTGTGATTGGTAACTTAAAAATGCATTATTTTAGGAAGTTACTTCAGGGTAGAGTTCCTAAATGTACTTGATACTGCTGTTTTGACGTTTTTTGTATAGGTCGCATGCACAAAGACCGACCCTGGAGGCAAAATATTGAAACACAACCTCATTCTTCTGTGAATTATTGTAACACAACCTCACTTTTTTATTTGGTCACAGAGGAATCAGAAGGTTAAAATAGTTTTTCACAATATTTTGGCATACGAATCGTGTTTCTTGCGTTATTCATTAATTCAAGCATGCCTTCACATTGTGCTGTTGTACAATGCACAAAAAATGCAGCAAGAGACTAGGGAATATGATTTTTCAGGTAAAAAGTAATCTCACATAGTTATCATTATGAAATGTTGTCATTCCTTATTAAAATTCCTTCTGCATTCTGCCACTTCTGCAATACAAGCAAATGCTGCTAATAGATTGAAAATGTCTACAATACACACGATCGTCAGCATGTCAGACCAGTCCTCCCGATTGATTGCATGAATCCAATCTTCTTGCATTATTCTAGAAATTTCAGGTATATTTCTATAAGCTCCTATTGCAGAAGGAATTCCGATGAGAAATCAGAGAAATAACTAAATTTCAAAAATGAAAACTATATGTGAGTGACTATAGTAGGTACTTACTTTTAAATCATAATGTACCATCCGGATTCCTTCATCTTCCGCTGCAGTTTTTGTGCAATTTACAACAGCACAATGTGATGGCATGAGCGAATTGATGAATAGCGGAAAAATACGATTCATATGCCAAAATAATTGTGGAAAACTATTTCGATCACAAATAAGAAAAGTGACGTTGTGTTTCAATGTTTTGCCTCCAATGTCGGTCATCTGACAGTTCTTGCACGCAACCCATACAAAAAACGTCAAAACAGGCAGTGTCAAGTACATTTAGGAACTCTACTTTAGGTCATCTACCTAAGTATTACCACTTCAATTTCTCGCACTAACATCCGGTGTAGATTGAAAGAAAAACGATAGCGGTAGTAGCTTTCAGAGTTGAAGTGGAATACAGTGGATAAGTGTCGTTTTTTCTCAACTAAATCCGTATACAAAATGAGTACTGAATGATATTTGAATTAGAGTTATGTTGAATACTTCCTACTATAGTGAAAAAGAAATCACACTAATGGAAACCCCCTCTTGAAAAGTTGATAGAAAAATTAACAGAATCTGATCTAGAAGACAGTTAAGTACATTATTAAAAAAATAAGAATTATGTTAACATTAAAGAGTAATTTACTCTACTTTATTACTATCTAATAGATTACCCGAGAGTTTTATTTGTTAAAGTCATTCTCTTTCTGGTTCATAACAGCTTCCAGAAATCCGTGAAATTTCTGTGATCGAAATTAAGAATTATTTCTTCTTCTTCCACGATAACTTTGTGATAAGATCCGTGATCATATTCAGACTTCCAAAGTGTTATTGCTTCTCATTCAATCGAAGATCTTTTGGCATTATTCCATTGGCAAGTTTTCATCTATTATAAACTACTCATCGAAATTTCAGGAGCCACCATTTCAAACTAGTTATTTCATGGTCTTGGAAAGTGTCGACATCATAATTATAATATTATATATAATAACAAAATTTTATATATAGTATTTAGTTATGATATTCGATTTGTTTCAACAAAATTGCATCTTAAATGGTGAACCTCATAATTTTATCTAATTGCCAGCTATTAGTACCTTCTATTATTCGTAAACTATATATTTTAAACACCAATTTTCAATATTTTCTGAATAATAATAATTTCAATTAACATTGACAGAGTGAAAGCGTCTTCAAATAATTATGTAAATATTCTTGAAATTCGATAGTTTCGATTTAATTCCTATGTTTCAATATTTAACCTTGATATACAGGATGTTCAAGGTCGACAATCGGCAGCCTCTTGTTCCACAACAAGGATATCAACAATAATGAAGAAAATAAACCCAAAATGAGGTATTCAGTTCAAGTAGCAATACTTCAAGACCCTGCTGACAACCGACCTTAACATCCTCTACAATGACCGACGGAAATTTTGAGGAATATAAAAACTGTCTTGAGTAGGGATCGCTATGGTATAGACCAACCCCTCCACTCACTTCTCTCTACTGGCCCAGGGGGCGTGTCGTTTTTGAAGCATGCGTGGGGTCACGTGGTGCCAGAGGAAAGTGAAGTAGAGGGCTGGCCTATGGCAGCGTAACCTCAACTTTATTTTTATATTGGAACGCAGAAAATTTGATTTTTGCATTGCTGAAACTACAGAGATGAGCAAAAGAGGACGTTCGCATTTAATACTAAAAAATTACCAGTAATTTTAAATTTGACCACATCTTATTAACTTTGAAATTGAGACACATATAATTAGTTCTTTTCAAGTTTCATATAGGCTTCTCCCTATTTTTGGTTATTCTCACTTCTCCTAATGAATTCATAACGATTTTGTAGAACTCATATCGTTGGTGAAGTTTTTACACTAATTTATTTCATTATCTTCATCTATATTTGGCAGACCCTTATCACTTGACGAATCATCTAGGAAAAAATTGTGAAAAAACCATAACAGTATCCCTTTCAAACTTAGTGTCTAAAATTGAATCCAAATTCCCAAACTACTTTTCAAAGGCAATGAAGAATTAGTATTCATGCTTTCTTCTGTAGTTTCCAGATACGCAGAACGTTATACAAGAGTGAAATATTATGATTAACCCTGCATATGTCTCGACAGTCATTGTAGTATTCAACAATACTTATACTAATACCACACAGTTGCTACAGATATGTAAAAATAAACATGACTAGACATATTTTTACACCTATTTACACAACATACAAAAATATATCTACTTTAATTGAGTATCATTGTCTTTATCACCTTCAGCTTTTCCATCGTATTCCATTGTGACAATTGGAATACTTAACTGCGTACCTTCAACATCCTTCTTATTTCCATTGCCTTTTTTTCGAAGATTCTGCGCTTGGGCAGGAGCAATTGAATCTTGTGCACCTGGAATCGATAGTAGATAAGGATTGTCATCACTGACATCCATCGAGAGCTGTTTCTGCATCAGGTGTTTGGTGCTACCGAACATTCTGTGCAGAGGTTTAACTTCTTGCGGAACAGCGAGTAGAACATTCCTCTGTTCGTTGCTAGTCCTTCTGGGAGACCTGGGAGTTCTGGGCTTGACTTCCTTGGGAGTTTTATCGTTGGTATCGGGAATCGTGAGGATTTCGTCGAAGTTGATTTGGTTGTAGTTTTTCTCGTGATGTTCCGGAACGACGAACTCTTGTATGCTGTATATGTCAGGTACTGATTCGTCTATGTTCTTGATGTCTTCTATGTGGGGCATTATGATGGGCTGGTGGCTGTGCAAAGTTTGACGTCTCGTTTGCGAGGATTGTTTTTCCAACGTCACTTTAGTGCCAGGTGGGTTGTAGGTGAAGTTCGATGGCAGAGACATAACCTAAAATCAAGCATACATTCTTTTTATTGTTAAGGAACAGATAGCTGCACTCTCAAACTGATTTTCTCGTCGTTGAGTATCGTGGGTAGTTTGTCAATTTGTGCTGAAGAATGTACGGAAAAATTTGGGGGCTGCAACCAAAAATAAGCACATGGCTCTATAAAGGTGTCATTGGGTCCATGTAGTATATGAGTCTGTGGTTTGGTGAAGTGATTCGAAGGCTTAGTGCCATTCAAAGGCAAGTTTGCTTGCCACTGCTGAAAATCACTCCAACAGCCGCATTCGAGGTCTTCTTGAACTTGCCACCACTACAAATACAATCAAGGCGAAGCCAGAGCAGTCATGAGTAGATTGTGCAGAGGTCAAGCACCCCTAGGCAATATACAGGGTAGAGACTACTAGAGTCCCTGTATATACCTTAGACAAGACTCCGGACACAGCTATACTTCTGTCCTATTCTGTTTTCAAAAAATGCATTGATGATTGAATAAAGGAATAAGACATATATATCGAGCTTTGTCTTTTCAATTCCCCTAGTATCAATGATTGTCAGAAACAATTTTGAGGGTTAGATTATTTGTCAAACCGTTCATAACCGAAGGTAGAAGTGAGAAATAGGGCTATTTTAACTAGAATAACTATTAGATTCTCAAATAATGAACAACAGGGTGTTCAAACTTCTTCCATGACATTATCTTTAAAGGATAATTCGGAAAATTGAATAACTTGAATCCCTTTTCTAATGAATTATCGCAATAATGTACGCAGCAGGACAGTGAAATAATTTGAAATGCTAAATTTTGGCGATCATAAAATTTCAAAGTGACAGTGAAAGAAATTCGAAATAATTAAAAAGAGCGGGAAAGACGACTATGGTGTTGTCAGGTGGGCAAACCAAATGAAACAAAATATTAAAAACCCCAACGGCTGTCATTTTTGTGTCCGGATGAAGAGTTGGAAAACGACCCCATCATGGAAATGCCAAGAGAAGATTTTATAAAACTGTTAAAATGAATAGAACGGACAAAGAAGCATGGAAGGAAGTATCTCCTGTCAATACAGACATTGCTGTCTTCAGGGATGGTTCCAAAGCAAAAGGGTGGGGAGTCGGTATTCATGGGGCCAATCTAAAGACGAGAATCACAGTGAGCTTAGAAAAATACGTGACGGTGTTTCAGACGAAAGTGATCGCAATACATATATGATTGCGTAAACGAATTGATGAGGCAATAGTTTTCAGGGATAACCATTGCAATCTACTCGGATAACCAAGCAGCGATCAAAGCAGTGAACCCATTGCAAGTTGATTCAAAACTTGTAAGGGACTGTTTCTTGCCTTGAAACCCTGAATGAATTGAGCAGGCAGAGCTCTAGCATGGGTACCAGCACACAGTATGAGGGTAGAAAGAGACAGATTCACTAGCCCGGGCAGGAACGAGTGTAACTTTCAATGGCCCAGAACCCTTTTGTGGCATTTCGAAGACGGAAGACAATCAACTTTAAATCATGGACGCAAATCAATGCAGAGGAGTTTATTAAAGGAACCATCTTCAATATTCACAGAATATCTACCTAAGTTTCAAAAATATTAGTGGGAAGTGCATTGTAGGCTCTACAAATACATAAGTATGATGGGTATGGCTGAAGAACTGCTGTGCAGATTTTGTCAGGAAGAGGAGGAAACAGCAGTACACATTCTTTGTCACTGTTAGGACTTATTAAGTCTAAGATTCCTTATGCTGGGAGAGGAAAACCGAGATTCCAAAGATTTACAAGGAGGGGTCTAAAATCTAGCCTATGGAGTCTCATTGAGAAGATGGGGCTAGTCAAAGAACTCTAAATGATTTCGAGGGTCGGCAAAATAGATCTGAAAAGATCGCGGTGTCGAGGGAAATAGCCCGAAGGCCCCATTCTAATTTTATATTGCTAAGGGTGAGTTGATTCATTATGAATAATGATATCCTGTATGGGAAGGTTTATGAAAAATTCATAAATAAAATTTATCGTCAAAATCGAAGATTATTAAATTTTCTGTTTCAATTTCCATGGTGAATTATTTATTTGGTTGATTTATATTGATATATTGATGGAAAGTGCCAAGTCTATTGATTCCTCCCCGATTTTTCAGACCTCTGAAAACGAGGCGATGATGTGACGTCAAAACCCTAATACTGAAACAAGACTATTCCAGACAGAGATGAATGATACATGGTTTCTGACAGAGTGAATTAGCGCGAGATCACAGTTGAAAGAATTAATATATCAGTTGCCTCAGTCTCCGTCGGGCGTTTGGTATTTCATTTGAACTATGGCGAGATGAGGTTTCTACGTCATAAGAGGGTCCGTTTTCAGAAGGTACTATTATTTATGGCCAAAAATAAAACATTCCAGCTAATTTTTCGATCGAATTATGTCGTCAATCATCATTTATGTATAAAAGGATCATTATAAACATGGTTTGAGTTAAAAGTTCTACTAAGGTGTACACGCCCATTGTTTCATGCGTGAATGATCATGTATTAATAGTAGCCAACTAGACGCTAATCTCTTCCTAACCGTTTCAATACTATTTACCTTCTTCAACGGCATTTCTTGTCTTTGGCATTCTTGATCGAGTTGGAGGGCCAAGCAAAGCTCGCGTCTCTCATCTATTTCTTGTTTTTCCGCGAATTCCCGCTCTAATTGAGCATCCATATCTTGTTCGTCTTCCAAATGCTTGTGCGATTCTTCCAAGTGCTTCATCAATACCTAAAACGGCGTTTCAAGAAACGTCATTAATAATATACACTAAAGATACTGTTATGATATTATTTATTAATATATTTTTCAATGATATTACTAGCTGTTCTCGAACTCAGGTGACGAAAGGCTAGGGCAGATTCCTTCAATAAGAATAATAATATAATCATTCATACATGGAGATGAAGAATATCATCACTACCCAGCGTCTATATATAAAAAAATAAGTACCACATCAATATAATATATATTATGTAGTATGGAAAAATCAGTTGATTAACCCCAAAATGTTACTGCTATGAAAAAATATAAAATCTTTCTTCTCTCTAGATGTTTCGAAAATGGTGTTTCGAAAATTAATCTGCTTCCGTTTCCCAAATGAAGGATTGATCTCTTTATTCTTTGACACTTCTCAGCGACAAAGTCTGTCTGCGAAATTTGTGAATTACAGGGTGTTTTGCTAATTGATCAATTGACTATGTTCATATATATTTTTGGTTGTGGTGTTTTTCATTTGTTTTCAATTGAGTTTAAAGTCGAGAATGTTGCGAACAGTTCAGAACGAACTTTGACAGCCCACTTCAGTTCACTCTGTAGTCTCAGTTGTTTGTGGTACTTGGTTAGAAATCTGATCAGATGAAGCAAATTGAAAATATAACTTTTTCTTCTCTTGATTCGTTTCCCTTTTGGCTATTGAAGGGATCTTCTCGCTAGGCTTTTGTCACTTGATTCGGGTCTGTGAAACAATTTTACTGAACTATAATTATCTTTATATAAAAAATTTACTAACCGCTACCACAACGTTCACTAATACGAATTGAGCCATTAGTACGAATATAACGAAGAAAATTGGAGCTATTATGGGTGAGATGCAACAATTTTTTATGCAGTCGACACTATGGCTACAGTATTCATCATCCAAAGTGTCCTTCATAATTCCGTTCCAGTTGTCGCCTGTCGCTATCCTGAACAAGGTCAAAAAAGCCATTCCAAAATTTTCAAAATGTGCGTGTTCACCCAAGCCTACAACAAAATACATTCTGTAAATTTATATCAATTATTTTTGCGGTTTCATCATGAGTAGTAAGTAATTGATTAGGTACTATTCAAAATAATAATTTTGGTTGCCTGTTCGATCAATGTCATCAATGGTACCTAAAGTTATCGGTTATAACCAGGGTGGGAAAATGTCATGAAAAAGTCATAATAGTCCGACTTTTTGAATTAATTCGTACTTTTTTGAAATAATTCACTTGAATAAAAATTATTTCCTTTAGTCTAATAAATGAAGGAGGAAAAAAAAGGCAAAGTTAAAGTTAATTTCGCACTATTTTCATCTTCCGGTTGGAAGTAGCTTTTGATACCTCATTAAACATGAGACAAAGTTTGACTGGAAAACGCGTGCGATGGCGGAGAAAATGGCCCCAAAAGACCAGGAAAATAGGTTTTCAGCCAATATCTCCTAAAATATGGCAGTTAGAGATTTTCGGTTCAGATAAAAATTGAAGTTCGGTTAATTTTTTTACAAAAATGGTCCTTATCATTTTTCTCGAAAATTTGCCCGGTTTCGAGAAAAACGGCACGAAGCGCACCTCGAATAATGAGCTTCTGTGTTGTATGCCGGAGAGCACAGTCCGTGTATTTACACATCGGCGGGGGGACAAATTATTCAATAACTTTGTTAAAAATGCATATTTTCTCATGATTCAAAGTTCATGTGGAAGAGGAATTCTGCTGCTATCATATCCTGCGTGGCCGCATGGTTTGTAGCAGACGACCCGAGCGCCACGTAGAGCACACACGCGGCGAACGACGGAGGAACGAAAGTAATAAATTATAGCGTGTACATTTAGATATACTGGTTTTTTCCCGGGATATCTAAGGTATGACTCATATACATCGATGGAAAGGTGGGAATTCCCCCGTTACACTAGTTAAGGTGTTAAAATGTTAGAAATAAATAGCACGGAGAAAAAAAAAATACCGAAAAAAAAAGTGCGTTTTTTCCTTGACCCCGCTTTTTCTAATTTTATTGAAAAATGGACGGCTTCGTCTAACAAAGTGATTGCACAATCGAAAAGTAGACCTTAGCTTTCAAATGATGTATCATAGAAACCAATCGGATCATGTATAAATTTTTAATTGATGGTGTTCACAAAATTTCCCCGCGCTCCAAAAACAGATCATTTATAATACACAGGGTGAGTAATAGATAGGCACTTCTATACAAGATGTAATTTGAAATTTCTGATTTTCGAAATTTCTCCATCAATATTTATAGTTCTAGTTCGCCTTTTTCGCGAATACGAGGTAATATTGAATGCAAGTAATATTACTTCTTTCAGATTTCGGCCATAGAAGTGATCACATTCCGACATGTGGTCCTACGCACACAACTGTTTTTTTCCCTCATGTTTTATAACTTTATATTCGAGAAATAAAAGAGATTTCATCAATAATAATGTTAATAATAATGATGAAGTCATTGAAAATATAAGTAAACCAACAAATTCGCATCTGAAAAAGACAATCAATGTGTCTCTGAACTTCTTTCCCAATGGCCAAATCAAGCTTTTTTAATGAATTTGTTTCAACCTTCACGTGCCCACTGTATAAGCGGCATTATAGAAGATGATTTTTAATCTTCTACTGAAGATGGTAACATAAGTTAGCGAAACACGTGTCGAAGCGGTTTGGTTAGTGATGAAACAATGTATTATCATTATCGCGCGAGAGGTTTCAGTCTTCGATATAACAACAATAATAACTGTTTACCTTGACATGGGGTCTTCGTACAATCCAGTCTTCCAAATAATTCCACACCTAATGCTGCAAATATGAAAAACAACAGAAAAAACAACAATCCAAGATTTCCGACTTGTGGTAGAGCTTGCATCACTGTATCCAAAAGGGCTCTTATTCCTTTGGCCATTTTCAGAAGTTTTAGTACTCTGGCTATTCTCATGACCCTTAACACCTGAAATATAAGGTTTTTTCATAATACATGTACTTCCTCAAGCAAAACGACATTTTTCACACCAGTGAATAATAGCAGTGAATAACCATAATTCACTGGTCTAGAGTTCCTAGGGTAAGCGATATAACATAATAAGGAACTTTAGATCAGTGAATAATGGTTTGTGATCGCGAATCGTCCACCAAAAATCATGCACTCACCCTGATGATGGTCGGATTGATCGGAATGATCTTCAAATCCTGTACTATCTCCTCGATGAGAATCCCAACCACGGACAGTATCACTATAGCCACATCCAGCAAATTCCACTTATCCTTCACGTATATCTTGAACCCTAGCGCGATCAGCTTCATCGTACTCTCCAATATGAAGACGGCGGTGAAAAAATAATTGAATATCCTCAAGGCGTACTCCCAGTAGTCCGGCATTTCGTGACGTTCCGTCGCCATCGTGATGACGTTCAGACCAATGACAAGGGCGATGGCCAGATCGAAGTACTTGGAAGTGACTATCTTGTGTATGTCCAGCCGCCAGGGGGCGTAGTTGATGTAGTAGGGCGGCTCGTGCATTTCTGGAACAGAATAGTGATCTAAAGATTAATTGTAGAGAATTCACGGAACGGTTGATAGCCGTAGCCGCATGCAAAGAGGAAGTGACGTCAGAGTATGGATCCTGAGAGGTGGTGTGTGGTCTGTTGATTCCGTCTTTCTATGGCTACGATGTCATTGGTCTCCGTTGTGTAATTGTAGTCTTTAGAAGAGAAGATACTATATAGGTAAGTACTGCTGGTATTAGTTGAGTTGGAGATCGAGACCATTCACAACAACTTGGATACATTGATGTGATGAACTGATACGGTGGAAAATAGACAAGAACACAAATACGTGAATTTAATTTAACCACATATAATCTAAATATTGTAGTAAAATAAAAAGAATGCATCATTTTTTTGATAAAATATGTTGTTATACTTCAAAAAACACCATTTGAATACGCTTCAATTTAATGAAAAGTTCGAAAATACGCAGAGTATCATTTTATTACTATTATTGTTCACCCTTTATATTCGAAGTTGGTGATGTCATGAATACTATACACAATTTTGTTATACAATTTAGAAATCAATAAAGAACTTTCAATGCCAGACTAAAATATCAAACATATATAATTTCGTTATTAAACTACTACACTGGCTGTATGAATTTGGAACCAGCTCCATATTTCTGTAGGCAAAATCCTACCTGGTCCTTCGAGCCGGATCATGTAGGATTTTGCCTACAGGAATATATAACACAATCCAGTATATGAGAGAACAAAAACAAGTGAGTTTTATAACGTTTCGCTTCGTTTAACATTGTTGAAATCATTTACATCTTGAGAGCGATGACTGTTGAAATATCCAAACAAGCTGAAGAATCGGATGAGACGGTAACTCTTTTCATCTCACTTAATGTTGTCGTTACACAATCAGAAGGGACATGTTTCGGTCATATAAACTTTTAATTAGGCTGGAGATGGTCTTTTATAGCACCACTAAAATTTGTGATGACTTCGATCGAGCATTATTACTTCCTTCCTTCGAAAAATGTCAGTCCTCCTTGAGCAATATGGACATCTGCCAAAGATTTTCCGTAATATTTTAGTGGAAGCATCTCTTTGAAAATTCATTTTGGAAAATTAGAAGAAATAAACATTCAAATTAGTGCTCTTGCCTATTTGACTCAGTATTGTTCGTAGAGGTCTCGGTCTCGCGAAGTTCTAGAGAGAACACTGTTCTATTGATTGGCAGGCGGATACTCACTTCTCCTTCTCTTTTCCATTTGCAACACCCTTTTCGCAGCCTTGAGGACTCTTTCTTCTTTCTCTTGCTCCTCTCGACACCTATGGAAATTCTCCACCACCACTCCCACGAACATGTTGAGCACGAAAAATCCTACCAGCAGGATGAATGATATGAAGTAAAGTAGTCTCCACTCTGAGTAATTGACTATGGGCTGAAAGTAAGAAATTTTAGAGCTTCAAGAACTCATTATTTATTGGCATTGTCTACGTTATCTAATAAATGATCGTGGGATTATTTTTATGGAGGTTATTGAAATGTCAAAACATTAAGGAAATAAACCTCTGGTGCGCTCACTATTCATTTGTTTCGTCATACTGCGGACTGGTTCTTGATATAAACAATTGAATTTCAGACTATGACGTGGGATTCACATATTGAATGTTAGATGGCGTCATTCCTAGTGCAGCTCAAGGTAGGTAGAACTTATGATCAATATTCCCTATCTTCATTGGCCACATTTCGGTCACAATCGTCATATTGAAGTCTGTAATTTTGGTACGGCACCAGACTAAACTAAGCGACATTCACCCATGGATTCGACTTTTGGCCACGGTAGGAGAAAAATGGCATCTCCAGGCTCAGGATAATGTGTGTGCAAATCCAAAATTCTGTAATAACCTGATCTGGTTTGAAATTTGATATTTATTGTGAAATTTAATGAGTGTGTGTACGAAATATCAGGCTCTTTTATCTCTACGCCGGTATAGAGGCCGGATGATGACGGATTCATCGGATAAGGGGGCCATACTTGCAGTCAAACGTGCTCCATTATCTCTACGCCGGCAACCAGGCAGGATCAGCAACGGATTTTCTGGATAAGAGGAGTACAAACGATCGGATCTTATGAACACTGATGACTCGGCATTAGGCTGTTGTGATAAACAATCGGTGTTTTATGTGGCGAGTCGAGTGATAATATTATTACATAACCAAGTATTTATAGTTTTTATCTTGAAGAAAAAATAATCACCTGATCTGGAGAAATTGTTATCGAAAGGAGACAGAACTCCAATAAACTCAAAGAGAAGAAGAATTCACCAATGCCATGTTATGTTTACCGAAGTAGGCAAAAATTAAGGAATTGTAACAGGAAAGAATCAAAGTGCGTATACCAGAGGCTTATTTCATCAATGTGAAAACAATAACATATTTTGACAGTTGAATTACTGATTCTCCTATTTTGCAATGAGAACTCATAGACTTTGAGAACTGGTTTGAAAAAAAAAGAAAGGGTGGCAGTTTTGCCATTTTTTGAAACCCAGTGAATTGAAAATGCCTGATAACCCTGTATATACCTGTTTGTCCACACCGACAGCGTCCAAGCCAGTGTACATTATGTTTACCCAGCCATCCCTCGAGCTGAGAACGAATAGCGACATCAAAGCTTGCACCAAGTCATCGAAATTATATTTTTGGTTTTTCCACTCGTAGTTTCTGGCATCGCAGTCTTGCCTTGTCACTACACCAGTGAGGTTTTCACCAGAGCAGTAATAAAACGTACCTTTGAATAGCTAGAACGTGATTCAATCAATGTGAGTTGGATAATCGTCATAGGTAGCTCAATCCCTATACTACGATGACGTCAGCTGCAGTTCATTCGTATAGTTTATGCAAAGTTAGTTGAACAGATCATCAAACGAATGTGTTTTTTGATGATTATTTTTCGCAATAAAATTGTGGAGGCTGAGTTTGGTCCAGGAGTTTTATTCTGGTTCACTGATAGCATGGCGTCAGCCTACTGTGATCATTTGAGTAGTGATTTAGGCTTTCAAGGATGTTTTTTTCTTTCCTCTAGAAGTTTTTCTACGTGCGATTGCGCATGCGTCCAAAATGTATCACGTGATTTAGTGTGCGCAATCTGACAACAATGAACTCAATAAAAGGTGTTTATAGCTTGCTCTCTTGAGCCAACGCCCTGACGTCAAAGAATGGATTATAAATTCATTTGGATTGAGCCATCTTTTACAGATACAATGGGACATCCTTGAGGTATAAGGAATAAGTGTCATCAATATCAGTAAGGGGTAAACCATTGTGCACTAGTCAAGTGGGAAGGTGCCTGCAACATTTCTGAACAATCTGAGATGATTTAAATAATTTGTTGCCACCTATGAAAATATACAGGGTGATTCATGACGAGATTCAGATACCCAAATGGTGAATAGGGGAAATCAAGACGAGTTGATGCATATATATGGAAAATCATTTTGGCCGTCCGTAACGAAGATACAGGTAATATGTGAAATTGCCATATAACTTTGATGATCGATATTTCAGGAATGATTCATCGTAATTTGTTGAAATTTTGCAGCGACGTTTCTGAATTGAAACTATTCAAGATGGCATATTATGAAAAAAAATAATTAAGATCCGGACGCGGGAAAAATTAATGTTTTTTTGTTATATCGGAAAAGATGACTTTGTCATCACTTTTCTCGGGAAATTTTATCAGATTCAGAAAAATCAGACGAAACATCATAAGAACTGATCTTCAATTCGCACGGCACACTCTGAACGGTACAATGAAAAAATATAAAACAAAAACGTTCGAACGAATTATCAATTTGGACCTGGCTGATAACCCTCAACTTTCAACTGGATTCTCGTGAATTGATTTTTTGAACATTTATGTTTGATTGAAATTGAAGATAGTACTGATTTTTTGCTAGATAGTTATATCATTGATCGTGACTCTATTTTATAAATTTGTTTTGAAGTAGGCCCTGTTTTCTATATATATTCTTCCACTCAAGGTGTCACTCCTTTTTATAATGCTGAACATAAGAAAAACTCAAATACTTCAAAAATAATTAGCGGTTAAAACCTTCACGAGGGTAAACATTAGGGATACTGAACAAATAGCAAATGCAACCATCACTTGTAGAAGTAATTTGATAATTCACCATTTATGGGCACATGAAAATAATCCTCACGCCGTAATTTTACCAGTTGGTACCTTTTAGTTCGGATTATCAACGATTATTCACGCTATGTCACAGAATCAGTACTACTACTGTTTTCTGTCAATTTCTATCCAAAAAAAATGTTCGAAAAATTAATTGACGGGATCCAGTTGAAAGTTAAGTGTTATCAGCCAGGTCGAAATTAAAAATTCTTCTGAACTCTTTTGTTTCATATTTTCTCATTGAACCAGTCAAAGTGTGCCGTGCGAATTGATGAGCAGTTCTATAGCATTTTTTCAAATCTTTCTGAATCTGATAGAATTTTTCGAGAAAAGTGATCACAAAAGTGAAAACATTAATTTTTCCCAAGTCCGGATCTGGATTTCGTCAAAATGTTCAACAGAGAAACGTCGCTGCCAAATTTCAGCAAAATACGATGAATCATTCACGAAATATCGGCCATCAGAGTAATTTTTCATAGATACATCAACTCGTCTTGATTCCCCTATTCACCATCTGGCTATGTCATGAATCACCCTGTATAAGTGAGTCAGTCTGTTTCACTTCATGTTTGTTAACAGTGAATCCACGAACGTTGGTAGTAGGAACTGATCAAACCTGTTGCACAGTTGCACATCAGATCGGGAACTGTTCAAACTTGTTCACGAACTGCGCTCATTAACAGGTTTGAGCAGCATTTATACAGGAATGATCAGCATTTATACAAGAATGATCAGCTTAATCGACCTTGAAAATGGATATACGAACAGCTTCCCAAAAACTGGTATGACTTTCTTGAGGGATTAAAATGGGAAATTACACGAATGCGACCAAACTCGCAGTGTACATCTACTAACAACATTGTTAAGGAAGAAACTATTTGATGAACCACCAAATGGAAGAATCACCAATAATGTTCTATAATTTGTGACATTCATGTAGATATACAGGAATGTAACCATGCTATTTGAAGTTTGTTATAGTATGAATACCAAGTGTGAGAATAATTATGTTTTTTTTTTCAAAATATTCAGAACGCCTTGTGGAATCTCCACCAGTGACAATAGTGAAGCAGACTACAGCCTCATTTCTTGATACTTTCTTTATCCTTCTTCAATTTCTTTACCTCTGTATCAAAAGGATATAGGTACTCGCATAATTCGAAATACGTACCTGTACTCCTAAGATTCCGAATATTATAAAGAAGGTGCAGCATATGAGTACTATATTTCCTATAGGTCTCAAAGACGAGAGTAACGTTTGTACAACTAGTTTCAAACCTGGAGCTCTGTTAATAACCCTCAATGGACGAAGGGATCTCAAAAGGCGAAATACCTGAAAATGAATCCTTGATTATTTGGATTTATGACTTATGAGTTATCATTTGCTGATTTGGGTGAATTCGAATATATCTTTTTTTTTAGTTTTCTCTCCAATGAAGACACCCCCAAACTATACATCTTGTTCGATTTGGAAGAATTTGAGGGTGGGTACCAAATGGATACTGAGAAATCATTGATTTAATCTTTTAATTTTTTTGCAAACTCAAGAGTTTATCGTTGAAGTATCATTCTTGTTGGAATGAAACGTGTATTCCCCTTACTTTTGTTAGTGGAGAGCATTTTTTTGACTTCACTTCTATAAATTATATAAGAACCTGATAAAACTATAAAGTGGTGTTGCCACAAAAGTACTTTGTAGTTTTGGAAGGTACCGATATAGTTAATATTTTTCGTCATATTCATCAGGTATTTGTGAAATCAGGCATGAAATGGTTTGGTATTCCTTGTCATCCTATATAATAATAACTGGTAGGTAAGTCCACTAAAATGAAGGTAGATTTTTGAGTGACGACTTCTGAGTATTATTCTCAGAAATACAATTTTTCTGATCAGGAAGGAAGAATGATGAACTAAAGTTTGGAATTTTTCATCTACTATCTCTGTGTTAGTTGTCAACCAACTTGGGTTTGATCGATCTGAAATTGTAAACATCCCAGGAAAATTGCGGTATTACCAACCTATTAAAAAGTTGCCAGATTCTGACAGGTTACTAAATCTATTTGTATACTGTCCCGGAGCTCTCGCGGACTGACTACTCGGGTATATTTATCTTAAATAGGTAAATAAATATATGAAAACAATATTCTCATAATAATCATATTAGCTTCTATTGTGGAGACCTCAAGAAAGAATAATCAATAATCATTGCATGGAAATAATCAACTGATATACGCGTATATAGGTATGTATTCATATTTTCGAAGACTTACCCTCAATATTCCGAATATCCTAGAGGTGGTATCGTTGATCAAAAACATTATAATATCTATCAAAGAAATGATTACTAAAGAACCATCCATTATATTCCATCCAGAAGTGAAATAGGCATTTGGACCATAGCACATACCAGCTGCTACTACCTTCGAAAAGAAAAAAAGTTCAATATCATATCCTGAAATCATTCTCTGTGAAATAATTCGATCTTACATTATACTTTTATAAGTCTTTGTCCACTATAGATACAAATGTGAAAGATAATAATGTATGAGGTTCAAAAATTAATTTGGAACATTACTTTCTGTCACATTTGGTAAGGGTTGATGTGAATCAATTCAGGTATAATTTTTGAGAAACTTACCTTAACAAACATCTCTGTTGCGAACACAACAGAAAATATATAGTTGCAACATTGGAGAAATAATTTTTCCCTACTATCTGGTGGAATATTTGGCCTCTCCATCGCCAAAGTTATACAGTTCATGGCTATGAAGAGTAGAACTATATTGTCGAACCAAGTTTGTTTCACCAACCAGCCACAATATATCCTGAACCTGTAACATCCAGTTATTGAAACGATTCTGACTAAAATTGAGTTAAATGCGTAGCAAGTCTGCAGCATTTAAAACTGATGATAGCACGTTGAAGATATTTATGAATTTAGAATTAGTATTTTATAGCTCATAGGTAACAGCATTTAACTACAAAAATAAAAATGTGTTTTACTCCTTTGTATACTCGATTATTCTTGTGTTTCATAGGATTACGTGGGAATATTTATTCAATATTGTAGTTTAGTAGTTGGATAATTACTTGCTGAAGTTGTAGGTTCAAACCAAAACATTTATACTCGAAATTGTTTTGATTGTTGCAATAAAAGTAGTTCTCCTAACTTTTTTTTACAAATTTATGAGTATATTAATAGATAGTTTTCAGTGATAAGAGTTCCACTGTAGTTCTCCAATGCTGTTTAGACACAATAAAAACTGCGTATTTAAAGTTTGTAGTTCGCGGTCAGATACTCGGAAAGTGCTCGAAAAACTCATCCTCCTTGATACGGATTTGCAAGTGCATAAAGGTATTTGTTGGCTGAGCGCTCCATCAATGGTGCATTGAAATTTTTTGCCACTAAAGCACTTTTGAGTCAATAATTTAATCGCCGGTAATGTGTATTCCGGCCAGCTGGCGGCCGCCTGGATACCTTGACGACGGGAAAATACATAACCTGCCAGGAGAAGTGTGCGTTACAAATGCTGGGCCGATGGTTGGTGTTATCTGGGTTTGAATCACCGTGTATGAGTTTTTTTAATGTTTCGGTTCTCACGAAAAGGGATAGCCTGTAATGTTCAGAGAACATCGTGAGAACCAAGGGAAATAACGTAGGAATTGGTGTTCTTCTCAAATTTCTGGAGGTTGAATGCCTCGGGGAACACCTTCCTTGGCAATGTGTTCTAGAGCCTCGCTGTTCGTTGGATGAACGAGTCTTTGGAAAGAGATGTTCTGCAGGTCTCCAAAGTGACCACAAAGGGGTGCGAAGTGTCAACTCGACGGATTAATCCCGCGGGGACTGCCAAGGGAGGAACAATCGTTGATATTTCAGAAGAGCATCGTCCATGGAACTATCTATAAAATAGAGCCAGATCGCAAGCTTTTCTGCGGTGTTCCAGAGAAGTGAGTGAGTTTGTGAGCGAGGCATCACCCACGAGACGAATTGCCCTTTTTGGGCAGAATCTAACAGTTTCAGGGTTATGTTTATTGTGTGCTGCACTGCAAATATGTTTTCCAGGACAGGTCGGATCTATGCCTTATAGATCATGAGCAGCTGACTGGAAGTGAAATAGCTCCTGACCCGAAACAAAAAACCAAGTTTTTGGGATGCACTTTTAGCAATTGATCTCACGTGATTTTCTCAAGAAAGGTTATTGCTGATAGTAATACCATTGTCGTTCTAGATGACAACCTAGTTAGGTAGTTAGTAGGCAGGAGCTATAATATTGTCTGTTCATTGAAAAAACAATTGAAGAAAATATGTAGTTCAGAGACATCTACGTGAACTAAGTAAACTAAGTTATTCATATTTTATTCCTAACCCATAACATTTTTCATGGTCCTGTCAAGAATCTGTAAAGTTTGTAAATAAAAATCTGTCATGTTGAAACCCGAAAATGAAACATTATCACGAAAGATATTATCAAGTATGAAAACCATCTACCTATACTTGAATGGAAGCAGAGAGATGTTTATGCAATGCTGTATCAGGTTGACTCATGATGCAACTTGAATTTAAGTTGGAACTGTGGAAACTGCGGAAACTCATCAGTGCTTTTACACTTTTTCGACATGCAAGCCAAGCAGAAAGGTAGGGACTGCTTATTTCCTTCTATATTTTTGATAAGTTACTATATAATTCATGGAATTCCGTTATTTGCAGTGAAAATATGTCTTTAGTGATGTAAACTATGTACACATCGGAATCACTATACTTGAAAATTTCAAGTACCTACCTACAGCGAAGAGTACCTACATGAATAGCTTTTCAGTTGAAAAACGAAAAACTATGAGTGATACAAACAAATTGATGTAGAAGAATCACATCAGGAATCATTATGTGAGTAATGTTCAGAAGAAATGTACCATGACAATACAAATATATTTTTTAATAAATTGAATATAATTATGAAGAATTATTGCAATTTTTATTCTACTAATTTGTTCCCCTCTGATACCCTGTTTATTGTTGTACAGATGTATTGGCAGCTAAGTTTGAAAACACTATATATATTGTACCAAAGGTATATAGGTTAAATATATGTTTTGCTGAACAATGATTATTTTTTATAAAATCACCTTATCCACTAACTTCACTAAATATGAGAAGATGTGTCTATAATTGCCACAAATTGAACCATAATAATATTCAATACCAATATGTATAACTTTTTAATTTCCATATAGGAATATTCAATACCAATATAATGTAACTTTTTAATTTATATTATGTAATCATTTTGAATAAACTTCATTATTATTTATTATCATTCTATAATATCTGTTCAAATGCCCGTTTCCTCCTCAGATGCTTCTTAATCTTCAGGTCGTGTTCCTTAACAAACTTGGAACCGAACCCTCCTTCCAAAACCGTTTCCAATTCTTCATTGGCAAGAAACAGTTCCCTTAAAATGTTGGAAACATACAGTATCATGTTCGCTCACTTCAAAAACTCCCATTCCTGAAATATCAATGCATCAAGTTTCAAATATTATGCGATTCAAGAAAAAAATTTCACCTTGCAATCAAATTCACAACAGTGAGAGGATAGGGGAAACCAGGTCTTGATAATTTTACACCTCCACCTCCTGGAGTGCGAAGTTTTCAGATAACATTGCAAAATAACACAATCGCACTCACAAACCAATCAACAAACTGCAATAGAAAACCAATACTAGAAGAAATAATTAGGAATAATTGTAATTTTCAAGAATACCAATTCAAAGTATAACATATTCACAAAGACGAAGTTATAAGTTAATGACAACTGTCAGAAAATAATTTTTTGATTATGACATCTCAATCTCATGAAAGAATCTTCTTCATCGCCTTTGTTTCAAATATCACGTCAATGATGGGAAGCACATCTGTGGTTGAGTACATATTGGAAAAAAATAGAAGAAGAGAATATCAACCTAATATGGTCTATTTTGACATAAACAAATGAGCTCTTTCCATTTTCTCTTCCCCAGCGCCACTTGACAGACAGACATATTTTGATTGAATGAACAGACAATATTATACCTCCTCGCACTAGGTCGCCTACTAGGTTTTCATTTAGATCGACAATGGTAATACCAAGCATCGAAATGGATGTCTTCAAATGTATGATTACTCCTGACAGGCTTATGTTGGGCACAGTGAGATCGGCTTTTCTAGAGAAAAGGCATGCTTGGTTTGTGATAATACTATATAGGTATATCTTACTTATTATCAGGTGGAAATAAATACAGGGAGTATTCGTCCTTCCCCCTGATACAACCCGTAGGCTCGAAAATCATCCCCAACCTGCTGATGACGCTCAATCTCGGAGAAGTTCTCGACACGTGATCCTCGTAATTTTTTTCACCGGAAGTCTTGTCATTCAAGCTGTTCACGGATTTCTCTTTGATGCTGTTTTCTCTCGAAATGACCGGACTGGCCTTGTCGAACTTCGATGGAGTCAGTGGGGGTTTATGGAGGGAATTCTTCCGAATCAAGGCGGGTGGTATCGGCACCTAGAAGAAGATTTTTTATTGATCTAGGCCAATCTAGGGAGTTTTTTTTGTATACACACACTTTTACATCATTTCAAGCTATTATAGCGTTTTCAGAGGCAAATGTAATGACGTTGATTCAATAATCAACGTTGGATGGTTGAAACTTGTTGATTTTTCAACACGCTTTTATTAGCTTCGTATGTATTTTTTTTTCACCACTAGCTTTTCGAAGCGTGATGTGTGTTTACTCACTGAGGAAATAGCACTCATTAAATTTTTCTTGCTATGTCTGTGTTGATGACTGTTATTCAATTCCTGATCATATTCACTCATGTATAAAAATAGCGCCAAGGGCTATTTATTGCCATAACTAGAAAATTTTTATTGGAAGTATATATTGATTAACTCCATTGGTCTTCTTGTATATTTGATAATAATGTCTAAATCTATGATAATTAACGCAGACGAGTGAATTTCAATCATATTACCGTAACTTGTCATCTAATTACTTTTATAGGTAAGATGAGAAACGATCTTTGACGAATGATTCTCGAGTACAAACGAACAAGAATTTTCACGCAGGGTGTAACATGTGAAGTTCTAGTCATGTTATAGCCATCTAGAGGCAAAGCTCTAAGGTAGAATCAAGAGATCGCGTCACAGACTGTATGGCGCTGCCATCTATAGTCACACGTACAGACCCTTACGTCTATAAGCTAGAGAGTGGTACTACAAGTGAACCACTCTGCTGACAGATGGTACTACCTGACATACTCGAGTGGATTTTTCTACCGACCTATTCAACTGCTAGATCCTTAGATCATTAATTGAGACCTGGTGGGTCGAAACACTACTTTCCCGCTCCTGCTGACAATTGGGGCAACTCTGTTCATCCTGGATCTCTTAGTTATGAAATTTAGCAGAAGAATTTTCACTGCAAATGGGCACACTCCTCGTGCACCTCGTGACAATTATCAGAATGAAGTCGGTCCAGTCGGTATGAACACCCGTGCGTCGTGGATTTAAATACGGTTGTGAGTTCTGATTCTGAGTTTTGATCGAGTGGGGTCTCGAAAAACTAATCGTTAGAAGTATGGGAAGTGTGGGATTGAGCGAGACATTTAGGACGAGTATAATTTTAATTTGAAATGTTGGAATTATTTCATTCTCAACCAATAAATATTTTTGTTGCAGCAATGTATCGTTACCTACACATTAGGTATATAGGTCAAATTGATCATCGAATAATTATATAAAATGAATAAAAATAATATGATCTATTGGCATAAAATCTCTGTATTGAAATAAATAATGACTATAGATATTTCAAGTTGATAACTTCATGATTTCAGTTTGGCTTTCCATAGATAAGCGTGTTTTATTTATTTTCAAAACTTTTTTTATCGTCATTTGACTAGGTGGAACTAACAATAATAATGTCAGGTATCAACTACGGAAAAGGTAGACTTATTTCAATTTAAGAATATAGTTGGAAACCGCTATGTAGATAATTGAGCGATACCTGGCTACAATTTAAACAGTTTGGCATTCAGAAAAGAAACACTGTCTATGAAACATGAATCAATCTCAGTCGAGTTAGTCTGTATAAGAGCGCAATGAATCTCAATCAAAAAAATCATTTCCTTGGTCGACATAGTTATGTAAACACCAAGGTAGAAACGAATATCATTATTACCCAGGGACCAAGATTATAATCCGATGCTCCAGCCGAGGGGTATAAAAGGTCCGTGGTAATAATATTTTTTACGACCAAAATGTATATTGAATTTTTTTGACCACTAGCAATATATTTCAATCATTTCAGTTCTGTGAAACCGAAATATGGACCTATTGTCACTATGGAGTATGGAAGCACTATTTTCAATAATCAGCCATGACCATGACAAGTCGTTATTGATGAATGATGAATTCGAGTGCTATTATTACGAAACGCATCAGAACAGTGAATTCGGTTTAATTATAACAGAGTGGCTATGTCTTATTGACTAGTGGTAGTAAGAACACACTTTACGTCTCGCAAAGGAGTAAATAGTGGTAGGTTTTATAGCTTGTGGTGGTAAAAATGTACAAAAAATGTATTATATCTATTTTGTTTTGCACTGAATAAACATAGATTCTCACTTGAGACGGCACAGAGCTGTATGTATTCGATCTACATCTGATCGAATTGTGAGGACTCAATCCTTTGGCACTCTTATTGTTTGGTGTGTCCTTCTGGGTGTCGTTTTGAATCCTGATCGTCGATTGCAGTAGAGAATCATTTCGAGGACTAGCCTGAAATAAAACGTGTGAAATAATTGCCAAGTAGATATATCAAAATGCCAATGCATCTCTATTGATCTGACAATCAACAGTTCTGTCAGATGAAACTGGGAGAATAGTTATTTTTTCTGTGACGAGAACAAGATTGAGATTTCATCTAAAATGAAAATAACACCGTCTCCTAGAGAGAACTGCAAGTCCTTATATTTTCCATTCGACTTCGCGGTTACGTAAATTACTAAACAACCACTAAATCCGCAATTTTTTGAAATCATATCACAGAATTAGACTCACAGAAAAAACTAATTCATGGTGTCCTGAACGTATTGTTACGACCCTGGCAATCGATCCCAGCTACCTGCGGCGGGAAGTAAACAAGCCATATTTCTTGGAATAGTAATTAGGTAATTCGACGGCTATTGAGATGACTCGAGAAGATTATCGACCTGTTCACGATATTTCGAGTGGAATCTAGACGTTTTATTAGGTAATATAAATAGATGTTGTTAGGGACAGGAAGAAAAGTCTTTATTTGGAAGCGTTATAATAACGATCGAAGAAGTGTTGTGAATCGGAAGTGTTTAGTACGAGTATTGTAATTATTGTATAGTAGTGTTCAGAATAAATTATTTTAAGTGTTATACCGAGTGTTAAATTATTACGGACCCAGAGTAAAATCGTAACAGTATTCAGGTACATTACTTACATTTATGCACATCATATTTCGAAGTCCAACCCTAACAGATCACCATCGCAAACCGTTTTTTTTTTCAGAGCAGTGGAATTGCAATAAAAAACTTCCAGCTATACAGATGCGATACAGATGAGGTATTGCCAACGAAGTCTTAAGAAAGGTATAAGAAGCACTAAACGGTATTTATTGAATGGTGCAATAGTGAAAAAGAAAAACATCAAATAAAGATGAAGTTTTTTCGGCTCATTTTCTAGAAATGTCTGAAACCTAGAGGCCAAACACCATGGGCATGCTGGCTTCCCCAAAATAAGCTTATCTACATAATGCTTTCAACGGTGCACACAATAGATATATCACTAATTATCAGAAGATAGAGAATATATCACTATTGTTAGTTGTTCCTATTTGCAGGAATAATTGATTGAACAAATCAATCAATATTTCCTATGCTTGAAGGAAACATTGTTCCTAACTCATGCGGAAAGTGTCTTTTCCACACTCGTCTGCTTGCTCGAACTCCGCTTCGATTCGTTCGGGTCAACGGCATTAGCGTGCGGGAAAGACTCACTTTCCGCACTTGTTAGGAAAATTACTAGTATACACGAAATGATCAATACGAAATAGGTATGTGGCGTTAATTCGACTAGCGAGTACAACCCCATTAATGATATTAGTATATTACACACCGAGGTGCATGGGAAGTGATTCATCCCTGTCGTGAGATTAGTTAGTTATAATTCCGAGACAGGAATGAAACTTCCTACCGAGGTTTGTATACTATTTTATTTACAACCATCATATTTTGATCAAAATTAATGAATCACGGTTTCGTCCTGAACATACCTAAAATATTACATAAGTGAGGGGGGGAAGTGGGGGTGGTAAATAGTGAGGGGCGGGAAGTGAGGACGGGAAGTAGAGGTGTGTAATGTGACCCTTCCCAACCTTCAATGACGTTAGCAATGACAACATTACATTTTAGGTTGTGAATAACATAAATTACCTGTCTAGCCATCCCCCCGCCGTTGCACTGCGAATGATCCCTCCCGTTGTTCAGAGGCACGGCCTCAGATTCCGCGCCGCCGCTGATCTTGATCCTCCTGGACCTCGACGCCAGCTTCCAAGAGCACTTCCTCTGCAGCTTGTTCTTCTCCAGCGCCTGCCGCGTGTCGTTCTTGCTCGTCACGGGAGTGACCTTCTCGGTGAAGGTCATCGTCTTGGTGCCGATCCTCTCGTTGTGCGTCACCAGCCTTCTGGATAACTGTTTGGGTTCCTCTGAAGGGTGCTCGAAGTGCCGGTATGTGAGCGGTGGGGGTGAGAGTGTGGGAGGTTTGAGTAGACTCAGGCTCTGGAAATGAAATTTTTAGGCCAAGGTTCTCATATAATCATTGGGACGTCCTGGCCGGACAGAGACAGCACTATCCCACTAAGCAAAGTTGGAAGCTATGTTGATGCAATGTTGAAACAATTACTGAAACAAACGTTCAGCAATATTGCGAAAGTGAAGTTTGATAATGTAGCGTTGCAGCAATATTACATGTTGCTGTGAAATTGCTGAAACGTTACATTCACAAACTCCACTTTTGCAATATTGCTGAGGTCATCCACTCCATCAATTGCTACAACCTTGCACCAACATAGCTTCCAAATTCGTTTAGTGAGATAATAGCAGGCATTGAAAGTACCTACTGTTGACACCACATGGCAAAAACGCTGAAAGTCCATTTTTACGGTAAATTGAGATATTTTAGTACCAAAAAAGGCTAGTAAAACGTAGAATCGAATGCCCTGGGCTGCTTGACAATATCGCTGATAATCTATAGGAGTTTTTCACGAACAAAAATCTCTCGTTCACCACAAAAACGCTGAGAGACAATGCGAGATACAGCAAAAACGTTGTAAATACTGGTGTGCGGTGGCTGCATAATTGAATAAACAACTGGAGTATATGCAACGCATACACATTAATCTCATCATAGTGTCTTTGAATTTCATGATGATGAAGGAAACAAACTCTTTTTCTGTGACGGTAAAAAACATTTTAACCCTCTTGACAGGTTACAGAATGTCACTTTCCAAAAATAACTTCTTTATCACGGGAAAAAAGTGGGTGCTTTTCTCCCGGATACAAAGGTGCACTGTTGATGGCTTTTGTTGAGCCGGTTCCGGAAAATGAGCCAATAACACCGTCTCCGAGAACTAGCAAAAAGTCCTTTTATCTTCCTGTTTACATCGCGGTTACGTAAATTACTAAATAACCACTAAGTTCGCAATTTTTCAAAATCAAAACACAGTATCAAATTGAAACATACTCAATTACTTTAATAATAAAGCCTACAAAAGATGCCTGCAAACACAGATGTACTACCAGCAGAACAGTTCAAATTTCACATCGGAATTTATTCGCTTTTATTCTAATGTTGAATCTTGACAATATTGAATTTTTGTTTTTCTGTGACAGAAAAAATACGCTACGCGTCGGGAGACAACACAACCTCGAGCTAAAATCTAATACTTTCCATCGTATTCGAAGGTTTTTTTAACGACAACCTTGGTTTTGCAATTGTTTTTGTGTTGCTTCTATCGAATATATATAAAAAAAAATCATAGCAGTCTAAGTATACTCTTATTGTTTTCGTCAAAAGAATATGGGGAATATCTATAAGCTATTGCGTTAGATATATATATTGAAAAGATTCGACCGTGTTTGTCGCCCAAGGACTTCTCCACAAACTGCCATCATACGGATTACCACCTCAGCTTTGTCATAATACGGATTACCACCTCAGCTATGCCATCATACGGATTACCACCTGAGGTATGCCATCATACGGATTACCACCTCAGCTATATGCCGTCATACGCATTACCACCTCAGCTATGCCATCATACGGATTACCACTTCATCTATGCCATCATACGGATTACCACCTCAGCTATGTCTTCTTCCATCGAGTTTGCTTTCAGACAGATTGCTCCATATGGTGGTGGACGAAGTATCGTCTGATACCATTCCGGCGTTCTTCAAGGATCAATCTTCATTATTATTATTTATCATCAACTGACAATAAGGGCCGAGGCAGAGCCTATTATGCCCAGAAGTATAAATTTACATTACAGTACGAAGGGAGTGATATCGTAAAAACATAAGAATCGAAAATATCGACAATAAGGCAAATCAACACAATAGGTACAGTCAGAAATTAGAACACTGGAACGCGTCGAAACCATTTTTGAAGCTGTTGGAGCTGTCACAACGGCCTCTGGGAGCGAATTTCATAACCCAAATACTCTATTGGCGAAAAAATTGCCTGACGGTCGAGTTTAAGCTTCATTCTATGTCCTTTCAGTCTGGGGTCCGTGTTTAGCTCAAAAATATGCTGCATGTCGATGGAGAATGTGTCGTGCAGTATGCGGTAGGTCAGAATAGCATCACCTCTGGCTCGTCGGTCTTCGAGAAATGGAATCTTCAATCGGGTTAACCTATCTTCATAGGATAATCTTGGCATCATAATTTTTCCTTATTTCCTACTTGCCCTATCCACAGCCTCGCAGATGATGATACTCTCGATACTCGCGTTTTCTTCCAAAATTCTCATTTCATTTCAGGAAAAAATGAAGCCTGGGGGAACCATAGCAACCTAGTTAAATTCATCGCACCAAAACTCAATAAGCCTGTATTTTCTTTAGAAAAGCGGAAGTCAGTATGCCTGGTAAATCACCTTGCCCACAAACTCCACTATATTTATACTCGGAACTTCCATCAGCAATACTCATTCATGGTAAAGATTATACTTAAATCATATCAGATTCATCGCGAAAGTTGGTCAACGAAAACACATCCTCATGATTCACTAAGCACAAATTCGGCCAGCTAATTTTTAGAATACTGTTCCCGCACATGTGGTAGGTGATGCTACAGCAACTAATTATTTGCCAAAGGAAGTATTCCCTTAAACTTATAATCCCCAAACGTTCTAAAAACATCCCAATACCTATCTTCTCTCCCTATATCCTCCCTTGGTACGCACGATGTTCTTCGAACATAATAGGAATTCCCTTTTGTGCGCTTTAAGAGATAAACATATATAATTATTCTCAGCCTTTTGTATGATTTTCTTCTAACCCACAACTCTGCTTGTTATACGAAGACATTAAATAATTACATATTACATACCGTAGTTTTTTGGGTGGCCGAATCTGTTTTAGAATGGTGACAAGGTGTCGTGTCGCTGCCAGACAGATTTTCGCTTGCGGCCGATGTCACGTGATAACGGAATTCCGGGAATTCGTCTAGAATCGTACTCGGAGAATCTTGAGGGGTGGCAGCCGTATGCGTAATTAGTGGAGGTGTGATCTGAAGAAGAGAGATATATTTGTTGGGTGGTCAAAGGAACAAAAATTGAGGGAATTCAGTTTTTTCGTCGACCTCTACAAAAAAATCACATTCAACGTTCTAATTTTCCAAGGAAAAACAGACTATTTCCGGAGGCAAGTACTTTTTGCCCGCAGACACTAACGTTTCGTCCGCAAACACTTTTCGTCCGCTGCAGGGTTGCCAGTTTTACTGAATTTTCAGTAGATCTCCTGATTTGCATATTGATCTACTGAAAAACATGTTGATACTTATTTAATATTACAAAATAAGTAATGAATGAACATATAAGTTCATACTAATGATATGTGTATAACAAGAAAGGACTATACTTTATCTGATTCAGATCAAGTTAAAACTTCATATACCTATCTTTATTCCAGATTTTTTGAGATTTTCTCTTCTCGTCCATGTGTCCATGTGACATTTTGGTGCAAATCATCTGATTTGTCCTTACTACACGTATATTGAAATAATATTCATATTTCTAGGAAATCCTAAGAAGCTGGAATAAGGAATGTATGTTATTACAGTTTGTTTCTTTACGTTTGATTTTTTCAATTCATTTTGTATTTTTGTCATTTTCACTATTCTTTCCTGTTTATTATATACTCAAAGTCCCTATATGTAACTGTATTTTGTGATATTTGTGAGTATTTTCAAATTGAGAATTAGGCATATGATTATTTTTTATGAGAATGTTCGTTTTGTTCGTTTCTATTTTGTTGGAAATAGGTTACTTTTATATTTACTGACATACATATGATGACGTCATGAGTATATCATTTCTTAGAATTCATATAGCATAAAATAAATCTTGAATAGATCTACTTTAATCTACTGAATTCTTGGTAAGGTATTGTCACGAGTAGAACATAGAGTATATTAGTAATTTGGAACCATGAAGGTTTAATAAACATAAAATTAATCAAATCATCCGTTGACATTGAACTATAAAAACTGATCTAGAAACTCTTATAATAGAATATATAAATATTGGATGTGAGGGTTCCGAAGTTAGTCTGATCTGGGGCTACTCTTGACTTGACAAGAGCTCGCCGTAATGGTCGTTATAATGTAAGTTGATGTTATTAGGTCTTTATATTCATTGGTGTTCATTCATATTTGTCACCACTACCCATGATGTAACATGTTATAATACATTTTGTTATGTTTGAATATAGTCTCGTACTCTCAGTTCTCCCTAAACTATTAGTGCCTATTCGAATATTACCTCTCGCAAACTAGTAAGCCAAGCAAACGCCTTATGAATCGATATGGTTGGACTTGGACAATCTATTTTATCGTGACATGGTGGAGGCAACCCTTTTATCGTGCCATGGTGGAAACAGATATTGAAGACGGCTGTGAAACAACCAACCATTATATCATGACATGATGAAGGCGCCGGCCACGATGCATTAAATATCTATTTATATCGTGACATTATTTACTGATGGAATATAAATCGCACTGGCAACCCTGGTCCGCGCAGAAAGCGAGTTGACAACAACTGTCATCTGCTATTGTCAAATTAATTATTCACGAAATCCCATAGACTTTACGTGTGCGTAGGACCGTGATAAGAATATAAGTGATTGAGGTCGACGAAAAAATGTAATATTCACCTCGGCGAAAAACTTGCAGACTTGATTATACTAGACAGTGTTCCGTCTTGGTACATGAATAACTATTTTGTCATATTTCGGTATCATTCAAATCTAGATTTTGGATTTTTTTATCGAAAACGTACCTGTCTGGTTGGCTGCTTCCATAGTGATTCTTTCTGGATATTACATTTTGGCTCTATACCGATAAAGCAACAGTCTTTCCTCGTATTTTTATCTTTCAAATCACAGTTCGTATAAGTCGATCTTTGACCTCTGATATCTTTGAATTTTCCCAATTCCTCAGCAGATCTCCAACAATTGTTCTTATCCTATGAAAATCGGATTCATATAAAGGATATTAATTGTCCCAGATCATAATAGAATACAAGATGATCCTGAAATACTGGTACATATGTCAACCATAGTTTTCTCAATATAATTACCACTCATACGTTATCTACTAGAGTAGGTAATGTATATGTGAGAGAATCCTCATCCCTAACAACACAAGTGAATCCTAGGGACTTCCCAGAGACGTCCCTAATTTTTTACTAGGAAATCCCAAGGATATCCTATGTCGGGACAAAGTACATACTAGGGACGTCTCAGGGACATCCACTTTCAGACAAAAAGGACATCCAAGGGATGTCCTTCTGGTACGTCTCTGGGATGTACCAATTACGAAGGAAGGCTATCCCTAGGACGTCCCAAGTATATTCCAGGGACATCCTTTCGACAAAAGAAAAAAATGTAAGTCGAGTAGGGATTGAACCCAGGACGTTCAGCTTATCAGGCACGCACCTTACTCTATTGGCTAATATGCTTTCTGAAGATTTATGTATTAAACAGATTTATAAGCAGTAAAAAACTGAAACCTGAAAAAATACAACTTTGTTAGGATTTCATGTATAATTATTATCATTCTTGGGTGTTTAAAAATGAGGGACATTATGCATTTACGATTTCAGTTTGCGAAAAATAGACATTTCTTAAGAAGTTCTGAGACTATGTTCTTTATTTACATTACAATTATTTTCTGGAAGAAAAACAAACATTTTCAAAAACTCAACTCAACATACAGATTCAAAAATTGATGAATCCTGACACTTGTGACTAACCACTAACCGGAGGAAAAAGCACTAAAAATTACGAAATAAAAGTACTCCTGTGGGCAGCGATAATCCAGGAATGCACTGAGTTCAATGGTTATCAATTGAGATACTTCACAGTACTCTTGTTATAATTTTCTATTTCACATTTTCCATAATGACATATTAGATATTGAGAAAACAGTTAATTTACATCTGAATACGTTTCTTTACTATTTACCATTGTTCGAAATGAATTGGAGATTGAATTCGAAAAATACAAGTTGGGAGTGACATATCTTGAGGGTTGTAGCGAGATATAATGTATTCAAGGGTTTCATGAAGAAAACAAGTAGATATAGCTATCGATTGTCGAGGAAATTCTAGGACACCCTCTGTATACCAAAACAATATAAAATATCAACCTACTAGAAGAGAACAGAGCAATTCATAGTGAAAATAGAATTTTATTTTTCTATGCCTATACATGAATCTAGAACTCTGCAAATCAAAACTCACTTGGACATAGCTATCTGAGGAACTGGTGAACGACTGGCTACTATTGTCGCAGCTTTCTCTCATGGTAGCCTCCAGGATGCAGGACATCTTCCTTCTAGCCAATTCCCTTTGTTCCCTCTCCCTCCTCTCGTTCCTCTCGGAACTGAACCCCTCCACCAAAATGGCGACGAGCAAATTGAACAGCACATAATTACCGAAAGTCATCAAAGCCACAAAATACAAAGCAGCCCAATCAGATGTCTTTGCCATGCCGTTTGAAAGCACCATATTCCAGTCTTCTTGCGTGAGAATCTAAAAAAGTTCGAGTGACAATCCTAGTCCGTGAGCCCTCGTAGAAAATCTCAAGAAATGACCAGCAAGCTGTAACTTTGTATAGGTACTGTAATTTAAGAGTGTTGAATCCAAAAAGACTTCGTATAGAGTAAACCTTGTCAATTTTGCATTAAAATACAGGGTGTATCTAAATAACACCGAAAAAATTCAAGAGGTGATTCCTTGTAATATTTTAGGAGATAAAGTTCATATGAACCATATACGTATTAATAATCAATACGGATAATCTCTATCTGTTTCCATAGCGAAACATGAAGTCGATTTTTGAAGACAAATGACTATCCATAAGGAAAAGTTTTGAAACTATCAGACACATACTGCTTTGATTGAAAGGCTAGTAAACGTCATTGTCCACCGAAACGCATGGTTCTTATGACTACTATAATAGCGCATGGCGCATATGCGTATCATGCCACCAAATCCTTATGGATATTCATTTGTTTCATATTTTTGGCTTCATCCTGGCACCCGTTATGATCCGTATTGTTTATTAATACGTATATGAACATGTGTCTTAACTTGCTTCGTTTTCCAGATACAGGGTATTAATATTTCCATGAAAGATCGTTTTTTATTCATTACTCAGTTGTCTTTCCATCAATTTCAATGAAACGTTGTGGTTTCGTTAATATCAATATGGAGCTTCTTCTGGTGCAATTAGATTCGAAATAATATTTCCAGTGGCGTCACAGTGGTTAAATACATCGATATTTATGGTGAATGTCATTGTACGCCACCGTGGTTTTTCTGAGTTGCACATTTTTATTGGATTGGACTATTTAAATTACAACTTTTTTATTCCCTGTGTGATTTTTGTATCTATCTTAGTTTTTGAGGAATCAATAATGTAATAATATACAATTGCATGAAAAAATTGATGTGACACATTATATTCTTTCATTTTACATCAACTTTGGGTTACTATACAAGTAAAAAGAAATTGGAGTAATATTCTGTAATTGAAACGTCAAACAAATTCCGTTTCAATTATCTGTTGGGTACCCAAGAAGAAACTGGGCACACGACTGTACATGCGTTGCAATGGTGATTCGTCGAAAAAAACCAATTTGATTGGTTTGAAATTACTGATGTGGAAGAAAAATTAGATTGCTGCTTGTCGCGGACCTACAAGTCATGCAATTTACACATTCAGAGTAGGGGACAAACTAGAAGAACTGAAAATTTCTGTGTGACAATTATCTTCCAAATTCATTTTCATAAATAGCTATCACTTCAACTAACAAAATAAATGCTGGTTGGTCATTACCTGACATATGAATGCGAGATTACCATATATTTCAGGAAGTCAAAGGAAACCCTACCACTGTCAAGGGTTCCTCTTTGTGAAGTCTTGTCGGACCTAGAGTTCCTAAATGTACTTGACACTGCTGTTTCGACGTTTTTTGTATAATATACAACAACTACATTCAGTAACTCTAGTCGAACCCACCCTTGAACAGTTTACAAAGACACAGCTTGCTGGATATCACTTTAGATTTTGTACTTGGACCCAAGGACTATTCTGGTTCCATTTGATCCTCCACGAGTATTATTCGATTCAAGCAAGGATAATGTTAATGCGGGTAGTAAGAAATAAAAGAATATAAATTTATCTCACTTGAAAGACTGTCACTGTGGCCCACAGGATGTTGTTAAAGTGCTTTCTGTCGCACAGACATCGACGGTCGTTCATCAATTCGCAGTCGCAATCTTTTGTGATGCCGTTATCATCTACATAGGTGCAAAACTTACCACCGAACAGGTACATGCCCAGGATGCTGTGGGGGAATGTATGTAAATGTGTTAGTCGCAGTGAGCTTTCTAACTATCGAGTTTCAATTAATGGACATGAAGGCGATCAATATAGTCATTTATTGGATGCGGGATTAAGCTGATTAAGCTGTGTCGACATTTTTTGAACTCCTCGATTGGTATGAATATTAAATTTCCAATTTATCGTCATTTGCACACGTAGATTCAAATTTAGGCCTAATGGAATCGACAACGTATATTGTATTGGTAAACAACAATAATTGACATTTTGAACTCATTAAAATTCATACTGATGATGATATAGGTACACACCAGCCAAAATGCTGAAAAGATAGTGAAGTAGGATTGATATTTGTGACGATACTTTCAGTCAATTGACTAGTATGATTTTCACATTTTGAAATCTTTAAATGAAACCATTCATGAAATACCAGAAGGACGACTAAGTACTGATGTCAATTGAACTGGATGAATACAGAGTGTAATTCAATTGACGGCTGATAATATTCTCATTTTGAGAAAGAACTTTCATATGAACATATGCCATAAACCTCTTAACTTTCGAGTTATAAGGGTGTTGAGTTTCAAGAAAAACATCGTGTTCCTATCATAACTTCAATACCGTCCTAGATATCCTCATGGAATCTGACATGTACCTACAAAGCACCAATATGCGTTTTTTGATGCATGAGGTTTTTTAGATATTTTCACTAGTGGCGTCCGTATGGGATGTATACTGGAGATTTTTCTAAAAAAATATTGCAAGCACTGGATTTTTCCAAAAATGAAAATCATTTTTATAATCCTCATTTATTTTCCAACAATTTGACATCCTGATTTTTTCTGTCCGTTGAACCGGTGTCGCGTGAAAAATAAAAACATTTTCATGCATTTGTGGCATAACAAAATTATTCTGAACTAGTAGGCTAGTTTCCTATTTTGTATTCAAAATAATGACATTTGATCGATTACATTGCGGTCTTATTTTGACAAGTATTCATAAACTTGACAGTTTTCTACATTGTGGAAGTTTCTTGAATCAATAAAGAGATAATAGAATGTTAACACCATATAGCTTGAAAGTTAGAAGGTTTAGGGCATATATTTTCAGTAGTAACTACTGAAAATATTCGGGTAATACATCGATAACTTGTTGCATGATCACAAAGAGTGCCAGTTTGACAGTTAAAATAATACGACCGCGAAGCGGGAGGATTATTTTGTTGAACTGACACGATTTGTAATTATGCAGGAAGTTTGAGATGTATAAACATGAATAGTTTGAAGGTACAATTGTTTTCGATGTCACTATTATTTGAATAGTTCCTAACGAACGTTAACATTTTACGATGCACTTTGTTTGTATGTAACAATATGAATTGGTTGTTATGAAAATGATTCTATATTTCTGATTGACGGAGCTACTCTATGTATATCCACGTATATTCGAAATTATACAAGGTAGCTCAACTCAATTGGAAGTTCTGATTGGTTTAAAATCATACGAAGGAAATAATCATATAAAGTTCTCTTCTTGAAATGAGCTAAGGAACCATATCCTATATTTTCAGCAATGAATTGAATTATACTCTGTATATATGTGCAATAATTATCAAAAATTATTCAGAGAAATATTTTCTATTACGAACTTTGATGTTGGTGATCATGATCATTTGCTGGAAACTATTGAGGATCAGCGAATTGTAACTGTAATCTCTAGTATGGAATATTATTGGCCGTCCTTCAATCTACCATGGAACAATTGCCCTTAATTTTCTAGAAAACTAGGAGACAATCGAAAAACGAAATCCAGGTGATGGAGAAGAATATACAGGTTTTTTCAAGTTACCTAGGCTGAAGGACCCCGGTCGGTAGCCTTTTGGGTTATCCAATGAAGCTCCTTAATTCGACTAAGTTCGACTGAATATATTTCGAAAGAAGTAATAGTAGGTATCGATTGAATATTATTTTCTACATTTCGATTCATTTGACCTTCTTGTTAATTTGAATGAAATGCTACATTGTCTGTGGTATATTCGAATTTCAAAAATGCCATTTTTGAAGTGACAAATTGTACTATGAGATTTTACAAGAATCACCATCTTTTCAGTTTTTAAAAACAAGTATTCAAGTTCTTGGTGCTTTCTGTTGTGATGCCAATTCATTATTTTCAACGTCAATACAACTGCTGGCAGGATTTTCAATGCATTTGAACTATATTTTCCTCAAACAGTCGACCAGCACAAAGTTCAAAAGATTTACGCGATGGATGATCAACTATTCAACTGTACCACTGTTTCCTCTCTTGCTGACTGTTTGCTTCGTTCACGATTTACTTGCAGTGTTGCCTCCTCAGCGATTTTGTATCTTAATCTTGTGTTTTCAAGGTTGGTTAATGCGATATTCGAACTCGATTTGCGACGTGTCGGAATTCTTTAATTTTTGACAATGTTCGAGCGTTTCTCTTCCTGATGGAGATAACGAAAACATATGAGGTAAACAAGGCAAGTCAACGCTGTCAATGAAGATCCTGCTAAAAAGCAGCCTTGGAAACCAGCAGCCTTCCCACGAAGTCCACTATATCTATGCTCGGTATTTCCATCTGCAAAACTCTGTCATGGAAAAATCGTGTTGAATCTACTTCACACCTGAAAGGTTTCTCATGATCTACATAGCACAGATACGGCCTGTTCCAGAAAACTGTTCCCCTGGAGAGTCATTCCCCTGGTGAGTCATTCCCCTGGTGATAAACTCCACAATCACCAATTCTTTGACATCATTGAAACACCGTCGAAAAGTTTTCCACCTCTCAATTCTCTAAAGATACTTCCACGGTCAATGTTCCCCTCAAATATTTGTTCCTTATATCATTCCATCCCTAGCAATGCCAGTCAGACGAACTCGACAAGCCCAGTCAGCACATCCTTTCGTCGTCAACCTCAAAACATGTCGAACAAATCTCTACCAAAATCCATTTGTCTATCCAAAGAAAAAGATTTGGAAATCTTTGCCACAAGAAGTATTTCCAAGAACTTCTAATCTCCGGATGTTTAAAAAAATCCAATACCTACCTCCTCGTCCCATCCTCTCTAGCACGATGTTCTAACAACATTACAGGAATTCTGTTTCAAGTGAGATAAAAAAATCTTGCGTTTTTCACATTGTTGAAGTGATTTTTTGAAGATGATTTGATTTTTAAGTCAATGTGTGACGAGAATGACAGTTGCATGAAACCAAAACAGGGTGATCGAAAATATCGCTTAGTCACGAAAGAAAGTCGGCGACTTTTCATATGAGGCCTGTTCGTTTGTGTTTGCTTTACCTGCTTTACTGATTTTTTTCTATGACTTTCTCTATTTACATCATGCCATGAACAGAGACAACTATGGGAACTGAATCAACTTTAGCAAGTTCAGCAACACAAACGAACAGGGGCATGAGTTCACAGCCACTGATAACACTGTTTACGTGTCAGGTTTTAGTGGGATCTTGGCATTAGTAAGCCTATAACGGTTGTGAGAATTATATACCTTGTTTCTTGCGAATTCAATGATGTTCACGTTTACAGGGAAAGGTGAGACAGACAACGACATATGATAGCTCATCACACAACATTTCTGTACTGTCGGAGCACTGATCAGTGAGCCTGCTGCCTGCTAAAGGCGGTGACACGTTTTATCAACGAAGTGAGGACGAATTAATTTAGAATAGTCCAGTCAGATGATGATTATCTATCGCGTGTATGTGTCGAATTTCGAACTGGTCGACTGGTGAGAGGTCATCTCGATATAGTGCAATGAAAATCCTACATGTCTCTGTATAACTTCGATGTAATGCTTGCACTGGAGTGCACAACATGAAATATTGATGAAATGGTGGAGGCGTGATGTTATCCAATTTTGCTTCTACTTCCTACTGTGTTAGTGAACATCCGTTTTCTGAGTACTACGTTCTATCTACCGGTTTGTTATCATTAACCATCATACTAAACTACTTGCTCAAGTGTTATCATCTCTACCAACACGAGGGATTAATTTACGCAGGGGTGACATGTTGATATGAAAGTATTTGTTTCAACAGAAAGCTATACAGCAGACAGAAAAAATACAAATATAATAACATGTTCATCAAAAAATACACGTTGCGAATGCATAGCGAAAAGCAAAACTAGAATCGACAGGTCTAATACCTACTATATATATACATGCATGAATAGATATTCTTCAGCTCAATGTTGGCTCATATATTATTCAGTAAAAGGCTCTCTGAAATATTTTTCACAAACACAAACGTAATTATTATCATTAAAATCAAATCTCGAGTATTCTACAGAGATATTTGTTAAATTAAATTTATATATAGATCAGAATTTGAGATGAGACTTTGAAAATTATGAAAATAGCTTACTTGTCAAAAATCTGTAGGTGCAAGATATTGCAGAAGAGGTGATCATCATATTAAGAGCAATGTTATTGTACCGAATATATTACAAAAATTGATGTAGTGAAGTATTTGGGAATTCACTTAGATTGCAAGCTCGAATGGCATAAACAAATTAATGAATTGATACCTAAGGAAAACACCCTATGAATTCAGGTTACTGAGAAACATTGTCAATCGAAATTTAATTATCAGTTTCGATTATAGTCTTTTTCAATCTATTCTGGCTTATGGCATAATAGGCTGGGGAGGTATATATAAACAAGCGTTGAAACCACTTATATCAATTCAAAAATATGCCTTGAAAAAATCTTCCGATTATACTTCCAAAATCGTCTTTGAACATTATAATAATCTTTTTGTTGATCAATTGTTCTATAAAACATCAACAATATACAGAAGAAAACATTTACAAAACTATATTCATGTAAAACATAAATATGACACCAAAAATAAAATTGATGGTTGGATATCAACTGAGAAATTCTCTTCAACTTTAATGCAACAACTTGCTATTCATATAGGTAAAAAAATTACAATAAATTGCCTTATTCTTTGGAAAAAACCATTTTTTTGGATTCAAGAAAAAGATTACATCGTGGTTGATTGAGAATTCAGAAATTTTGGAAATTTGATTCTATGATAAAATACTTAGGCAACATTCCATGTTTTCCATAGTTATTTTTTGATAATATAAAATGTGTACATGTTAATTGTACTCAATGAGAAAATGAATTTTAGTTAGTCAGTGAAAGGAAAAAAATATTACATGATCATGAACAAGTTTACAACTGTTCTGATCACGTTAATATTACAAAAAAAATGTATATCATTATTAATATAGTACCCTGATATGTATTTTATTTTAAAAATGAATTAATAAATAAATAAAAATATCAACATTCCATATCTTGAATATTTCTCGATACAATAATATTTTGATGAAACGATCACATTTTCGATCTTTTGTACATATTTTTGACACGTGATTTATTTTCAGTATTTCCAAAATGATTTCCAATTCTTACCTCAAAAATTAATTTTTATGTCAATTAACTTCTCTCCTGAATTTGGCGGCAATGTTGCCTGGAACGTTCAAGATTCGATTTTGAGGATCATTACGTTTGTGGCCTTTGGCAGTTTGTCATATACAGAGTGTTCGAAAATGTCGTGAACGTATTGAAATAAGCCAAAGAAACGTGTCCTTCAATATATACTTGACACTCAGGAATACCCTCTGTGTATGATTGATAAATTATTTATGTTGGTCATACTGTATGTTCTGAATCTTTTATCGACATGCAGGATGTTATACAGAAAAGCGACATAGTTTATCAGCAGCTGCTATGTACATCGCAAAATTTCTTTAAACATGCCAGTGATATGTTGAGTAGATATAGGTAGTGTAAATATTGAATTGATACAAATTAGAATCTGAATATTACCAAATCATGTCATCAATTGAAATGATCATACTATGGCATTTTAGGACATAATCGCACTCATTTTTACTATTTATAATAATAATAATAATACGTCTTTATTCACCAAAGTACATACAAACAAGGATCTAAGTGGAGATACGCTATTACAATAATTATTGGTGAAAGGGCGGAGTATCAGCCTAAGCTGTTTTCAAACTCAACCGTTTTTCTAAACTCAGCCGTTATTTCGTCATCCATATCAATAAGTAAAACTAAGGGTTAATAAGGCAATAATTTCAAATATGGGGATTCAAATGGATGAGCTGAATGAAATATGTATGTTCATTTCAGTTTCGACTGATTGATAGTTACGAATGAAAAATAATTGATGTACTTATAGGGAATTGCACAAAAAATATGAGTCCATGCATCTTGTGTGTATGAGAGATTGAGAAAGTAAATTTACATGACAAACATTGTGAAATGTCGAAAAGATTCATAAATTTATCAAAATGATGATCAGAAACATACATTGCAGAATGATGTTTCTCCTAATTTCGATAATCTTTGTCATATAAATGAAAAAAAAAACACCTACCTTATAGTCAGAAAATTGTTTATTCTCAGATATCGATTTATAGGTAGGTACTGCTTTTTCTGAACAGTTTTCTAAGGAAATTATTTATTTCTTGAAGGAGGACAGGGTACAGCAAAACAAAGACTTGCGTTAGTTTATCAAAGATATTGATAAAATTATTGAACATATAATAACAAAGGGTATGAATGAGCAAATACAAGAACTGAACAAATATCGTCTTCATACATGCAGAATATTATATACGATTTTTCATGTTGTATTCACTCATTCTTTTTTCTGGGGATAGGGGTATTAAAAAAAAACTTAGGATACCTGAAACACAGTTACAAGTGACCATAATAGAGAATCGAAATTTTTTCTATCTTTGTCTTCGTCTCGGTTTGATATACATATTGTCTCGTTCGTATACTTTGTGGCATCAATACAAAACTTGCAGCCAAATATGTGCATACCAAGGATACTAAAAAATCCGGAAAATTGTTTTTGTTTCATTATCACCAAAATCTACTCAAATTTTCACGTGTATCAATTGTCAGTGATGTTCTTATCTATTTTATATAGTTCTTGGGTGAATTTATTATAAACCCTGAATATTTTTTATGGCAAGTAACTTTAACAACTCTATCTCATTTGGAATTTTCCATCAATTCAAATGTATCCAGTAATGACCTAATATTTGATTCATTCACATATTCCTACCTATGATAATGAATGTGGCAGTTTTTTAATAGGGTATTTTTGATTCATTTATTACGTATGAATGTACCAATACCAATTCAAGAATATTCTACAAGTTGATACACCTCAATAAGAATAGTTTTTCGATGACAAGAACAATGTTAGTCTTAATCATTCGTTGATCGAGAATTGTTATACAGGGTGAGCCAGTTTTTCTGTAATAGGATTCCAACAGCTGGAAGAACAGATATTTCTAAGATAAAAATCTGATGTGAACGTTTATGAGTGGAATCTTTGTTTTCGATGAACAGGGGCAGAGTTTCATATATACAGGGTGAATCTGAAAGTGAGGTTCTTCATTCAACAGGGTATATATCTCGCTTCATTTACCTCCTAAAGTTCTTTCGTTCACTTCAAACGAAAATCAATAGTGTGATGATATTCCCCTTGAAGGGGCTCTAGAACATCATCAGGAAGGCAGGAGTTCAACGATCACCCAATAACATGCGTCCCGGATCACTTCCGAACATCCCAATGATTCAAACATGTACCAGCGTATTTCTGAACACCCAATATGTGTCACAACAACACATAACCTGACAGAAGAATCTGGAATCATCTCGAAACAATCGATGAAACAAATAGAGAGAGGGAGAGATATATTGTTCTTGAAGCTTCTAGAACAAAAGTAAGGTACGGAAGATCATTCGAGAACGTTCGAGAAGCAAAGTCTGCCAAGGGATCTGATATATAAGGATGACCGCGTGAAATTAATCGTTCTACATAAGTAGTTATAAGTTCGATATAAATTAGTGTTCCTTCAGTTGAAATAATGCAACTATAGGGTATCTAATGATAGACTAATAACGGCTTTTTTTGCGTTTTTTTTTGAAAAAATGTCCCAAACAGCTTATTTTGGTGGGATATATGCATATCCTGTTAAAAAAACCTCACTCTCAGATTCACCAACATATTTATAATTTTCATTTAGTTTCCTCCTACAATTTTCAAAATAATTCATAGAAATTCACACTTCATAAACTCTATAATTAGGATTATGAAGCATTCTAGAATACCTACAAGGTGATACAACTTTTGGGAGGAGTATCCAATTTAGCCATCTCGAAAATTCTATGGATCACGCGATAAATGCCAAAAATAATTTCCTAATCGAATAAAACTAGAGAAACACAAGAAATATGAAACTTTGACGCCGCCTATAAATCGGAGACAAAGATGTTTCGCATATACCGGATATCTACGTAGAATGAAACGATCTCTAGGCATAGTTCCATTGTAATTATAATAACTATGTTTTTATATAATGGTGTTACAATTTCGTCGATCCACCCCTGTAATAGGAGGCTCGGTGGTCGAGAGCGTGAAGGCGCTGAGATCGTATGGGGACTCCCACCGAGACATAGGTTCGAATCCTAGTTAGGCCATGGATGTTTGTATGCTTACCTAACCCCGCACAAGTTTCGACTTATGGGGCGTTTGGTCCCAGTGCTGCTTATACATCATTGCATCCAGAAAAAAACTGAATCAGGAAAAAAATATGAAAAGAAAAATAAACTTTTGAAAAGTAAAGTTGACAATCGCTGTCGTTAGAGTTGAAATCGAAAAAAAAACTGTTAGTGCCACCTTGTAGCAATTCGATTTGCGTGTTCGTTTTCAAAAATCGGATAATGAATAGCGGAGCTATGGCTTGAGGTGTTTCCACTTTGGAAATGCTCTTGTGAGCTGTCAAGTCCTGCGACAAAAAATTGACTCTCCCTGTATATTTGAAGTTATTACCCAGTATTTCAGTGTTTAAGTAGAATGAGATTTTGATGACCTTGGAGAGGAGTGCTGATATTTCTGTTTGTCTTTTTATGTTCGAATAATTGAGTAGTCGTATTGCTGTTTTTATTTGGAACGCAAGATATATTTCATAATACAAACTTATCCTAGTCTGAGGAAGAACTATACTGAGCATGAAGAAGTGTTGGTGGTGTTTGTGATCGAAAGATTGTGCCACTGTGCATTCATTTATCAGTAGATGAAAACAGTGTTCCAAAGAGTATGTGGTGGTGTGTAACAAAGTATATTGTATAAGTAAAGGAAGTATTTCTAACATCAATTGGCTGGAAAATCAACAGAACAGTTTTTGGAACAGAAGCTTATGTACATAAATTGGAAGAATCAAATGCCACCCCTACTAGAAACCCACTGAAGAAACCCTAGATGTACATTTCATATTGTGAAATCAAAATGGAAGTCATTTAGGAACTATGTTCGAAGTGTTGATTTGATCAGTATATTTTGGTACGTACAGTTTGTGATTTTCATTAATTTCGCGAGATATATCTCAGTTGACTGTGGAGATAAAAGCAAATATGGGTAGTTCGTTTTTATCTCCAATTGCACCTGAGATATCTCGCTAAAGTATCGAAAATTTAATACACCCAACTGAGTTGCCCCTGGATCTAAAACTACTAACAGTAACTATATACTTAATTGTGTTCTTACCTGAATATAAATATGAATAGAATCAATAATGAAAAAAACACAGCAACATTATCCATGGTTCTGAGCATTACGAATAATTGTCTTCGCAAATTTGGCATGAACCTTACTAATTTCAATATTCTCAATAAACGGAATGTTCTGAGCACTGACAAACCAGAATCGGCGTGTTCTTCTCCCATAAAATTTTTGAGAAGCTCAATACCGCTGAAACAAATAAACAAACGAATGCTATTTACAACAATACCAAAGAAGGGAAGTATTGTATTTCGTGCAAGATAATTTTTTCAAATTTATACTCGTGGCAGAGCGCTTTCGACTGTTAAGTCATCATCAGTGCATACCTGTGAATAAGTAATCTGCTTTTAGCTATTAGAGAGAAATTGGAAATTCGGAAAAAAAAAGTTTTTTAGTGTGTGTGTCGTTAGTTTCAAACTGGACCAGAGATATTGTTATGGACAGATTTCCTTGTTAACCTTACGAGTAAGTAACCTCACTTTTATCAATTTCCAAATTTCGATTTCATGATGTCTTTTTCAAAATCAAGAGTTCATCAACAAGAAACAAGTCACCAATTCATTTTTTCCTTTTTTCAACATTTGAAATTTCCAAAAAAAAAATCCAAAAAATTTGTAAAAAAAAAAATTTTTTTTTACGAATTTCCAATTTCTCTCCAATAGCTACAAGCAGATTACTTACTTACAGGTATGCACTGATGATGACCTAACAGTCGAAAGCGCTCTTGCACGAAATACAACACTTCCCTTCTTTGGTATATATACACGTGCACACAGCCCAGCAACCCTCACTCATTTACAACAATAACCTCTGGCAATATAATGCAACAAGGAGAAAATAATATGGACTACTTCTAGTATAAATGGAAGCTGAAGAAGATAACATTACAGGGTGACTATTTTTTTTTTGTTCAATGAAATTTTATGAGTCCGAAACAGGTCTCCTCGATTGACTTACATAAGTAATAAAGTGGAGATGACTATGAGCTCTCCTTCTTCTTTTTGTTAGAACAAATATATATATTTTGACCCTGTTTCATATTTATATTATTTTTATCTAGAACAATTATATTTTACTGACCTCAGAATAACGATGACCCCATCGAAAACGTTGAAACCATTGGAAATGTATCCAAACGGACCCTCAGCGATGATCTTCAACATCATTTCTACGGCGAATATTGCCGAAAAAATTATATTGGTAATTTCCACGACATGCGTTAATATCTCAGACTGTTCGTGGTGTTCTATTCCCATGGACAAAGTGTTTATCAAAATGGCCAGCAGAATACCTGATAAAACATACGAATTATCATTTAGTTATTCAACGAGGCAGGACTTCTTTCAAAAACGATCACCATGTGACTGAGTCTATAGAAGTTTTTGATTTCGTCGTCAATGTGAGATATTGGAAACCATCGGAAGAATATTCGTCTGAGGCATACAGTACCTCAAAAGTTGTCAAAATAGTGACTTCATTACAACAAGTTGATTTTCTCAGAAATATTCAACGAATATGGCCCACATTCATCGAAATAAAGTCACACACAGATTTGAAGAGTGGTAATCAGGTTTTGAAAGGAGTTCTGTTTCGTTAACTATATCCGATGAATCTAACATAACCTAATCTTCTAACCATATAAACTCCACCTTTCTTACTCCAAACTATTTCAGAATGAATTAGTTCTATATTGTATACAAAATATCGCGCCTTATTAATCAGCACTGAGAAGATAAGTCCGCGCATTCCCACTATCAGTGCGAAAGCCTATCTGTTATTAGTGTGTTGGATCAAGGCAGGGATAAATTAGCATAAGGAACGATATACTGACAATTGCCGAAAAACCCGCTCATCCGCTTTCATCTTGATTACACCCAGATATTGTACAATTCCGCTTATAATCCGTGTGCATCGCTGGAGGTTACTTGGACTTAGCTTACAGATCATCATTGGGTAAGTCTCTTTAGTGCCGATCGTTATATTGCTTGCTGAATCACATAACAACTGAACTGAAAGTACCAGGGTTATCAGTCATTTTTTTCTCTCTTTACAATCGAGTTATTCGATCTGCCACATTGGTCCTTCGAGCCGGATATAATATCGTTTAATGAGTTCATGTTTTGCTGACCTTACCCAACTAATATCTAATGGTAATGATATGGCTCCGATTGTACAAGTCGTTTGAAGCTTTTCAATGAGTTCAAGTTCAAATTGTACTAATCTGACCTTACTTCTCCAACGTAATTAAATCTTACTAAATCAATCCCAACCTAACCCTAACTCAACCCAACCAAACCTGAGATCTCCCCCAAATTTCCCACCTAACTATTGTGTTTTAATCCAAAACATATCATCTAATTGTTTAAACTTGTTAAATTTGATTCAATAAGTTCAACTGTTGCTTATTTCAACTAAACCTAACCCTCCTATTCAATTCATATCACCATCGCTGTGCTTTTACGGTTCAACGATATCACGGTGATGAATTATTATAATTCTGACAATATGGGGATTATTTCATTCACTGGTAGAAGTGACAGCTCTGAATATTCGGTAGTTCTCTGATATAGGCACTATTATGATATAGATAATCACTCTGCTGGATATTCTGATCTGGTTCTTCTCCCAGCTAAATAAATTCATTTCTATCGACGGTCTGTGTTGACTTACCGTGCTGGAACAGCTTGTATTCGACGAGGATTTTGATACACCTCCTCATCGTTTTCAAGCATCGAACGAACCCCTTGAGCACCAAACAGCAATTGACATACAACCTCGACCTCTTCTCGTTCTTGTACTCCGATTCGCAGTGCCACAGTTCCTGGCAGCAGGAGTAGTCTTCTTCCAGAACCATTTGGGGTTCAGTAACCTCTGCCTGTTTCTGTCTGTTGCTGATGCCCTTGGAAAGGGAATCGAAGAACGTGTCGAGGACTATCTGGCCAGTCGGTAGGGCAGCGTTGATAGCTCCCAAGGCCAAAAGTTCTTGGCAGGTTAGAGCCTCGCCGTTCATCAGGTCGTTGCAGTCCTGCTGGATCTGCTGTTGCGTTTGCAGCGATTGCTGCTGGGGCAAAGGGGCGGTCTGCCATATGTTGCCGTCTCCTGAATATTCAGATAGAAATTAGACTCTGGGGGAGATCTGGAATGCTTGACAGGAATGGGCGAGTGGACTTTTTTTTTATTTTCTAAATACACTGAGAGAAACTGGATATTAAAAATATCTACCAGCTCTGATTGTAATAACCATTATAAGGAAATCTCCTATTCCTGATCATTTTATTATTACAACAGTATTCTCTCCATTCTGTAATTATAAAAATCGATTTCTTAAATCATTTGTAATACCCTTGAATGGACATAAGCTACCATCATAACGCAGGTGTGTTATGACATTATGAGAATTTTATAAATTCCAGTCTATTTAGATTTTTTATTGACATAGCTCGTTTTGTGAATTATGCTCATTGGTGAATTCAGATAATGTTTGTCCCAATAATCATAGCTGTTTGGGTGTCTAGCATTGTACGTTGACGAATAACTCTAGCAATTAACCGTCATTATTAGGCAATCATTCGACAATCGTAATTCGGCTCATTTCGCTCTAGTGTTTCATTAGTTTTGGGGCTGACAAAGATACAGATCGCGTTCATTTCACTGCTGTTCTCGGTCATGGGTGCCCGTGTTCAATTATTGTTCAATGGTTTCGATCGTCCGATTCGATAGAGCCGTGTCTTGTAGGTGAATGTCTGTGATGTAGCAAAGTTTTGTTTTAGTGCTGGCTGTGAACCGATCTGTGGAATACACCGTGCATTGCATTATTGCAATGAAAAAAGTATTCTTCATACCCACTTTTCACGGCCTAAAATTGGTTTATTTCAAAAACAAAATGATCGATGAGATTCTGAATCAAAATATCCGGGTTTCTGTGAGGGGAGTTTAATTGACAATTCTCATTATAACTCCGAAGGAAGGGTAAATATAAGTATTCAACTTCTCATTTCTTAATAAATTCGTCAGTAATGCATATAGATGATATTTCTCCGAAAAAATCAATGAGTAATGTCAAAAAACTCCCACAGATACCCAAATATTTCAATTCAGAGACTAAACGTATTTTTTTGTTTTTTTGAAAACAATAACTTTGGATCATGAAAAGTGATAGTGTGGATAGGATATTTATTTTCATTGCAGTAATTCAAAGCACGGTTTCATAATGCATACCATCGAATAATGTTGATTAGATAACCTTATTACCACTGTTTGATGAATATACTAGAGTAGAAAAATATTGGGATAACTGTTGAAAATGAGCTACATTACAATAGCATGTCAAAATGTCAGGTTTCATGCAGATATCAGATAACTATAATAAAATGAGACGAATTACTGCGTTACCTCAAGATGATTGTGCCAGTAATAAAAACATGTTGTTTTATGTCGATAGTTTAATAACCACTGTAAAGTGGAGAGTTACTGCAACATTTCATGGGAATAACTCATATTCGACAGTCTGTGTTATCATAGAAACTAGAACAAGTAGTAGTTATTCAGCAGCGGTGTTTTTATACAAGTTTGCAAATTGAATAAGCTGCCTCCCTATTTATTGCAGATATCGTAATAACGGTAATCAGATTTCCAATTATGATAACTCAAGTTTTCTCTCAGTGTAGAATCGTCTCTCAAATACCATTCAATTTCATATTTTTTTAGAATTGTTCAGTCGATTTTAAGGTGCTAAAATAATCAATGATGCCAAGGTAATATTCAAAAGAATAAAAATTCACTGCCAGTAAAAAGTGACGTCATGATTTCGTATTTAGAGGCAGACCATAGCACAGTATCCGTATGTTAGAATACGATGGGGAACTTGGGGAATATCAGTTATCCAATAATTCATAAATTTCCAATTATGTGTTGGTAGTTTTGCTAATTAGCAATTAAGAATCAATTTTCTCAAAATGTTCCCTTATGTATTGTGACTTAGTGTTTATAATGAATTGGTGCAAATAATAAATATATTAACTCACATTAGAGGACATTTGAACAGGTATACGTGACAACACGGCGCGTGAATTGTGGGCGTGGTCTTTTCAGTTCTCAGCATGCAGCACAATGTTTCAAAGTCTCCAACATTTAAATGATGACATTTTGTTATGGGGTATAATAAATATTTGGACATGCAGGTTGCTCGGAAGAAGAAGAAGAACTCATTTATTTATTTATCAATATATTCATTCATTGAATCGAGTAAAATCTTCATTTTGTCATCGAATCAGTTGATGGTATAATATACAGTCTCTCCAAGATAAGGTTGAACAGCATGGGGATCTCGAAAACGGTAGGAGATACGAAGTCGGTTAAATGGGGAAAAAGTTGCGCATTCGGAGGCTCATATCAAGAGCCTTCGAAAATTTTCAAAATTATTTTTAGTTTTTTAGTTATATCGAAAAAAGTGAATTTTTGGAATATCAATTTTATTTTTTGTCTCCGTTATTATTAGAGATACAGAAAAACTGAGAATACTTTTTCATAGCAACTTTCGATGGTGTTTAACGTGGTTATACCGTTTTTTATGCGACGTTTCGTATTCGTAGAACCATCATCAACTTTTGTTTTTTAAATACGGTCCTGATAATTTTTTCACAGATTCTGAAAGGTTTTTTAATTCTGAATTCAACCATGTATTATACAAGGTGGTTTATGTGTGTTTCGACCAATTTTTAACCATCATCAATGTTTTTTCGAAATTCCAAAGGAAAACTGCCATCAGTTCCACTTATTTTGAGGGAAAATTAGTCAACACACTAATACCTCATCAACAAAACAGCATAAAAACTGATGTCACCATTTCCCTAATAACACAATAACATCTGTAAAACGTCGTAGAAACATCCATATGGGATGATTGGAACATCTCTGGGAAATCCCTATTTTCCTTGGGACATTCTTGGGATGTTGCTGGCAACACCCTTGTCAGCATTTGCGATGTCTTATAAACATCCCATCAGAATGTTTGTGGGATGATACGGGATATACCAGAGACATTCAGGGTACTTGATATGGAACATCTTAAAGAAACTTCTAGGATGTTTTTTGTTTGATGACAGTAATGGATGACACGGTATGAATTATTTTCAATCTGAAATTCTGAAAATGGACGACCTATTTCCAGATATAAAGTAACAATCCGAATCCGAAAATATAAGATCGGTGAGGTCCAATAACTAATGGAAGATGATAACAGTTGTTTGAGGCTCATATTTGTTGGCGCTGGGCCGACGGCTGTCAGTAACTCTTAGCAACGTAGTTGTACCGCCATCTATCGGCTGGTATAATAAATAAATTCAGCAATAAATATGCTGGAGAGATATATTTCAATTTTGTCGTTTATTACATGGTTCATGATGTAAAACAGGTACTTTGGTAATCCTATTGAGGAATATTTAGTATATAATTATTTCAATTTGTTATCGATGAAATAAGCCGGCTTTGGTATAGGTATAAGTATATGACTACGAATACAGTTTTGATTTCCATTTTTTACCAACTCTTCAATGTTTCAAATGTCACAATTGTTTGAACTATTCAATCATGTCAATCATCATTAGCGAATATGGAACCATGTTATTGTTTATAAAAAAAGATCAGATGGGATGTTTCTAGAACATCCAATGAAAACATCTGATGGATGTCCGAAGAGAAACATCTCTGGGATATCGTACCCAAGTCTGAAACATTGGGACATTTGTAGGACCTAAGCGGGATGTACCAGCAAGATCCCGTGTTGTTAGGGTTATTCGACGTATCGTCAAATGGCGGCCATGATGGTACGTTTGAGGGAGCTGGAGGGTAGCAGATTGGTACATCACCCTCGTGGTAAAGGAGCCTCTCTGTATATTTCGTTTAGTGACGGCTTTGTCTTTTCGTTTGGTGACGGCGTAGGTAGTACAATGAGCTCTAATCATAATTCATTATCAGTTCACTCGCCCATCATGTATCGAGGTGTCTGAATTATTATTATCAGTTACCACTAATAATCCCCAAATGGAATTTTCAAGTATAATTCGTTCTCATTACTAAAATGTGAGAAACATATTGACTAACAAATGTGTTATTTGAAATACAATGTCTATATAGATTTAAATTCATATAAAACTTCAAAAGACATATCTCAAATCAGTTTAGTTAAATATAACACACTTTATTCTCACAATAGAAGTTGATGTCACTTGTTTGCAACTAAGGTTTATTACTAAAATTTCAGGAACAGTGAAAAAATTAATTCGTTTTCATCCATAACATCTGATATCACATGTCTACATAGTTATAAATGAAACTAAGAGACTTATGGCAATAGATATAAGGCGCTTCATTTCTGACAAGAAATCATCACTTATTAATTTCGTTGAGTTAATAGAAACTAACGAAATTATCTCGAATATGTTCCTCGTATATGAAATATTCCATAAGAGCAGGCAATTATTGGAAACTTACAGGGATAATTGCACTGCAGAGTGAATATTGCACTGCCAGAACGGATTCATGTCAGATAGACTTCAAAAAGTGAATGGAATGTAACGTTTGGGTGTGTACTCCATACAATGTATGAAGAATTTCTTTATTCGTGAAATATTCCGGTGAATCACATTCGTGCATAAAATTAACCAGATAATTTTGGATTCAAGCGTGTCTGAAGTATAAGGATTAGATAACACGCTTTCTTGAAAAATTATAGGTAACTTTTATGCACTCTTCAATTATATCCGATAACCTACCGTTGCAATAAGTAAAGTATAATAAAAAGTAGTCTTCTCATTGATTGTAAATAAATTTATGAATTTTCTTCTGAAGGAAAATTTACGTTTCATATATCATCAGCTTTCAAAAGATCATCAGAAAATAGCGCTGAAAATACGTTTTTCTGCAACCGACACAAAAGTCGTCCATTTTGATACCAAAATTAGCTCTTAAATTGACGTTTCTATTAGTGACACAATAGTTATGTTGCTAGGCAACATATTTAGTTCCTAGGAGCTAAAGTTGAATTTTAGTTCCTAGGAGCTAAAGTTGAACTTTAGCTCCTAGGAACTAAAAAGGATCTACTGGACCTCATCGAGAATAGACAACATTGTGACGGTTGGTTATTTGGGTTGAGATGCATACCTGATTTGTTTCCTATTTCAGCAGATTTGGCATTTCATACCCATGCTGGAGATATGAATACACCTTATTATAGTTTAGTATTGGAATTATAAACATCTCAGTTAAGTATTTTTGTTTTGATCAGGGAAGCCTTCAAGATTCAAATACTTGCTCGATCTGCATTTCATTCGTTATTCTCGGGATGGATAACTTGTTTTTGAATAATCACGGCAAGCAATAGTTTTTTGTCTCAAACAACGATATTGTTTAGCTTCATCTGATTATCAAGTCAAACACAGTGTAGTATGGAGAGGAATAAATAATCACTATTATCGTTGTTGGTATGTTCACTAACCTAACATTTTCCACGTCTTGTTTCTATAGCTGGCACTGGCGCGGTATATGCCATTAGAGCACCTGGTCCATACACAAATATGTCACTCTGTGGTTGTATTTATATTGAAACTACAATTCGAACATCCTAGAAAACCTAACCTGCTGTTAACGCAGGTAGACTATTCTCACCACATGGATTATTTGTCAATATTTGTTGCATTGCATACATATGGCACGGCATTGGTGGTTACTTCACATGTTTATTTGCGTTAATTGTTTCGGTTGCAGAAAAAATAGCATGTTTCATTCAAATTTTGCTTTCGCTCGGCTTCGCTAAACGCTCCGCCTCGCAAATGCAAAATTCGCTTGTCAAACAAAGTGTCACTTTTGATCCTAATAAAACAATCTACTATTATTGAACGAAAACGTTATTTACTCAATCAAAGTTAATAATTCCGTCTGCATGCCAACGTTGAACTTCTCAACCATAAATGTTTGTTCAACGTAAATATTGCATTGTCACTTGTAATTTCAAACTCATTTATTTTATCACATGTCACATTGCACAATGAAATTACCTGAACGGACAATCTGGATAGAAACTTTCTGAATGTAAATCGAACAAACTTTTAAATACCAGTTGAGGTTGAGTTCGTAACAACAAAAAACTTTAAGCATTCTGGATGAGTGAGTAAATGTACATTCTCCCCATTCCCTGCATCCCACAAAGTTAATTATGAGGGAAAGCTTTCTACAGACTCACTCAAATGATGTCACTGAGAAATGTCTGAGAAAGAGAAACCGAAATGATTAAGGAATGTATAATTATAAAACTCTTGTTAGGAATTTCATAATCCTAATCTACAAACTCAGAGTCTCATAGACTACTGATGACTGAAGGTGTCCCTCAAGGATCTGTTTTAGAACCAATCTTATATTTATTATATATTCAAAATATCACGAAAATTGATACAGAATGTAATTACACTATTTATGCAGACGATGCAGTACTTTTATATGAAAATAAAAATCCTATCATTCTAGAAAATATAATAAACAGAGACTTGATGAAATTTGAAAAATGGCTGCATTCCAACCTCTTATCAATAAATACTGATAAAACTGAATATATGATTTTTGAACAAAAAAATGAACAAAATATAAATTTGAATCTCAGAATTAAAAATGGATCTTTGAAACAAACACGTACTTACAACTGGTTCAACTTGTATAGGTAACGGAGAAGATGAAAATAATAATATTAGAAGATATTTCACCTGCTTGTGTTGTTTTTTCACTGGAACATACATTCTTCTTGTCGATGTTCGTGTTTGCCGATAGTAAATTCGATGAAGTAGGCGGGGAAGAATTATTTTGACCATGCAGAACTACAACATCACTGAACATAACTGAGGATCTTCTTCTGTTGTTTGGAGCCGAAGGTGGAGACAAAAGATTAGTGGAAGCCTGAAAAAACAGTTTATTATAATTTAACATATAAACAGGGGTTGAAATACGAATGTTCATATACAGGAAAAATAAATCTCTTGAACATTATGATCCTTTGACAAGGACAATGAGACTTTCATAATGCCCAGTGTTCTGTGAACAAAACCAGAACAATTGCTACATTGACGAAATCGAGGGATTCAGTACCACAAACCTATTCCTGTTCTTTGAATAGTATTTTTTATCGAATCATTTCATGTCTCTGAAATTTCGATAGAATCCATCGACTCATAAATCAGAAGTTAGTTGTGACGTTATCTAGGCGCCTTCAGTCTAGTTTTTGCTGTGACACTTCGTAGTTTGCCTCAAGTTACCCTATAACTACTCAGACACGATAATTTTTTTTCTACAAGCGTGCGTGATTCACCCTATACCCGCACGCAATTTTGTTTGGAAAGTAGTCCAACAAATAAAGGGAAAAAGTCAACATTAATTACGCACTATTTTCATCTTCCGGTTGAAAGTAGCTTTTGGAACCTCATTAAACATGAGACAAAGTTTGACTGGAAAACGCGTGCGATGGCGGAGAAAATGGCCCCAAAACACCAGAGAAATAGGTTTTCAGTCAATATCTCCTAAAATATGGCAGTTAGAGATTTTCGGTTTCAATATAAATTGTATTGAAAGTTAATTTGCCCGGTTTCGAGAAAAACGGCACGAAGCACACCTCGAATAATGAGCTTCTGTGTTGTATGCCGGAGAGCACAGTCCGTGTATTTACACATCGGCGGAGGGACAAATCATTCAATAACTTTGTTAAAAATGCATATTTTCTCATGATTCAAAGTTCATGTGAAAGAGGAATTCTGCTGCTATCATACCCTGTGAATTGAGTCACGCTTGATTCTTTTGGCCATATCGGAACATGGGTCAAACTTTCTGCTCCCGGTCAATTTTGACCTCGCCAGGAATTTGTTCTTATTTTTTTTGTCTTACACTAATTCACTCAGAATTTTCTTGATTATGGGTCCTCATAAGGTCCTTCGTCATCCCTGAAATTTGTATACCCTAATTTTTTTTAATTTTCATTCAATCTTTGCCCAATTTTTTGCTGTTTTTGGAGCGCGGGGAAATTTTGTGAACAACCATCAATTGAAGATTTATACATGATCCGATTGGTTTCTATGATACATCATTTGAAAGCTAAGAAGGTCTACTTTTCGATTGTGCAATAATTACTTTTTCAGACGAAGTCGTCCATTTTTCAATAAAATCAGAAAAAGCGGGGTCAAGGAAAAAACGCACTTTTTTTTTCGGTGTTTTTTTTCTCCGTGCTCTTTATTTCTAACATTTCAACACCTTAACTAGTGTAACGGGGGAATTCCCACCTTTCCATCGATGTATATAAGTCATACCTTTGATATCCCGGGCACGGGAAAAAAACAGTATATCTAAAGATACACGCTATGATTTATTACTTTCGTTCCTCCGTCGTTCGCCGCGTGTGTGCTCTACGTGGCGCTCGGGTCGTCTGCTACAAACCATGCGGCCACGCAGGGTATGATAGCAGCAGAATTCCTCTTCCACATGAACTTTGAATCATGGGAAAATATGCATTTTTAACAAAGTTATTGAATAATTTGTCCCTCTGCCGATGTGTAAATACACGGACTGTGCTCTCCGGCATACAACACAGAAGCTCATTATCCGAGGTGCGCTTCGTGCCGCTTTTCTCGAAACCGGGCAAATTTTCGAGAAAAATGATGAGGACCATTTTTGTAGAAAATTAACTGAATTTCAATTTTTATCTGAACCGAAAATCTCTAACTGCCATATTTTAGGAGATATTGGCTGAAAACCTATTTTCCTGGTCTTTTGGGGCCATTTTCTCCGCCATGGCACGCGTTTTGCAGTCAATCTTTGTCTCATGTTTAATGAGGTACCAAAAGCTACTTCCAACCGGAAGATGAAAATAGTGCGTAATTAACGTTAACTTTGCCTTTTTTTCCTCCTTCATTTATTGGACAAAAGTGTCATTTTCCCGCAACAGTGCGGGAAAATCAAAGATATAATAATATCGCAGAATATAAGTGGTAGGTGATGGAATATGAGAGTTTGAGTTTGTTTGTTGCAGTATCAAGTATGTATGTTCAGAATCAGCCATCAAATTGCACTATTCATTGTGAAAATTAGGAAATATTGAAAAATAAGAATTGCTTTTTATAAAAATTCCCCTATAGATTTGGATTTATCTGATGGGAAACGATTATTGTTGTCATATGCCAATCAAACCTCAAATGAGTTTGTAATTGTCGAAGTGACAGACACAGCGTTACTGTCATTTTCGATTCAGTATAATTGCCACAATGTGATCAAAAACCTCCAGCTATACTAGCTATAGGGATGCGATACAGATGCGTTATTGCCAACGAAGTCTTAAGAAAGGTATGAGAAGCTATACACGCGTTTCATTGAATGGTGCAACAATAAAGAAATGAAAATACCGAATAAAGAAGAATTTTTGGGTCATTTCCTAGAAGTGTCTGAAACCTATAGAGACCAAACACCTCATGGGCCTGCTGGCTTCCGCAATGAACCTATACAAACATAATGCGTCAAACTGTAAGTTCACAATAGCTATTACTTACTAATAATCAGTAGATAGAGAATATATTTCTCTTGTCAGTTGTTCCTATATAAATGAATAATTAATTGAACAAATCAATCAATTTCCTCTGCTTGTAGAAACAATATTGTTCCTAACTTATGTGGAAAGTGTCTTTCCCGCACTCGACTGCTTGCCCGAACTCCGCTTCGCGTCGTTTGTGTCAACGGCAGTCGCGTGTGAGAAAGAATCACTTTCAGCACTTGTTAGGAAAATTACTATTATGAAACTCACGTCATTATTATTGTATGCAGTGACATCTTGATTGGATGCAGATGGGACCCTGAGAAGACTGGGCCTTTTCGGGACAACAGTCAGTTCTAGAACGTCTTCTTGCTTCGTGAGATTCTCGCTGAGTATCGAACTAGTCCTCGAAACGTCCCTGGTACTAGGCGCGCTGTGAGAATTCGGCTGAAATCATAAAAAAAATTTTGTGAATTCTCCTTATAGTCTTGCTGCACCTTTTTTCTCATTTCAGTGAAATTGAGAGAAAAGGAATGAAGGCAACATTCTGTTATGTATGGATGTATGGATTATTCCTCTAGACCTCTTCTTGGCACTCATCTCCGTAATTCTTCGAAAATCATTAATGAAGTCAAATGGAAAATATATGATAATCCATTATACATAATAAACTTTCGTGGGACTTCAAAAATATTATAATCAATGAACAACATGGTTTCTGCAGAGGTAGATCTACTACCACAAATTTATTGCTTTACCAAAATTACATCATAAATGCTCTCGAGAATTAACTGCAGGTTGACTTTGTATACACAGATTTTTCGAAAGCCTTCGATAGAGTCAACCACAGTTTACTACTTGCTAAACTTGAGTCTTGGGGAGTAGAAGGTAATATTTTAGAATGGATCAAATCCTATCTTAGCGATAGAGTCCAATATGTCAAGTATGGTAGTTCAGTATCAGATCCAATTGAAGTTCCTTCAGGGGTTCCTCAGGGGTCTCACATGGGACCACTACTGTTTAATATCTTTGTTAATGATCTTCCAAATGTTATCACCAACTGTTCCTTCCTATTATTTGCTGATGATTTAAAGGTGTTCAGAACAGTTCAATCCATATCTGATGCTGAGAGATTACAGTTTGACCTAAATAACCTTTCCAGGTGGTGTAATATTAACTTACTAAAACTAAACTTGGGTAAATGTCAAAAAAATTAGTTTTTCACGAAATAAGGAGGCAATCAATTATGCTTATCAGATTAATGACACAAACTTATCTGAGACCAACAAGATTAAAGATTTGGGGGTTATATTCGACACAAAAATGAATTTCAAGAGTCACATGACAGAAATTTCATCTCGTTCAAAAAAAATGCTGGGCTTTTCTCTTCGTTCTGCAAGAGAACTATCTGTCAATGCTCTCAAGATTATCTATTGTGCCCAAGTCAGATCTATTCTTGAATACTCTTCTATCATTTGGTCACCATGCTATAGAGTCGACATGGAACTCTTGGAGAGTACTCAAAATAAATTTTTGAGATACTGTGGATACAACTTAGGATTGAATAGAGATGAATATAATTATTCACAAATTCAAAAAACCCTAAATTTGAATAATTTAACACATAGAAGACTTGAAATCGACCTGATATTCCTCCATAAAATTATCAATGGCAGTATTGATTGTCCTGAAATTGTTAAGCTTACCTCACTTTCTGTAAATGCTAGAAGAAGTAGAAATAGTGACATTTTCAAGATCCCTTTTTGTAGAACAAATTATGGTCAAAACGAATCCCTTAACAGAATACTGAAGTCAGCAAACACTCACAACAACAAGCTTGAGCTGTTCGGTTCATCTTTACTATCCTTTAGAAAAGCAGTTAAAAAATTGTAATAGTTTTAATTTTTAGTTTTAATATAATCTTAGTCATCTGTAAAATATATATATTGTACAATCTTTTGTAATGGTATAATTGGCTTGTCCGTTGATAAATAAATAAATAAATAAATAATGATAAATAGCCCATATTGGTTCAATTGATTATTCTCCTATTCTATTTAGTTCACTACAAATGACCGGTTTCTTCCTGAGAGAATATACTAACTTCTCAAGAGTTATCCAAAATATTTAATATTATCAGTTTGTCTACCAATCGCATCGCGATATAATAAATTGTGGAACTTTCTCCAATTCTTTCATCTCTGTCAGATTTATGCGACAATACTTCTGTTTTGGCACTTCAATTAGCGTTCACTACGAATTCTGGCATCTTCCATACTACCCTAGCCAAAAACTTGCTGATTGAAATTAATTTCTCAGCGAAGATGAAAATCTCTGAGCGGCAGAGAAATTGGCTCCAATCTGACACCTTACAGGTACGAAAGTTGTATTTTCTCTGCCTAGGCAGGGGCAGTTCTTTGCTATACGTTTCGAGAAATTCGAATGGAATTGGTGATCAAAATCGACACTGACATCAGGTGAACACGAAATGATTGAGTTTTCAATAGAAAAATGACACAAAGTTGGTTTTATAAGATTTGGAAAACATATTATATGTTTCACACGGCAGAAAATGTAGATTGACTGCCTTGAATGAATTCCTATGCGCGGCTATGAACTATCAGCCGCGGCAGTCAATCGAATACTTGCCTGCCTAGTAAAAATAACTATTTCGTTTTATCATTATTAATTATTTTTCAGTACTCACAAGATGCGTTTCATTCGTTCCATTCTGGTAACGGTAGTGGGAATAGCATGACGTTTACAAATAAGACGAGAAACTTCATGATCTCGCATGAGAGAATTGACATACTGTAGATGATAGAAGTTACATTTATGTATACAATGATTGAAATTAATCAACGTTTATTTTTTGGAGTAGTGATTGTGGTACTTGAAGAAAATTCTCTGAGATCGAGAGAACTCATTTTATCTGGAAATGAACATTGGAACCTGTCTTACTTGAAAGCATCACAAATTAGTGAATCTCACGATAAAAATGTCTTTTGAATGTCTTCTAATCTTGAAAATTTCGTTTTTTGTCAATCTAATTTAATTTTTTCACAACTTTCAACAGTCATTCCACGTCATGCCTTGTAGTGAGACGTAATGAATAGTAGCAACCGGAATCGGTAAAGTTCCAAATGAAATGACATTTAATGGATTCCGGCGGCAGAATCGAATAAATAAAATGCAACTACAAAGTTGATTTCGCAGGATGGAAGATTCTTAAGGGAACCTCTATCACAATATGAATCTGAATGAATTTACTTGAATGCAACTATCGAATACATTGAGTACAAATGAAAAGTAATACAGCAAAATAGATAAACCACAACACTGTTGAATATTTGATAAAAATTGATATTTGATATTGGTTTCAGATTCATTTTGTTTCTTTCTGTACTACTGATTCAGACTGTTATTGAAGAGTTCAGAAAGTTGTTTGGGCTTTCATGGAATTTCTACGATGAAATTAAAAACTGAAGAAATGTCAGTGAATAGATGAGATAGACGCAATTTCGATTCCACAAGGGTACTCGTTAGGTACATTTGGCAGTGTGAATTATGTGTAAATGCGTCCCTCTCAGTGTTTCCTAAGACACAACTTGATCAATTCAAATTCAAGGTTTTCGCTTTGGGAAAAGAGCTCATTACTAATCCAGGCTTCTTTCAAAAACTTGCTCATTGAAGTTAATCACCTATCAAACTAATGAGGTTGAAAAAGATGAAATATTGCGAAAATTACGTTCTTGTTTTATGACTTCTTCATCCCGATAACCACGTAGTTGATTTTGCAGAAAAATCATTCACATTTTCGATGTCTATTCCAAGAAGATTCTCGATCTGATCTTCAGGATAATCTGAATCCGGATTATGAATCATTCTAACAATTGAATACTACTATGAAAAACACCGGGTACAAATGGAAATTAATATCGCAAAATAGATGAATAACAACACTTTTGGATATTCTACAACAATTGATATGAAGTTTAGCTTCTTCTGATTTCTTTCAATTACTGATGCAGACCATTGTTGTGGACCATTTCGGATTTTTTTTGTTTTGGTTTCCACGAAGAGGGATATCTTGTAATGTTCAGAGAACATCGTGAGAACCGAGAAAAATAAGGTAGGAATTGGTGTTCTTCTTAAATTTCGGGAGGTTGTATGCCTCGGGAAACACCTGCCTTGGCAATGTCTTCCAGAGCCCCGCTGTTCGGTGGATGAACGAGTATCTGAAAAACGATGTTCTGCAGGTTTTCAAAGTGACCACGAAGAGGTCGGAACAATTGTTGATATTTCAGAAGAGCATCGCCCATGAAAATATTTATGAAATTGGGCCAGATCGCCAACTTGTCTACGGTGTTCCAGAGAAGAGAGTGAGTTTGTGAACGAGGCATCACCCACGAGACGAATTGCCCTTTTTTGGACAGAATCCAACAGTTTCAGGGTATGTTCGGGTGCTGCACTCCAAATATGGAAACAGTATTCCAGGACAGTTCGGATCTGTGTCTTATAGATCATAGCCAGCTGATTTGAAAGTGAAATAGCTCCTGGCCCCAAACAGAACACCAAGTTTTTGGGATGTACTATTAGCAATTGATCTCATGTGATTTCCCCAAGAAAGGTTATTGCTGATAGTATTATCAAGCATCGAGATGGATGTCGTCAAAGGTATGGTTATGGTTTGGGACATCATGAAATTTCGATGGTAAAAATCAAACACTGAAACTGACGATAAGGTACATTTGGTAGTCATCAGTGATTCCTGGAATGTTGTAACTCCCATTTTAGAAATCTGTTCAATATCATTTTGAAGAATCAATACTTTAACGGAATACCATGATTGATTAATTTCCGAATAAAAATTGACTACGCGCCTTATGTCAAACAGATATTCACCCACTACATACTCCGATTAACTTCTACTTATAGGCGCCTCTGACTTCGAGAACGCCATCATAGTTATCAAGCAAATTCATATCGCATCTTGTACGATATTTCCAAGGGCCATTAATACCGCTCACGTAGGTATAGATATTCGATATATCACCTGTCGATAACTGTATATCGTACACCCGGAAGGAAGATTGAGGAGCCAAAACGCTCGTAGCAACCTGAACTATCTAGAATTTCCTCAACGTAAAACATTAACCCCGCCTCCCCGAATTTATCATAATATTCTGCGCGGTCCATCATTACGCGAGGAAATTGATCGCCTCGCTCTCCATATTTGTATGAATCCAGTCAGCTAGATTTATGTTCGCGTTTCCGGCAGACCAGGTATCAGGAGCTGGGACCTGGAACGATTTAATTGGGATCTTTTTGTTACATTTTCAAGGGTTAGGAATCTTTCTCTTGAGGGAACCATTATGAATTCATTCTTGTGTCAGCCTGTCTCTATCAGCTGTCTGTCTTTGTCTGCCTCTGCCTGTCACTGTCTC